TCTCTTACCTTTCTTCAGTTCCGTCTGATTCGGTTTGTGAAAGAGAATGTTCACAAGCGTGGAAATGCCATTTAAAATAATTATATGTGAAGTTTTATATATTCAACATTTCAACCATTGTTGTGTTTTATTGACGGAAATTTGACTATATTTCTACTAGATTAATTATTGTTATATTGTCCTAACGAGGTCAGAGAAAGATGTACGTATGTTTTCAATCATTTTGGTCGGCCTATTCTCGCTATTTTAGCCTTTCAAAAGCGTATCGGCTTTTCGCTATAAATCCAGACGATAATTTCAGATAAATTCGCATACATTACTTATTTAGGACGGCCAGAAGTATGAAATCAGAGATGATTTAGTGTCGATGCCTCTCCCTGCTTAATTCTCTGGCACTTTCAGGATTTGAAAAACGAATCCTTAGATACAATATCAACATGCATTCGTAAACAATAATACATAACTACCTAACTATTCCTTTCATAAAAGAAGTTGCAAAATCCAGCTATTTTTTTAACTTTTTATTACTAGAATAAAAGAAAATTAAATTATGTTTGAATTAGTTCTTCGATTTGTCGATGAATTTGGTCCGCCTATCCTCGCTGCTTTAGCCTGTCAGAAGCGTTTCGACTTTTCGCCATCAATTGTTGTGTTATATTTGCATTCATTAAATATTTAGGAACTTAACTTAGAAATTATGAAACCAGAGATGATTTCATATCGTTGCCTCTCCCTGCTTATAACCCTGTTAACGAAAACTGCGAAAATCCGAATCGCTAAAATGTGGTCAGGATTTGAAGATTTCTTCCATTTGCGCTGAATCCAGATACGATAATCACGAATCCTTAGATACATTATTAAATCCCCGTTCTTTAGTTTCCACCGCATCCTTAACTTCCTAAATGCTTTCTAAAAAAGAAGTTTCTAGATCCAGCTTTTTTTTTTTTTTTTATTCTTAAACCAGAATTGTTTTAATAACAACGTTATAAAAGAAATTAAATCTTGTGCGGTGATGGACTATAGTAAGGTCGTTTCCGATAATTTGGTCAGGCTATCTTCGCTGTTTTCGTCTGACAGGCGCGTTTTGTCTATTTGCCGTCAATTATTATAATAAATTCGTTTTTATTAACAACTTAGAGCCAGGAGAAATATGGAATCTGTGGTAATTTAGTATCGATACCTCACCCTGCTTATATCCCTAGCTCTGAAGATGGCAAAAATCTTAATCGCTAAACGTTCAAGTAATCGAAAATATCATTATCGCCAAATTTTGAATTTTTAACTTTCTTCATACTTAAAACTCCCCCTAAAGAACAAAATCCCATATACAACTCGATAATTAAACCGATAAGGACATACAACATAAAACTATGCGGTTATACCCTCCAATCTCGCAGAATCTAGAGCTTACAATCACGAATCCTTTTATACATAGTCAACCATCGATAACAACCTAAATGATCCCTTAATAAAAAAAAACTTGCAAGATCAAACTACAAAATATTATAAAGAAAAATGAATTTTATGAAATGTTACTGTAAAGTTTTCTCCTCAAAAACAACCCAATACTGCGAAAATAGATGATATCTTGGGCCTTAGTTTGGTCGTTTAAGATCATCTAAGTCTCAATCATCCTACAAGTCCAGAAATAATTAAAAACACAATATCTAAAAATAGTGTCCTCGGATCAGACATGTGAACTAATAAGCTGGAATATATACAACTCAGTGATTTTAAGGCTTGTTGCGAAACGAAAATTGCTATAGTTTAGTCTGCCTACTATCGGCATTTCGCCATCTTCGATCGTGGGTAAGGCGAGTGTAGGCGGACCAGGATGATCGGAAACGATCAAATAACAAAAAGCCCGATGCAAACTAAGCTTAAGACTCTTTAGCCAACATAAAAACAAATCTACGATCTAGATCAGTACATTTATTTTTCAATTTAGTAATTATAAGAAACTGCGAGATAATGAACTCGTAGTTTTGCCGTTTCCGATCAATTTGGGCCGCCTATCACCGCGTTTTGTCCTGTCGGACGTGTTTCTGCTTTACGACGTCGTTAGTACCAGTGCCTCGTCCTGCTTATACCCTGACAACCACTGAACAAATCGAAATTTCAACAGATCTGAATGATCAGAAACGATTAATCTACAAAATAAATAGATTAAGAGCCTTCGATTTATACTTAATCGATTATACATAGTCAAGGTTAAAGGCTTACTTCAATATGCATTTTTCTCATTTGACCGTAATTCGACTTATACAGTGAAGTTTTGTACATTCTTTCTATTCAAATTTCCTTTCGCTAAAGATTTTTCCTTGCAAATCCCAAATCCTATTATTTTAAAGAGAGTCCTAAATAAATATTTGACCATTTACTATTTTTTCGTGTGTCCGTGATATTAGTTAGTTGTGCATTTATTTAATTGCTTATTCCATCAAGTTATTTAGTTGGTTATTTATTTAATCGTACCACTGTTGCCTAAGGCAAGCAAAACAAATGACCTAAAACTACTTACTTTTTGTAAATGATGGTTCTACTCACAGATCCGAATTTCGAGCATTATGCACTCATCATCAGTGCTACAAACGCGTCTCTCGACATGAATTGTACGCTTAGTTAAAGGACATTTAGTTTTATGCCGAGTAAGTCCGGCATTTAGAGAAAGGTTGCCCAATGTGTCCTACTTATTGAAGTCATTTCTTGGCTCAAAATGCCACCCGACACGATAATTGTACTCTTGCTTGTATTATCTGTATGCTTTTGTTGGTTGTATTGTGTGTATAAAAAGTTTGGTGATGGATTTGATCTGTAGCTGTTTCATGGGAATGTATTTATAAGCGTGAATGTGTGTAGTACAAGAGTACTTAAATAAATCAAAATAGCTGTTATTAACTAAATACAATTTCAATTTCTCTTGCGTAAAAACTATATTAAGTTTTTTTAACTAAAAACTTATAGAAATTTCAATATTTAATTTCCGTTTAATTTTAAGCTAAAATCATATCGAAGAGAAATCATCCTGGTGTCGTTTGTTCTTTATTTATTAAAATCTAATGGGCAAACCTACGATCATTTTATATGTATTTGTATTTTATTATGTATTGAATTTTTTTCTAGTTCATATTAATTCCATGCTGAACCGGCATTCGGTCGCTTATTGAGTCTCCCTTCACTCACGGGTTTGTTGGACTACTCAAACTAGTTGCGCCATCTTCACTGATCAGGGTTATAAGCAGGGTGAGACACGGACACAAATACACCATTGAATTCATATTGGCTATATAAAACATAGCCGAAACGCTTTTGATAATTTCAACAAACCCGCGAGTGAAGACGGACCCGATAAATGACTGAGTGCCGTTTCAGCATGAAATTAATCCGACCGAGTTTCCAACACCCAGCATAAATTTGCTTAATAACTATAAATAAATTAAGAATCTTATTTACGTCCTACGTCGTGTTACGGCCGTAAACAAAAATAAAACCGGTCAAAATTTTCCTTGCTATCGGATGTTTTCAATTTTATTCGCTCAGCTCTCAAACATCAGATAATTTAGCCATTAGGGTTCAATTTTGAATAAATAATTTTAGCCTAAACTTTTATCTATTCGATTTCATAATAAATTAAATTTTACAATAATATTTTAGAACCAGTAAAGGCGCCCGTACGGGAAAACGGTCAAACATTAAAAATAATCTATGTATTTAGTAATCATAATTGAATTGTATTAATTATGATAATTAATTATAGTTTTCATCTCAATCGAGACCTTAGATTTAAAAAATAATTAATTAAAATTAGAAATAATGTTTGTTTTGTTTTATCTTCTGCTGTTATTTATACTGTTTATTAAATTTTCTATTTTCTAAGCCCGGTTGTTGTTATGGATCGTTTTAGGTCTCATTTAATAAATAATTAAAAATTTTAAATATTATTTGTGTCCCGCCTATCTGATTTTTTTTTTTACTTTTATATATCAAATTTCATAAAAATTTAAATTTGAAAACAACGACTATGATCTCGGATACCATTGTCGGTAAACGGTCAAACAATAAAAAAAGATACAATGTTATTTATTATGTTTATGTCTTGTTCATTTACTGCCGGTAGTTGATAAAAATATTTTTTTTATATTTTAAATGAGTTTACTTTAGGAATAAGTCATCTCAATACAAAAAAAAATTGAAAATCATTCAATTTAAAAAATGTATTTTTCAACAAAATGTATTTGTAAGTCCAAATTAACAGGGCACAAAGTGGTAGAATTCAAATTATTAAGAAATTGGATGCCATATAAAAATAAAAATTGTAAAAAGATCAATTATATTTTTTATTGAAAAATTAAACAAAATTAATTTCATTGCTTACGTTCTCGGATTCATTTTCGGTCTTTAACACAAACAAAAATTTTTGTCTATAATTTTTTAAGCAGGTAACTCGAGGAATACGATATCTTAATAATTACCGTCTTATTACTCATACCTGAGTATAAAATCAAATTTAAAAAAGATATATTACCCAATAAAATATATATTATGAATAATAAAATTATTTTTTTATGTTTTAACTTGTTCCCTTATGACGCTTTTAATGCTTCGGCACATTGTTGAAAAATTTAATTTTAATTTAATTAAGTATGTAAAAGTGAAAACTAGAGAGACTTCCATTTATTCAAAATTTTGGAAAATTGACTAGATTTTTGATCATATTCACGTGATGATTCGTTATATTTGGCTTAGACGATTTTTTTTTCTTTTTTAAGGGTTACTTCTGGAATGGGACAACTCTATAAAATAAAATGTTTAGCTGTTTTATACTATAAGAAAGCTATATAATATTTTTTAAATTAAAAATAAGGTTTATGTTTATGGTTTTAAATGGTTGTAAATAAAAGTTGTCAAAATTTTACGATCATCGCGTTAATTGAAATTAAAAAGTGTTTTTTTCACAGGTTTTGGTTGGAAAGTAGTTTATATGAATTTAGAGGGTTTACCTGAGCTTGGTCGATCCGAGTAGCGGGTGCAGTAGACCCAGGCCGGCCAGACGGTTTCTTCGTTCTTCTCCCTCACGACGGGGGTTGATTTTGTCCCGAATTCGGGCCGGAGAATGTTTTCGATGCTGAATTTGAGTGCTCTTTCCGATGAAGGGGGTGAGGGGGTGACCCTGGTCCCTTCTTGACCTTCGCCCGACATCTCGACCATCCTCAGGGGCGTTCAAAAAGTGTGCCTCGCCGTTTCAATGCATCCCCTTTTCGACGTCGGCCCCAGTTCACTTTCAACCCTTCACTCGGAGCCGCCGCCCCTCTCCTCGCCCTCGCGGAAAAGTAAAGGGGGGAAAAGGGGGAAAAAACAACCCGGGGAGCAAACACGGAATTTATCAATAATGGGCGGAGCTAAACGGGCCGATGCACGTATGTGCGTTTGGTCTAGAGGCGCGGGACCGAATGGTTTCAAAACGGGTGGTCTCGACTCTGGGAGGAGCCAGCCCGGGTGGGGGCTTCGAAGAGCGAATAGACTGGAAACAGGGGCGGTTCCGTGACACCGGTTTTCCACTGGAGGGGCACCCGGTGCTGGAATCCGGGGGTAAAACAAACACCGACTCCAGCTTATCAAATGAAAACATCCTGTCGTCGAAGGGGGAAAAACGCCTCGTTAAAATTCCGTGGCCAGAATCCCGGGATGAGGGGTGCAGGATTGATCAACGCCTGGAAACAATTACCCTCAGGACCCATGTTAAATGAACCTATAGCTATAATGCCATTCCTCTTCTTGTCTACCTCGGAAGAAGTCCTTTTAATTAGCTTCTCAACATTGAAACAATCATCCTTCACCTCAATCCGACTGCGCCAATGCGCACTTACAAACTGTTAATACCATTACTCGTCAGATGATCCAAATTTCCACTTAATTACAAATGATATCACCATATGTCGGGAGAAGAACTTCGTATTGCTAATTGTTTGCTTAACAAATTTATTGTGTAAGGATTATTGTATTAACTGTATTGAACCATTAGAATGAGGATTTCTAATGACCGAAGTAACACATTTCATGTCTTCCTTGGACGCTCGATAATCCCCTCCAAGGTAATGCAATATAGTGAAGCCAGAGGGTAGTAGCTGCCATGGGGAAGACGCCCCACGTAGTGCCCTCTGGAGTGGTTTTGACAAAGAGCCGGTCCTACAAAAAGAGTAGTCACGAGTCAGTGGTTGGCAATTAAAAAGATTGGTTAATTGGTTGCGAAGATGACTGGGCTAGGACCTTCGTTAGATTTTTATGGAATGCGTGTTCTTTAGAGGTGGAGTGTCTGACTTCGGCTTCGATACATCCTTTGTGGTTTATAGTTAATAAACGTTGTTATGAAATGTTAACACTTGTATTACTTTATTATCGCTACAATAACGGATTCAGAAGAAAAGCCAATCCTGACAAATTATCAACTCTCTTATCTCTATTTCTCTGATATGGGCAGTATGGACGTGGCGGAAAGGTGGTCAACCTTTCCTCTAAATCTATGTCGTCAGAATTGGGATTGGATTTACCATATTTTCTCTAAATCTACTTACTAATCGGTGCGACAGTCCTTAGAGCAGGACCTGGACCTCCTCCTTTCACCCGTCCACCATAGATCCTCCTTCACATCGTACAAGCACCTAAGCCGAGGGCGTCCTCGTATTCTTGAGCCGCCTGGCTTCCAATAGAGGAGTTTCCTTGGAAGCCTATGTTGAGGCATCCTCTCCACGTGACCCTACCATCTTAATCTTCCCTTCTTCATCTGGGCAACTATATCTGGCTTACCAAATAATTGCTTTAATTCGTCGTTCTGTCGTTCCGAATATTTTTCTTAGCACTTTTCTTTCCCATGCCCCAAGAATCTTTCTTACATAATCATATTCAGCACCCATATTTCGCTAGCGTACATAACTATTGGCCTTAAATCGCTTTGTAAGCAATAATTTTAGCGTTGCGTGATAGGTGCTTGAACCACAGAGCCTTTTGTACAGCAAACAGGCGTCTATTTCCTGCCGCAATCCTTGCCTTTATTTCTGCCGACATCATATTCTTTGTTCCTAAGTACCCTAAATATGTAAAATTATTGACTACTGAGAAACTATGGTTTCCAAATTGAACTGGTTCTTCTCCACATCTACGGGTTTTTGAGGTGCTCATATACTTAATTTTGCCCTCGTTAATTTCCAGACCGCGCTTCTTGCAGTTCCTGATGTGCTCCTCCCAGTGCCGACTTTGTTCTTGCTAGATTCTCTAAATCTACGACGAAAATCTACACAACTATTTACACACCATAGTTCTCAAACTATGTGGACTTAACTCTGGGGATAAACCAAGCATTTCAACTCTCAACGCATCCAAATATTCCAATCAAAAGTCCTAAGAAGAATAGTTAACCTCCTCATTATCTATCAAATCTCAACCTACACCGAGACCTTTAATATTCCTTTAGTCGGGGTATTATACTGCGCCCTTTAAGAGCTGTTGCATCCTTCGTTCTGAGATTACAACACACGATGTTGTAATATGTCCTAATTCATCAAGGTACTTGATTAGTAGGCCCGGTTTTGGTTGGAACTCTTCTACAGTTGCATCGAACGTCCCGAAACACTTCCTCCTGCGGCAAAGTGTAGCACCACAGTTTGTTCTTAGGTGTATTGGTGTCTCCTCTGTTTCTCTGTAGAATATACACATACCAGTTGGATTATGCCAATCTTCTTCAGATGTCCATTTAGTTTGCAGTGTACATCTATATCTAATATTCCCAAAGTTCCAAAAATTCTCCATTCATTATAGTAGCAGGTGTTACACAGGGGTCAATACTGGGTCCGACTCTGTTTTCTATTTTTATAAACGCTTTGCCGAAAACCAAATTCTGTCAACTAACGGTATATGCCGATGACATTGCACTCTACTGCTCCCCTTGGGGAGTCAGTGCGATAGTGAACAAATTATATAAGGAACTTGCGAATAAAGCTCTTCTGTTTTCGATGGAATAAGTTGAATAAAGAGTACAGTAGTTACGCTGGGTAAAAGAAATTTGAACCAAGCCTTGTTCGGATTAACCGAATAACTGCAATAATAATAGAAAAACAGGTTTAGTTTATTAAGGAAATAAACCTAGACACATCCTTTCAGGTAATAAACACACGTATACATTGAAAGAAGAGCTGGAAGTTAGGAAAAAGTTTGCAAAGGTAGCTTCTGGTCATTTTAGTCTGTTTATACTGTTTTGAGTTGCCAGGTGCATTCCGGCTCCACGCCGTCTTCAGTTTTTAATAATGATTTGGGTTAAAATCTACCACTTGATGGCGAAAAGCCGAATTGCATCTGACCGGCCGAACTACATGTTCATCACCTCGCAGAACTCAAAAGGAAATTCTACATTTTTAAGGTAAAAAAGTTCTTCTCGGTCGACCAAAACGTGTTCGGTTCAGTCAGACTACCTTTTTTATATAGAGCCAAGCAAAATAATTTAACCCTTTAATTAACCAGGAACACATCGAAAATAAAGGCCAATTTTTGTCAGAACCGTGATGCTACGTTTACACACATTTGTTCAATGATGAGTGAGCCAACTATGGAAAAAATTATCAAGTAAGCTAACACCAGGCATACTAGCATCACAAACCACATAACTACCTAAACCTAGACGGCTCAAAACACAATAGATCCAGATTCCTTAGGTAATAAAATTCACTAATTAATAGTTAATGACCATAGACAATTATTTATCTTGACTAATTAATTATTTTTATTTTCTTAAATTCTTCCCGTGGTGGACGAAAACCAGTGATTCAAGACTGACCCAGTAGGTAAAGTGATCAAGTGTCGATCATTTCAACGTAAGTTCACCGACTCATTGACTAACAAATTTAACACCGGAGTTGGTGATTATGAAGAATAATTAGTAGTAGTTAAGCTCCAGACTTAGTATCTTAATCGTCAAGCACACTAGTTCCCAAGTTCCATGGCAAGTAATAAACGACCCCATCCTGACCACTCGAACATCCTAGATTATAAAAAATATTTTAAAAACGGAAGAGATTTTCATCGGAAGGGACAGAAAAATGAATAGAATTCTACTTGGATTTTTTTAAGAATTAAATAGTGCTTGTGAATCTATCCCAAAGAGACATCATACGTCATTCTGAAGGTCTGAAAGCAGCCACGGTGGTCTTAAGCGAGCGCGAAGTCTTTCCTAAACTCTAAAAAGGATCCCATTCAAACTACGATTTTTGAAAGAAAACAATTAGCTTAGATTTTTTGTAGCTTTCTAAATCGGAAAACTCACAGAAAACTGTTTTATAACAGACAACATCGGCGAGGATAAGCAGACCAAGATAATAAGTATCTGTGTCGATGAGTTTGTAAAGCTTTGGATGAATTAGAGGGTGTAGAGCTTCCAAGAATAGTCGCTATTAACTTGAACAAATATATTATCGACTACCAACTGACAACTTCTAAAGTCTCAAGCCACTTGCTCCCAGGTGCTTGACGTGATGTAGTGCTTCATGATGTCAATTGTGGTTCTTCATCAACCTTGGTTTCTATCAGCGGAGCTGGACCATTACGTGAATTTTGAGGATGTTGGACGGCTAATACATAAATAGGTTTAAGCCTATCTGGTTATTATTCTTCCACTCTGAAGAATTAAATATGTCTTTCCAGGATACGAAACAGTCCTCTTGCCATTGCTTTATGGATGAAAGGCTACAGTATGGGTGAGTTTAGTCTCACAAAGTTTAGTCAGTAGAGATGAACTAAGCCTAAGATGTAGCTAGTTCATTTCCAGTCATTCTAGTCCAATCCTTGCTGTTTTTGATCTTCAGTGGTGGGTCTGTCCTTTTTCTGAAGATTTTAAACTACTCAGTAATTTTAAGGTCGAAATGTACGTTGTTCCAAGACCAGTGATATCAAGTAAGATAGAAGTTTGTCAACTTCAGTAGTTAACAGGACTACAGTAAGGATGATATAGAATAAGTAGGGTGAGGCACCAACACAAACCAAGCGCTTACAATGGAGAAAGGCTGAAACACCTCTAACAGATCAAAATGATCACATCAATCATCCATCACCTCGCATACCTCAAGAAAAAATTTCACAATTATTTATTTTGTTACAAGAGCAAAATAGATATTTAAAAAAATATCAGTTAAATTTTAATCTATTACTAAATTTTATTTCAAACCATCACAAGCAACTATTTTTTATTAAAACTCATGAATTTCTTGTCTCGTTTAATTTGGTTTACATTAAAATAATTATTTTGTAGTTAATATAACAATAAAAATACATTAGTTTGAAATAACACAATAGGCCCAGTGTCCGTTTTTTGTCTGGTATAACAGAATTTTATGAGACAAATGAATTATAAAGATCTAAATCAAGAGTCCAGACTGAAAGTTGTTGTTTTATGCTTGATTCTGTCTTATATTCATTCTTTTTATTAACAAGTTACAAATTGAGCACTTATCTCTAGAATAAAAGAAAAAAGATTATTTTCATGAGTATGCTCTTTGTTGTCAAAATGAATCATCTTTAATTATCACAAACCTCTATGCTTTGGTATATTTTGTGCGAAAGAGAAAAATTGATATTGGAATATCTATCCACAATTAATTTCCTTTAGGGAACCATGGTAGCTGAGTGGTTCGTGCGTTAAACTCTTGGCATATAGACCCCACAATTTTGGTTCAATTCCAATCAGACACCCCTAGAATTTTCTTTCTAACTCCCCTTCTGCCTTATAAATCAATCAGCACAAGTACCATTCTCTGACTAATATGAAAAACATAAGGCCAAAATAAAAAAATTTAGGAGGGTATTTTAACTACAATGTCTATTTGTACATTGGATTCAAATGCAGGGCCACTGAATTCGAACCTGAGGCCTTTACCGAACAACGATGGTGCCGTGTCAACGCCTAAACCGTGGTAGCCAAATGGTTAGCGTATTAACTCTCGGCTCACAGACCGTCATAAACTCACTCAGGGCTTCATATATTTACAAAATAGGTTCACAGGAAATAAATTGAAGAAAACTGTTAATCAATGTCTATTGACATTTATTTGTTTAAAAATCCCAATTTTTATGTAAAAAAAAGAAAATCAACTATTTGTACAACAGTGATGCTCCTCTTGAAGCACATATATCATTAAACATGTAATTTACAGTTTATTATTCCAAACCTCTTAGGAAATTGACAGAAACAGTTTTCAGAAAGTCAAAAGGTATTTGAAGTCAAAAGATTGATGGGAAATGAAATTTCGTGTCATACAAGAATCAGTCTTATAACCGTCCTTTTTCTACAGAGAGGAAATACTATAAACTGGAAAATTATATTACTAAGCAATCAAAATTATCAAATAAAAACTGGAAGTTTGCGTAAGTACTTTAGCACAAATGATAAAGAAATATACATTACACATTTAAAATTAATTTAAAATATTGGGCTACAATGTGGTTTGACAACAAAAACCTTTCACAAATTCATGTGCAACAGGTTGATAATAAGGTAAATCTATGTATGTAGTCGCAAAGTCGTTGAAGTAAACTGTACATCATTTTTATATGCAATCTTAACCTAATTCACAGAGAAAAATTTGATTCGTTAAGTTAAAAAAATTAAATGATAAATATGCCAATTACTATATTCTGCATAAGACATAAAAAGACATGTTGCCACATAAAAAAAGGAAAAAAAATTATAGTTCTGATATCCCTAATGCTACCTTCAATTTCATCATACACCAGTACTTTTTTTAAATAATATAATCACCACGTAAATTAAAATAGAATTCAACAACAAGATAAATTATAAACATTTCAACATTAATATTGGAAGAAGTAACAAAATAAATTTCATTTCAAGTTTCACACGAAAAACAGGAAAAGGGTAATAAGAGCATTTTGAATAAATCAAAAGCTCGTTTCTTTTTCTTTTTATTATTATTATTTTCTTTAATCGTAATAATTAAATTATCTGGAATTCAAATTTCTATGTACACTCACCACACTTCTTGTTTTATTGTTTGTTTCTTTTGTAAATTTTATTTTAAATGTATTGTCCGTATGCAGGGGCGAATCAGTTAAAACACTGAAACGTTCACAGCAAGAGCTAAACGTAGTAACGCAGCCTAAAACTCCAAAGCATGTCGTACACTTCCCATTCATGTATCTAATCCAAGGTCCCGCTTGTTAGTAAAATTTCTTGGCAGATGCTTCTTTGCTATCCCTGTAAAACAAAAATATATAATTAAATATTACCTTTTTTTAATTGTGGATACCAGAGGGAGGGGTTCCTCTGTGCACTGCAGCTTTACAGCTTACTGTACTCCTCCATGGTTCAATTTTTGGGGGAGCTCTCAATAAGTGTGTAAATTGAGCCACAGGGGTGCAAGGGTTGACAAGGGTCAACTTTCATTACCGCCAACGCACCTTATGCATCAGAGGAATGCCAGAAGCGATGGTGGGAATCGAAACTACGATTGCGCGATCAAACTAGGCGAGAGTCATGCCTTAACAACTCGGCAACTATGATCCTCCAACATTTTTACATGTTAATGGCATGATTAATTTAATTAAGTGAATTTTCATAACAGATTTTTTTGTATGACACAATTTTTGAAGTTTACGGGGGCCAACCAATTCTGGCATTTTTTTTTTTTTTTAAATTTTTTACTGAACTAAAAATTTTCTGAATCATTTGGTATAAAGGATTTACTATAAATGTGATAAAAGTTTAAAAAAAAAAAAAAAAAGAAGAAGGTTTTAATTAAAGTAGATATTTCCTGCTTGGTGGAAAAAATTTATAATTTTGAGCAGCTAGAGCTGAAAATAAAAATTTAATTTGAAAATTTTGATCAAATTTTTATTTTTATTAAACAGGATTTTTCCCGCGTCACTTGGAGTAAAAGATCTGTAATTTTGAGCAGTTGCACTAAAAATATTTATTTATTTTTTAATTAACTAAGGTTTTAAGTTGAGATAAAAAAGTCAGTGTCCGAGGGGGATTCGAACCCATGACCTTTGGCTTGATACGCCGCAACTCTACCACTTGAGAGTTCTTCTCTACCACTCCGAATCCCGCTCGTGACACTGAATTTTTTATCTCAACTTAAAACCTTAATTAATTGAATGTTATTAATTGGTCAAACGGACCACGAAAAATAGTAAATTCAGATATCAATTAACCGTCACTAATCTCTACACAAAAATAGTAAATTTAATTTATTTTTTATTTTAATTTTGATCAATTTTTTTATATCATACTACATTTTCCCTGCATTATTTGGTGAAATATTTGTAATCAAAAGCAGTTGAAGTGAAAAATATTATTTATTTGTTTATTTGAAAGTTTTGAGTAATTTTTTTATTAAACTAGATTTTTCCTGCATCATTTTGTGTAAAAGATTTGTAATTTTGAGCATTTGTGCTAAAAATAAAAAATATTTCTTTCATTGTTTTTATTTATTTTATTATATATATATATTTTTTTTAATTTTGGCCTTTTTTCATATTAAACTAGAATTTTTCTGCATTGTTTGTTGTACAAGATTTGTAATTAAAGCAGTTAAAGTGCTAAAAATAAAAAATATTTTTTTATTTGAAAATCTGACCAATTTTTTTAAATTATTTATTTTATTTTTATTTTTTTACTATGATTTTTTTAATTAAAATAGATTTGTCCTACATCGTTTGGTGTAAAAAAAATTGTAATTTTAAGCAGTTGATGTGCTCCAAATATAATCTTTCAAAAAATTAATTTGAAATTTTGGCCTTTTTTAATATTATTCATTGGATGCATCCTGCATCGTTTGGTGTTAAAGATTTGTAATTTTGAGCAGTTGAAGTGAGATAAAAATAAAAATATAATTTTCTTTTTTTTAATATAAAATTTGTTACCTTTTTTATAATAACTAGATTTTTCCTGCGTCGTTTGGTGTAAAAATTGCAATCCTGAGCACTTGAAATGCTCAAAAAGAATATATACACAATTTTACTGACAATTTTAATTTTTGGTTAAATATTTTTTATTAAATTAGATTTTTTTGAGTATCTTTAGAGTAAATGATTTTCAACTTTGAGAAACGGAAGTGCTCAATTTAGTGTAACGTCCGTTGCTCAAAATTGCAAATCCTCTTTACCAAACGATGCACAAAAAATTTAATTTAAAAAGATTTTGAAAAATATGACTCGTTTTTTTGTTAAACTAGATTTTTCCTTTATCATTTGATGTAAAAGATTTGTAAATTAAGTAAAAAATTTTTGAAAAGTCCCAAAAATTTTTTTTTATTAAACTAGATTTTAAGTATGAATGAGAATCAAAATTTGCAATTTTGAGCAATGAAGTGGTCGATTTAAAAATTAAAAGGTTAGACGGATAAGAATGGAGTATACAAATCGATAAATCTCAACATAATGAGAACAGTCCCACTTGACAGGTATGTCTTAACATCGGCTTACTGTGTGGCTTAAACGATATGTCACAAAAAGCACACTCAAAAAGTCAAAAATCAAACATTTCCTTTAAAAATTCCTTCTTCTCGGCTTCTGTGCAATTTTTTACCCCACATATGCCATATGATTTTAAATGCAAGAAGAAATAAGACAAGAAAGATTAATTTACCTGTACATGAAGTAGACAAAGAAGATAACTAAATGAACACCGAACGCCAAAAGTAATAAAAGAGGGGTGACGCAGGTCGGGCAGGAGGACTGCATGTGCGGTGGTCCTGAGATGAGCCTCTGGGCGACACCTTCAACATCCCTCTTCAAGCCCTGCACCGTGTCTTTAACTTCATTGAAAGTGTTAATCGTGTCATAGCCTGTCACTTGGGCCGTAGGAGCCCTCTCTTGCTTCTCAAGGATCCTGTTCATTGTTTGACTCATCTCTTGGACAAAACTCCTACAACAAGAAACGTTATAAACTCTAGTTAACACCGTTTGTTATGTAATATTTAATACCTTAAATCATGAGCAGCTTTTATCATCGTATTCTGGTTCGTTAGAACAGCATCAACTTCATGTCGTCTTATTGTGTCTACCATCATCGGCTGGCCTGCTTGTGGAGGCACACCTTTAACGAAAATTCCATGTTAAAAAGACAATTGACTTAAAATTTGAATTTTGTAATCACCTTGTTGAATCTGCTGATGGACACCTCCTTGATGCAAGGCCCCAAGCAAGCCTAAAGCTCGCTCCTGCCTTCCTACAACCTCATCTAATTTTTGACTCAATGTCCTGACCTATAAACATTACATATTTATTAAGGATTATATCAGAATAAATAAATAAATTATTAATTTAAAAAGATGTAAAAAGTATTACTTGGTCTAGTATTTGACTCTGTCCGTCAAATATTTGTCGAAGCTCTCTTTGAGAATCACTTTCAAACCAATCTTCAAATTCACCTTCTGTGTCTTTAACTTGGGCTCCAGGGTGTTCTTTTTTATACCTTAAATAATAATAATGTTATAATTTTATAATGAAAAAGTGTGCAAAATCTGCTTACTCCTCCTTTTGGTGTTCAAGTTTCCGTTGGTACTCGGCGTACTCCTGGGTCAATTTGTTCTCCTCCTCGGGGGATACCTTGGAGGCTACCGGTACCTGAGGCATTTGGCCTGGCGGGTACAGACTTGTGGTGAGAAAGTGTAAAACGTCATGGTCATCAGCCAATCCACCCGTGGCGGCCGAAACGCCGAAATACCCAGTCTTGGGAAGGACGAGGTTTTCAGCTCTCAGACAAATGTCGTAGTCATCATTATTTGACATTCCATTATGGAAAAGCACCTGGGAGTTTATTTTTAAAATTGGTTAATATTTGAATATTGATTAAGCATTTTGCATAAAATTTCTACAGCATGGGTGTCCTGTGAACAGACATCAATCCACCATGAGATCAACCCACATGTCAAATTGGACTGAAAAGTCTTCATTGTCCAAAGTCTGAATCTCGATTGTTTCAGACATTTCACTTTTCAGGTTACTTCAATCTTTCTCAACTTCACTTAAGCTCCTGAAGTATCTGTTCACAGGACACCCTTTATGCTTAATTCAAGGTACATTACTTTTAATGGATACTTCAAATTAAATTAATTTGTTATTCATATAGTTGTCAATTACCGTTAGGGTGTTCTTATAATACTCGATCCTGGCTTTAGTTGGATAAGGTTTGTTTCTAAAATCCTTCACACAACCTGACAACATCTGGTTAACTCCGTCACTGGAATTATGAAACAAACACATTTGTGTATTTTCAACCTAAGAATTATTTTTAAAAATTCTGACTGAATAAACATACTTGCTATGGTCGAACTCCTTCGTTCCGTCGTTGACCATGGCCATGATGTAAGGGTTGTTGTGTTTATTATCATTGTCAAAAGAGTCAAAGAAAACACCTAGACCGACCCATTTGTCCGAGCTTCCGAAGACGTTGCCGTCATATGAGCCTTTACTGTCCACGTACCAGAAAGCCTGTGATAATGTAGAGAACATAAGCGTGTAAATTTTAGTTGTAAGTTTAATCGCTGAAATTATAAGTAATTGTGTATTTTGTAAAAAGGAACAATATAAATAAATTTTAGGACTTACGAGACCATCAGCACCAAGTCTTCCTCTTCCGGCGACTCTAAAAACAATTTCAACTTCCCACCAATCAAACGTGGTCTTCGATTTACTCCAAATTGCACCTGTTGAACAAAACAAAACAAAAAATTATCAAAAAATGGGTTTATCTTAATGTTTTTAATTTTACAGGGTTTATCTATTTTTACTTGTTTATATTTCACTCATATGCATCTTAGCATTAACACCATCATCAGTGAAGAGCTTAATTTGTGGGAATGACCACATTGCTTGTTGTGTAACTTTAAAAAAAGCCAGTTATAAAAAGGCTTTAAAATTTGTTCTGACAACTGACAGCAGAAGATCAAAGAAGTAGAAACATCAAAGGAATAAATCACATATCACCCTTTTATTTGCACAGTAGACAGCTTCAAGTGAAATTAATGTCTAAATTCACTAATTTCATAGTCCGCTTGGCCAATTAATATATTATAATTAATTAAGGTTTTTAGTTGAGATAAAAAAGTCAATGCAACGAGCGGGATTCGAACCCACGATCTTCGGCTAGATACGCCGCCGCTGCTCTACCACTTGAGCTATCATGACCTCGATCCCCTCGGACACTAACTTCCCATCTCAACCCCACCTTTTGAATTTTCCTTCCTTTTTGCCATTTTTCAGAACGTGGATTCAAATACCTCTCGTGCCATTGACTTTTTTATCTCAACTAAAAACCTTAATTAATTGTAATATATTAATTGGTCAAGCGGACTACGAAATTAGTGAATTTAATGATTTAAAATGAAGCATACTTCACTAAAGCTCTCCATGGCCATTTCATTTGTTGTCGAGAATCCAATCCGATTACACGACATTTGAAAAATGGCAAAAAGGAGGGAAAATTCAAAAGGTGGGGTTGAGATAAGAAGTTGGTGTCCGAGTGGATCGAGGTCACGATAGCTCAAGTGGGAGAGCAGCGGCGTATCAAGCCGAAGATCATGGGTTCGAATCCCGCTCGTGCCATTGACTTTTTTATCTCAACTAAAACCTTAATTAATTTTAATGTCTAAATTTATTGACAAAAAATCTGGAGTGCCTCGAGGTTCTCATTTAGGCCCTTTGTTATTTCTGATATTTATTAATGATGTTACTGAATTTCTCCCTCAGAATATAAACTTCTTGTTCTTTGCTTGACGATGTCAAGCTAAACTATTTAATTAATAATAATAATGACACAAAAAATACTTCAATCAGCTTTTTCTAATTTTATTGATTGGTGCCAAAAAAATTGGACTGAAACTTTGTTTCATAAATGTTTTGCGATGTTTTAATAAAAAGTTAATTTATCCTATTTTGGTAACAAATAGCAACTACAACCGCGTTTAAAGATCTTGGATTAGGACTTGTACCTAAAATACAGTTGGTTTATAATTCTTGACAGATTGTACTTCTTGATGTAAAGATTTGGCAGCAAACTCCACAAAATAATTCATTAAGTTTAAGGAATAAATAAATCTATTTCCTCGAGTAGAGCAATTTATTCGGTTTGAATACATGGAAAATAGATACATCAAAACAACGAACTATTGGAAGTGTAAACACAATTTTGCAAATATTATCCTGACAGCATGGCAGCACCTCCACCAACATACCTCAATTTCATAAAAGATTGAATATCGTATTAAATTATATATTTTTTTAAGTTAAGGAATAAATAAATCCCCATTTCCTCATATAGAGTGTCTTTGGGGTTTGGATAATGGGAAATAGATGTGTCCTAACGGCATACTATTGGAGATTTAATTTATGTTTCAAAAACCTTTCACTAGTAGAAAGTAATCATATTTTTAGTCATATTCAGGTGGTCAGTCAACTCAATTTTGCAAATAAAATTCTGGTGGTTGCACTTTTTTGGTATACAGCAGGTAGCACATCCACCAACATAATTCAATTTCATAAATTATTGAATAATATTAAATTCAATTTTTAAAAAAGTTATTTTTTAATTTGACTTATTAATTTTATTATTTTTTACTTTTATTAACTTTTGACTTGGTTGGTTAAAGAATAAATAAATCCCTATTTCCTCATATAGAGTGTCTTTGGGGTTTGGATAATGGGAACTAGATGTGTCCGAATGGTGTATTATTGGAGCCAGTTTATGTTGGAAAAACCTTTCACCAGTAGAAAGTAATCAAAATTTTTCGATCAGTTTCTGCAGACCAATATTTTACTGGTCAGTAAACTTAATTTTGCAAATATGATTTTGGTGGAAGTAGAAGTTCACTTCATATGGGTCAAAGCACACGATATAAATAAATACAACAAGGAAGTAGACCTATTGGCAAAAGATGCTGCAAAAAATGGGAGCCCATTTAAATTGATAACAACATGCGATATCAAAGCACATATCAATAAAATGGCCAAACAGAATTGGCAAAAATCTAAACGAATTGAAGGGAAATACTATGCAAGAATCCAACCCGCCATGGTTCCACAGACTTACTAGACCAAGGAACTTTTTCACTACCATTATCAGACAGACTTAACCACAACCAACTTCCACACCATCTAGCAAAAATATCCCTCATAGAAAACACAAATTGCGACTGTGACGGAGAAACATATGCCGACCCGGAACATGTCATATTAACATGCCCCAGCAGAAACAAAGGTAGAGAGGAATTATATGAGAACTTAAGAAGCACGGAGCAGCATCCCCAACAAATATAGCAACTATAATGAGCGACACTAAAAATATTCCAGTATTTGACTGTTTAATGACCTTTATAAAAAAGAATGACATCAAAATATAAAAGGTGAAGAAGGTGAAAGAAACATAGTAAATTCTATAGACCGCGGCGACACCGAAGGAAAACGCATGGCCGATGCATTGAGGCAAAGCCAAGAGGAAAAAAAAGCATGACAGCACATCCACCAACATGACTCAATTTCATAAATGATTGACTTTAGTATTAAATTCTTTCTTTCTTTTTTATTAGCTATACTTTGATTTTTGAGTTATTAACTTTATTACTTTTTATTTTTATTAACTTCTGACTTGGTTAAGGAATAAATAAAATAAACTTCCTCATATAGAGTAAAATTTGGGTTTGAATACCTAGGAAATAAATGTATCCAAACAGTGTATTATTGGGGCCAGTTTATATTGGAAAAACCTTTCACCAGTAGAAACTAATAATAATTTTTCGGTCAGTTTCTGGAGATCAATGTTTTAATGGTCAGTAAACTTAATTTTGGAAATATGATCTGGTGGTTACACTTTTGATGAAACAGCATGGCAGCAGGTCCACCAACATAAGTACATATTCATAAAGTAATGAATGTAGTCTTAAAAAGAATTTTATATTTAATTTACCTATTTAGGTTACTAAAGTGTTGCTTAAGACATGCATTTCACTAGAATAGAAAAACAAATGGATTAACATACCCTTCTGACTTTTGAGAGAAGGTGCGACTCTGACATTATCCGAGCTTGCGATGGCATCTGGAAAAGAGGACGTATTTATTACAATGAAAAACCATGAAAACAGATTAAAAGTCCCGACTTACTTCCTCCGTACTCCCAGAACGGGACGGAACCGTCCCTTTGGGCCAGGTAAGGCGGTTTGAACGAATACTTGTACTCGAACTTTCGATGCGGCATCGTCGCGTTGTTCGAGCAGACGACGGAAATTAGGAACGCGAGGATCCATTTCGGCCTGAGTTCCATCTCTGACGAGCTGGTGAAAAACAAAAGCTTTCCCCTTCCGGACGATCCAACAGGCCTCCGACCGTCAAAACTACATAAGAAAGAACGCGACGTACGACAGTCGACGTGGAACTCACAACTCAACAGTGCCGAGCGACCACAGGGCCAGCGATCGGGATAACATGAAACCACTCCGTGCCACGGTCAACCACTTGTCGACAGCTACCGGGTACAATCGATCGTTAAAACCTGCTAAAAAAAACCAAATACCTATAAAATTTACAAAAACCAACTAGTCATTTTATAAAAAGCCCCGGTTTTGATTTAAACCTAAGGTAATCCGGAAGAAACGATTCGAATATTATAAAATAAAAACTTTAACAAATTGGTCGATACGTATTGAAAGGATCGATTGTCAGACGAATCGAGGAAAGGCGCGTTTGACGGAGGTTGCCACGCGCCAGGTAAGAGGCGAAGTGTCAAAAGCTCGTGAAAGTGAGAAAAAAACCAAGATTTTACCATGGAAGAGTCCAAGGCTGGCGATTTGTTCGCAGAAGGCGTCGTCAAACACTACGAGCCGGAGTTGAAAAAAGTCGAAAAGCAGTTGAACGAATTGACGTAAGCCCGTTTCTTAAAACATAAAAATACAAAACTTCATTTTGTTCTTAAATATTCCTAGACTTCATTTAGTCTAATCAACTCTGTTTAATCAATTGACATTTCAGTTTTAAAACACGATGAACAGCCATGAAGATATTGTCGTAGCTGTCAGTGTAAAAAAAAGTCCCATTTTCTTTTAAAGACCACGTGTTCTCCTTTCTCCTCCAACTCCAAAACAATTTTTTTTATTATAATTCTGAATTAAAACCTTAATTCTCGTCACTCAATTGAGTATAGACTGTATGTTATGTATGAATTTGAAAAGTGCCAACTTCTCTGACTGTGAAACCTCTGCCGTTCAAATTTCTTTAGCTGTTGGGCTTTCTTATCTAAGAGATGGTACAATTGAGATAGTTTGATTATTAGACAAAAACTAAAAGGCATCAGTAAGGTGACCTCTCCCACCGACCATGAGACACCTCTACTTTACTAGAAATTGATTATTGCCATTTATGTACAGATCCCTTTTCAAGTCAATGGATGAAAACCATTTACAAGAATTTAAATTCACTAATTTCGTGGTCCGCTTGACCACTTAAATCATTACAATTAATTAAGGATTTTAGTTGAGATGAAAAAAAGTCAATGGCACGAGCGGGATTCGAACCCACGAGCTTCAGCGAGAATACATTATGAGAATAATGTACCTAATTTTTGTTGTCAACTAATAAATGTTTTTATTAAAAATATGACATGTGAGATGTTCTTGTATTACTGCTCTCCTTATGTAAAAGAAAGCAAATTTGTTAATATCCCCGAAAATTTTGATGGAAAAGTCATTGCATAAGCCAGAATTGAGTAATAACAATAAAACACAGGTTTTGCTATTTGTTATACATTGAGCAGCTACATTATATTTCAAAGTGTGAATTTTTCAACAAAAATGTAGTTAATTTAAAAGGAAACTTAATGTAGATTATGAAATAAAGGTCAGATCTGTATTTCAGTGGTGCTAAAGTTGAGAAATTATGATTTCATGTTTAAAAAAATCTGATTTTTAGACAAAAATCACAAAAATGTTAATACCCAGGAAAGAGTCAAGACAAAAATCTTGTTCTGGTGGTACTGAACTACATTTTGTTTAGTGAATTCACCATTGCAATATTGACATTTAACCCTGTTTAATCACAACATTAATGCATAAATTAATCAATTTAATTGCTATTCCCTGCGCTATCAATTTATATTTTATAGCAGTTTTTGAATTACTGTTCTTAAATGTCATGATGAGAGAATTTCAAGCGTGGTTAATTGATTGATTACATAACCAGCTTAAAAGTGAAATTTTGCAATGGTGTTTGTCCCATTTTTTTGGTAATGTCATAATTTGTAAATAGAAGAGTCAGCATTATTATCTGATTTTGAATTTGTGTAAAATCGGTTTATCATAAATATTTCCTTTCAATTTTAAAAGAAATAAGATGAGCTTCAAGTTATTGTTTGGCTTCAGTTTAAATGTTGACTTTTAAAAGTTTCAATGCAAATTGTAATTGAATTTCTCCTTCTTATGTATATTATATCATATTTGTTGTCGGGTGATTAATGATCATGGTCTGCCCATCCTCACTGTCTGTCTGCAGAAATCTGTTTTGACAAAAACCTCACCTCCAGCAGCTCTGAATTTGAACCCAGTGATGAATCACCATGGTCTTAACTGTTGGTATAAGCAAGATGATTGATAAAATCCAGATTGTAACATTAGAATATTAGATTTGAAAATCTTTATAAGAACATAGATTCAAAATATAATTACCGTTTTAAGTGTTTAAAATTGCTTTGGTGATGTTCCAAATTGCCTAGGTGCCAATGAATTATCTGGATCTCACAAGGAGACGACAAGGTTGGTGGGACACAGATTTTTACCAAATACTTTTTTTTTTGTCATTTTAAACTCCAAAATATCAGACATATATACGCCACTTCTTGTGAATAGGCCCTGATTTTAACAAACAATTTTTGAAAGTTGAAATTTTCTGTTTTTTAATATTTTTATTTTGCCTTTCTACTTGCACAAATCAACTATGTCAATATATCATTTTACAGCATATTTTTTTATGTAGATTGTAATAAAAATACAATAAAAGCTATCAAAATTTATCAATAACCAAAAAATCTCTAAAAACCAAATATTTTTCAAGCAATCTAGGTCATAATTTTTCTTTCTGTGAATCCTTTATGCTATATTATTTAAACATCTCTAGAGACCTGTAAATATAAATTTTAGTGTGAATTTATATTTATCTATTTTGGGACCTTAAATTTTTCTGATTTTTGAGTAGTCATTATCAGAATATCTGATTGAAATAGCTATAATTCAAAACCTCCTAAAAGGATTTTAACGTCAAACAGACAATTTGAAAGAAGAGGAACATAACTTTTTAATAACATATGTCTATAAACCACTTAAGTTTATAAAATATTTCTATAAGAAAATACTCAAAATAGCAAAATTATTTGTCAGGAATTAACCTTTTTTTTTTTTTTTTTTTTTTAATTAAATACTTGATATTAATGTTTGATATAATAATAAAATACACTTAACAATTTCTTTAAAACAAATTATCAAACATGAAAAAAAATGTTAGGGCTTACACTAGTAATGACAATCATGCTCTGATTATCGAAATTATCAGTCAAAAAATTAATTTACACCAATTTCTATGAAAGTCGGTGTCTAAAGGTTTTATTATGCTTGAATCGCAAATCTCAAAATGAGGTCAAGTTGTGTAAGCCTACTTTGCTTGCACAATGTTTGTTAAAATATGCACACAAAAATCAGCATTTTGTTTATTTATCTTTTTAAATCATACCAAATTAGAATATCCTGTGTCGTAAAATATTTTTGATTTTACGTTAACCAACAAAGAAATGAATACACCAAAAATAATATGTTTTTAGTCACTAAATAAAAATTATGCTCATTCATTGCGACTAAAAGATAAGATTTTCAAAAAAGCTCATTTATCCAATTAAGTCAATTTATTAAGGAATTTGTTAAGTCTATTTGTAATGAATACATTGTTATTGGAACAGTGGTGTCTTTGTTGACAAATGAGAATAATTAAATAATCCCACTTTTCCACACTAAAGGTATTAACACGAAATGTTTTATTAGTTTAACACAAAAAAAAAATAAAATAAAATATGGCCATTTTAGTTGACAAATATTTTTATTTATTTATTTATTTTTAAATTTGTTATGGATAAACTTTGCTATTACTAAATTTTTATTGCAATGTACAAAAAAAAAATGTAAAATAGTAAAATACATAGTTGATTTTAGGAAGTAGAAAGGCAAAATAAAATCAACAAAATAGAAAATTTCCACTTTAAACATTAAACTAGGGCTTATTCACAAGAAGCGGCATAAATCCAAATCCTTCACCCACCAACCTGGTCATCCCCTTGTCAATATGATCTATGTGGGGAAAAAAATTAAGTTGTAACTGCCAAGCCAACTTATAGGTCTTCATCAAGACAAAACTATCTGAACTATGTCTATAAATTTGAATAACTTGTCTTTTTATTCTCCTTTTTTTTCATTTTGTGAATCAACTTAGGTTTTTAATTTGATCATTACCAATCATTTTGGTCTTCCTATTCTTGTTATGTTGGTCTGTTAGAGACTGCATAGACAGTAACCACACAGAACTAACACTGAAGATAGCGAACTGCCAAAACACATCTGATAAACCAACATAGCAAGGATAGGCAGACCAGGATCAGTAATGACCAAATTTCATCATCCTGCAGACAACTGAAGAAATATCACGATTTATGGTTTTCATTGAATGGATTAATGTTTTTAGTTTTCGTAGGGCTGAATAGTGGGACAATAATTATGAAGTGGAAAAAAATTAAAGGTAGTTAAGCTCTTAGGTGTACTAGCACTCAAAATTTATGCATTGTTCCTGGTATTTTGGGTAATGTTTGCCTTATAATATTGTAAAAAAGAATTTGTTTTGACTGTATTTGTAATTTGGATATTACTGATTATTTTGGTTCATAAGAAGTGTTTTGAACAAAACAGCGAGGGTAGACAGACCTGGTTGATCAAAAATTCCCAACTAGTGAATCCTCAAGGAGAAAACTGAATTTTAAAAAAAATTATACTAATGGAAAAAATATTTTTCAGCTCTAAACAAAGTTCATTACTTAAGGAATTGCAAAAAGAAAATGTCAAATTTTCTTCTATCGATATCACTGAACTCACATCATTGGTAGGAACTATTGAATTATTTACTTTGTTCTAAAATATTTTAAAAATTAATTTTTTTTTACCATTTTCAGTATCAAATGATGAAAGAGTATCATTGTAGGCTTATAGCGATGAAGAAGGATATTTTGGCTGCTGCTGAAAGATCAGAAAAGCTGAAGGTAAATATTTTTTAATGACTATGTCAAACTATCAAATGTGAAAATCGGTACCTTTTAGGCAAGTAAAAAAAAAACCTTTTAGCACTTTTTAATCCTTTTTAAGATAATAATAGATTTGAGTTATTAGGTTTACCAAAAAATTATTTGCTCAGTATATTTAGTAGTTTGTAACCACTCATGCACTTACAGCCTTAATGTTAACCACGATTTCACTTTTGTACAGGTGGCGCAATAGCTCATTGTGGCTAAAATGCAGTCTGAATAATGTTGTAAAGAACTTCCTGGGTTGATTAATTTTTTGATAACAGGGCACTTTATGTTAGTTGCATATTGGCTTAACCGCCACAACTCAGCCCCCCCCCCCTAATGCTAAAAATGCAATAAAAACACAATTAAAAGAAAATGGCAGTGTCAGTGGGTCGATCTTGTGTATCAAAAGCACTGTTGATGGGTGATTCTCAGAGGGCCTTATTCGGAGAAGAAGGGTCAACCTCACCCAATTAAGAATAGGATTTGAGCTTATATAAATCAGTTATCAGTGACTAATGTATATGGTATATTTGAATATTTGTATTGCATTTAAATCCAGGCTCTATTCATGTCCAATGCGAGCAAAAAATACCATGCTGATAAAATGAGATTTTCACATTTAATAGTTTGGATATGGTAGCAATGATTTATATTAATTAATAAAACTTAGAGCTTAAAAAAAAATATCTTTTTTTTAGAATCGAGCGATGAAACTTAAAGAATACAAACAAAACATCGCACTAGAAAATGCACATTATAGAGAAGCTCAAATGAAGAGGGAGCAGGACCTGATTGGAAAACCAGGCCAACCATTATGACAAACATGTCTAAATATAATTTTTTTTATACAAATCATATTAATTGTTTTGTAAATATTTGAATATTCCATTTTGTAAATTCACAATTTGATTGTATTTTCAATACTGTTAGCTTAAACCCAGATCTAGTAACATTTTTTCCAATTAACAGATGAACATTTTATATTTTTCAACATCGCTACTTGAAACTGTTTTGGGTATGACTAACAAAGCTTTTGCGAAGTCCTTGAGCCTCACACTCCGGATAGATACCTAAATTTAGAAAGTTATGAATGAATAACTTTATTTTCAAAATTAGAACCCTGTATAATACCTTGTCTGGTGGTATGCTTGAAAGAGGCCCTTTGAGACATCCGAGCGTTTCAGAAGTGCAAGGAAGCCATTTTGAATCTTTAAAAACCGAAATGTTAAATTTAAAAAAAAAAGTTTGAACGTTATGTTACCTTTAGATAAAATCCAAAAGTGGCTTTTGTCCAATTCACTTATTGGCTCCTGAATTGCATATCCGACGACGTTAGTCAGATCCGATCCCGAGTAGCCCTCCGTTCTGTCTACAATCGTCTTCCAGTCTTCTGGGCTCATGTTAATACTGACTCCTTTGCTTTTGGCTTTGAGTAACAAAAGGCGAGATTCCCTGAAAGTCAATTTTTTTTTAAATGTTTTTCGACTTTTTATTAGAGGGTTACCTGTCAGGCAGTGGTACATGTATCCTTCCCTGGAAACGCCTCAGAAAAGCCACATCTATGTCCCAGGGACAGTTGGTCGCGCAAAGGACAATACAATTGGATTTCGGATTATTCAAGTTACTGTCCAACTCTATGAGTAGCTGGTTTTTTAACCTATAATTTTGCTTATATAACTTACGATTTTCTTTTTTTTTTATTTGTACCTTCTACTGTGGTCTGCTTCTCGGTCATCACGTCTTCTGCATATGCTGTCAATTTCATCTATGAAAACTATACATTTCTGGTTTGATGTTTTAGTATAATCAAACAGTTCTTTAATCATCCTATAAATAAACCAAATTGTATGTAAAATGTCAAACATATATTATAAAACAATAAACTGTTATAGTTTGTATAAGTTTAAATTGTTAAGTTTATGTTAACTATGTTTTGTATTCAAATAAATATATAAAAACTGGATAAGGTGAATCATATATAACTTTCCTAAGCCCATTTTTTTTAAATTATTATTTTATTGATTTTCTTTTACTTACTTTTCTGATTCTCCTACCCAAGAAGATAGCAAGTCAGCGCTAGAAATACAGTATAAAGACACCTTTGCCTCTTCGGCTATTGCTGATGCGATTTTTGATTTGCCATTTCCCGGTGGGCCGTATAAAAGTATATGGCATGACGGTTTTCTTCCTCCTGGTACACAAAATCCTGTAGTATTTTTCACTACAATTTTAAAAATTGGATTTTTTACCAGTGAAAAGAGAAGGAAACTGAAGAGGCAGTATAATGGACTTTCTAAGTTCCGACTTAACATTTTCAAGGCCTATTACGTCCGTCAACCCATGTCCGTATGTTGGTCGCAGAGTCGCTTGGATAGCTTCTCTTCTTTTCAATGTATCTTTCCTCGTTGAATCTTAATATAGTATTTTTTTTTGTTTTATTTTATTATAGAAGGTTAAAAAAAAACTTTACCAGGATATTTAGACTGTCCAGTTTTACAAGTGTCTGGTAGTTGGGCTAGGTTTGTATCGTACATTTTCTGGCACATTAGTGTCGTATGGCATGAGATTGTACCTAATATAGGCTAAAAGAGAAGACATTTTTATGAACAAATAAAATTTATATTTTTCCAAATGTTATTACAACGACAAATTAATACTGATTAATACCTGTAGTTGCTGGTCTGTTTCAATTGTCATTAGCGACCCAATACGTGAAATACAATCTTGATATTTTTGTACGATCTCAGCCATAGTACCATTACTCGAGACAGATAATAAAGCCTCAAATCTGAAAGGAAAAATTATCCCCCTGAAGAAAAACTGAACCAATTAAAAATATTAAAACCTAATTAATAATTATTTGAATTCACTAATTCCGTGGTCTGCTTGACCAATTAATACATTACAATTAATTAAGGTTTTTAGTTGAGATGAAACAAAGTTAATGGCACGAGCGGGATACGAACCCACGATCTTCGGCGAGATACACCGCTGCTCTACCACTTGAGCTATCGTGACCTCGATCCACTCGGACATCAACTTCCTATCTCAACCCTCATAACTCATAAGGTGGGGTTGACATAGGAAGTTGATGTCCGAGTGGATCGAGGTCACGATAGCTCAAGTGGTAGAGCAGCAGCGTATCTAGCCGAAGATCGTGGGTTCGTATCCCGCTCGTGCCATTAACTTTTTTTCATCTCAACTAAAAACCTTAATTAATTGTAATTATTTGAATATTTTTTGCACAAAATATTGCTTTTTATAGTTTTGGCATGTGCTTTAGCAACTCACAGCAGTAAACTGTTGTAGCTGAAAAAAAGCTCAATCAATTATCTCAAAACTCAGCAATCAGTCATTTGATGATTATGAAAAAGTCCCCCCCCCCTATGGCCAAGGTATATATTGTATATAATAAAAAATGGTTATTGGTAATAAAATATATAAAAATTTACAAAAACCTATATTTGATCACTTTTTCTTGGGATTTAGTTTGTCTGGGAACACAGACAACATAAGTCTGAAGGGTAGCGAAAAGGCAGATGCTAAGACCTAACCAATCCCTACCTCCAGATTTAACCACTGCAATCCGTCCCACCTTAAAAATAAATTTTAAAAAACAATGAAAAGGAAGTAATATCAGTGGGCCAGATAAGCATAAAAGCTCTCACTTATCAAGAGCGCTGTGAATAGGTGGTCCTCGGAGCTTCTGATTTGTAGAAGGGTCATCCTCACCTGATTAAGGCTAGGTCATGCGAGATTGACAGATGGACACTTTTGGGCCAAAGCCCACATACTTGTCCTGCATGTAGAGAAAGGTTACTCAATGAAGGGCATAGCAATACCTTGGCTCTATATAGAGAACATGTAGGAATGCCATCTGATATGAGAATTTTGTTTAAACACAGCAGCGAGTATCTGAGTTGTCGGTTCCAATTCTTGAACGAAACAGTTGTTTTATTGTATGTAGTGCTGATAGTTTTGTCTCCCTAGCATATGTTGAGAGTGAATGTATTTATTGGCATGAATGTTAAGTGTGAAAGAGGCAATGGTGGAATATTTAATACCCATTGACCCTCAATTAGGTTAGTTACATAATAGGTGTAAAGGGTGATGGAGGAACCAGTTTGCATTTATATGCATATCTATTACTTAATTTGAGTTTGGGTATTTTGTAGTTTTTATGTAGTTTAAATTCGTGTTGAACTGATAGACACTGGCAACTTTGTCAAAATTCTTCGTGGAGTCTGCACAGTGGTGAACCTGTAGTTTGGTCATGTTTATGCCTCACCCTACTTATATTTCTCACAACCATTGTAGCAAATGCTATTCCTCCACAAAATTAATGGTCAATATGAAAACAATCAACATTAATTATTTGGAGATCGTGAGGTCACAACACCACACAAATCAACATTAAAATTGAATTATTGACACTTTTTGGAATCAGACAGTGATGATAGGCAGATGAACTAAAATTACAAAATCAGTGACAAAATCCTGAAGAAGAAAATTGCTGAATTGCTGAACCTTACCTACCTAATTTTTAATAACTATATTTATTAATGTTGATGGTGGGTGTTGGTCTGCACACAGGTCAGTGAACACATTTCATACCGGCACTGTGTCCCTTAGGCAGTCCCTCACTGAAGATGGAAAGGCAAAACGTGTTCGAGTAATATCAAAAATCTGTGATTGTACACAGCCCTAATCAGTGAACCAGTGTTATCAAAATGTATTTTTTAATATTAAATTGTAAAATTTGATAAATTTCGAACTCATGAGCAATTTAATCATCAGCGCTACAAGAATCAACCTACAACAAGCTTTCATTGAATACAAAATTTAAATGCTTCGATGCATCTGACAAATGACAAAATAGCATGAATATGCATTGGCAGCGAACTTGCCAAATGACAAAGAAGTGTAGGTCGAATATGGTACTCACTCTCCCACAGCCTCTGTAAAAGTACAGTAAGTACAATTAGCTATTAGCAATAATTATGTATGAAAGAATATCACCTTCATATTTTGCCAAAATCTGACCCGGTTCCATGGTTGTACTGTCAAATTTGGACGAACTTTAACTACGAAAGTCTATGAACACAAAAAATCAATGAAAGTAATAAACTAATAAGCAGCAAATAATGAAGTTAAGAAGAAAAGTTGAGAAAATAATGACCTTTCACTTAAGTAAGATGTTATGACGGGTTTTTTGTTTATTTACAAACTCGTTTATATAGGATTTTCTTTTGTAAAACTAGAATGTATTATTTTTAACGATAGTAGGCTAAACAAGATAATTAAATACACGGATTTCTGTAATCCTTAATCATACCGTTAATTCTCGGTGTACTAAAACGTGGTTAAACGATAAAACCTAAAACTTTATTTTCAAATAAAATATATAAGCATATAATGCAATGAATTCTTTTAGGTTATTATTACAATTAATGGTTTTTAAACCATTTTAAAGATTAAATTAACTTCGATTTTAAAGTTTTTCCATTACAGATCCATACTGCCCACATTACTACTATTAGTAAATGTTCTTTTTTTTATTGTATAGGGAAATTAATTTTAATTGTATCACAATCTGCTAAATTGTGGGGAAAAATTTCGCTAATTATTTGTCAGCTGTTTTCTTACGTTATATTGTAGCAATTTGTTTTCAAGTTTTTTGAGCTTTTCGCCGGCTAGTCAAGTCCCTGTTCTAACACAATTATTGATTTATTTTATCTATTTATTTTTTGAGGTCTACGGGGATGAAAACTTGTATTTGGGTAGTTTCCGATAATTTTCGCTCTACCTTGCTTTTTTCGATTATTTATCTGTAGAAGAGCAGAAGAAACAATACGATGCTAAAGAGTAGTCCATTTTGTGTTCCTAAGTTATAAAACAGGGTGTTCGGCTACTCGTGTTACAAACTTTGCCAGTATATTCTACATTCAAAATGGAACCAAAATGTCCTAATTAACTATGGCCTGAATCCCAACAGTTTCGGAGTTATTTCACTTTTTCTGATTTTTTAAGATTTCACGACCCTGCTTCAAATAAACAATAATAACTCCAAAACTAAAAGGTTTTGGACAAATCCGTTGAAACCATTGAAAAGTACGTTAAATTTCCAATAAGTTGTGATCATTTATAAAGTTTTAAACGTTAGTGAAATAAGCGTTTTAGTAGAGAGAACTTTGAAAACTCTTCTTTTTTTCAATATTGAAAAACTTACTAATGTGATTCTAAACTACTATTTTCAAGCCTAGAGACCAGCAAATTTCAGAAAACGTACTCTACGTAGTACGTACGTATTTAATAGCCTTTTTAGTGGTGCTATTGCTTTTTTAATTACTTTTCAGTAAACACTTGCAATATTTCGGTTTCGAACCCAAATTTTAAAAAAAGTTTAATAATTTCATTGAAAATTTCTTTACGTATTTCTATTTTATTTTTCCACCTTACCAATCCTTCAACCCTTTTTCAACTTCAACGTTTTTCATCAATTTCTTCCTGTTTGAAAAAAGTAATTAAAAAAGCAATTGCACCACCAAAAAGGATATTAAATAGAGTATTCCAGGAAATGGAGAAAAGTTTTGGATTATTAAACTTTTTTTAATTTGGGTTCGAAACCGAAATAATGCAAGCGTTTACTGAAAAGTAATTAAAAAATAATTTAAAAAAGCAATTGCACCACTAAAAAGGCGATTAAATGAAGTACGTTTTCTGAAATTTGCTGGTCTCTAGATTTGAAAATACTAGTTTAGAATCACATTAGTAAGTTTTTCAATATTGAAAAAAAAAATAGTTTTCAAAGTTCTCTCTACTAAAACGCTTATTTCACTAACGTTTAAAACTTTATAAATGATCACAACTTATTGGAAATTTAACGTACTTTTCAATGGTTTCAACGGATTTGTCCAAAACCTTTTAGTTTTGAAGTTATTGTTTATTTGAAGCAAGGTCGTGAAATCTTAAAAAATCAGAAAAAGTGAAATAACTCCGAAGCTGTTGGGATTCTGGCCATAGTTAATTAGGACATTTTGGTTCCATTTTGAATGTAGAATCTACTGGCAAAGTTTGTAACACGAGTAGCCGAACATCCTGTATATAACTTAGGAACACAAATGGCATTGTTCTACTCTTTGGCATCGTATATTATCCTGCTCTTCTACAGACAAATAATTATAAATGTATGTAAGTAGTAAATAGTAATAATAAATATTACATTAAATTTTAATTTAATCAAAAACCACCATCGAAAAGCTGAGCACACGAGAAAACCCCCAGATCAACAAACAACATCGACAAATACTCAACACACCCGCGAAAAATACAAAAACGAGGGATACAAAGGCCTAAACAAGTATGTAAACGATGATGGAATAAAAGAGAAACGCGCTTGGCCAAGAACAAACATCAAAAAAGGACAAAAGAGTACTGATCGTCGTCCGAATTAATTACAGCAAAAAGGCTATAAATAAGCATTAAATAACTGTAATCAATAATAATTTTTCAATTAATTGCATTTAATAACAACCATAGCTATAATCAAAAACTAAATGAAAAAGCTACGAACTGGCCAGCAATCACACTGTAAGCTTTATCTTCTTTATTCAGATATCGTGAGATGCGATCTGGTGTGATGTAGGTTTCAGAAAAACATTTTCTTTATCGTACCAACGTTTCGATCTTTATTGAGATCATCTTCAGGGCCTGGGATTTACAAACATTGTTTAAAATTAACAAATACATGTAGGATGTGGAAAAAAGTGAATTTATACAATGCAAAAAAATATATTTTTTATATTCAGTCAAAGTATGTCTACACTTTTCTTTCACTACTACATCACACCAGACCGCATCTCACGATATCTGAATAATTATCAACTAACGGTCACTAATCACCACACATTTATCTTCTTTTTTCTAAAATTGTAGAGATGCTATTACTTCTTAAATTAATTAAATCAATTAGTAGTTCCTTCCAGACACTCAATGTGTAGTCAGAAGTTCACTAAGTACTGCTAAGTGAAGCCCCTTTAAATGACACCCGCTAAATTCATTCCCTAACTACACTTTGGTCTTTTCCGATTATTTCTGTCTGACTAAACACGTCGTTTTGGTTACTTCTTTCACGTTATCTCATAAGAAGTTATGGGGCCACATATTTGCCAGGGTATAAGGAGGATGAGGCATTGATACAAACCTACCGCTGAAGGTAAAAAGAGTGTAAAAATCGGAAAAGATTAGCCCTCAAATAATTGTTTTGACTGGAAAAATCGTATATATCAAATATTGCTAGAAAAATATATTAATGTTTTATCCTTGAAACTTAATAATTTTGCATATTATACCAACAAGTATTAAATCTTTCGTGTTCCAACTTGTTCTGAATGTCTTATTGTAGTGAAACACTAATTTAACGGTTTCTTTTAAACTAAACTAAGAGATCTAAATGGAATATAAAACAAAGAAAGAAAAATTTAGAGCTTTTCTATGGTATGAAGATGTCTCAAAGAAGGGAAAAGGTACGGGAATAGGCATAAAGGGAATTAAGCATCACATCGCACTCGGTTTCACCATCTAAGAAGGCGAATTGCCAGCAATAGAAACATGTGCGCATAAAATTAATTATCAGACAGCCATGCAGCCCTCCAAGCACAAGAGTTCAACTCAAAACTAGTGTGGAACTGCTTAAATAAAATCAGAGTTCTAGAAATATTCGACGCTAATTTACCTCCACGAAACCTGTCACTAAAATCCATAGTTTTCTGGACCACAATAATACAACGCCATCCTAAGAATCACTCACTTTCCTCTCTTATGGACATATTAATTATTCTCATTCCTAAGGGAAACAGACCACCCGACCACATATCCTTTTCCAGACCCATCAGCTTTCTTCCTTCAATGTTAAAAATTCTTGAAAGACTCATTTTAAAACGCTAATCTTAGATACTCACCAATACGGTTTCCGTCCTCATCATTCCATGATCCTACAAGGTTTCAGAGATGTCGACACTACCTCCTGGGTGATAGTGATCCGGTGTGTATGTGATAAGTTCTAATATAATACTTCCACAGAATTAACAAAATTCGGGCACCAAATTACGCATATGACAACAGCGCGGCTCAAGATATCAAGCGCATATTGTATGACTGTCCTCTGCTTGAGATATGTAGAATCGTTAGAATCATGAAATTCTACGCACCAGAAAACAGTGACCACTTCAAGAAAGCGAGTTAGAAGATATTGTGGCCTGTAAAGTGTTCCTGTAAAGTGAAGCTTCCTTTACATGATTTATTAAATTTAGCCAATGGTTCCGTTTATAAGATTAATCACGACTACATCCGGCAGGTGTTCAGAACTAAAAACTTTTTCCTGGTGCTCTTTAATATTGGACAACGACCCCAAAAGTGGAATATATCCTCACTTTCTTTCCTATTACATAAGGAGTAGAGATGTAAGGTTTATAATTAAGATTTAAAAATTCTCCTCTAGTTTTAATTATTACACCCAAAACATCAGTATTCACACCCAAATTCATATAGTCCACATCCAGTCTTAGTCGCCTATATACGTGATGATACTGGCCTTTCTTCTATGTTCCTTTTGATAAAAATTTATCATTTTATCCTTAAGACGAAATCCATGTGTAACTTTTTGCCCCATTCCTCTACAGAACCTAAAACTGTGCGATCGCCTACCTTCCTCATCCAACAATTCCACTCCTGGAACATTTTCTTCCTAATTACTTCAGAGGCGACCAAATTGGGCAAACTGGACAACTGAAGTTTTAGGACCCTTAATACATATCTAAAATATAAGAAGAAAGTAAAAACATAAATCTTGTAAATCGGGGTGTTACTGGAAAGCTTAAACAACTTTTTAAAATACGCTCTCTGGACTCTTTCACAGGAGGTCCGAGCGTTCAAACGTACCAACGCCCTTCAGCCAAACAAAATCTTTTAAAATAGTGAATGGATAGTCTAAAAATTTAAAAAATAAAAAACTATAACTCATTAGATGTCTTATTTCAACGATTCGTAAGAAATGAAAAATCTAAAATTGTATTTGTATTGTACAAGAAAACGGCGGAATAAAATAAAAAAATAAATAATAAAAAAACTTTTCCCTATGCTCTTTTTCCGTGATGGCCCCTCTACGTTGCCTGCGAACCACCTCCCACCGACGACCACCCTCGCATGCTGCAGTCGCGACCCAGTCTCCAACCCAAAAGCTTCGAGATGCCATTTGACTTTATCTACTTGATGTTTGTCGCTGCGGGAGCATGTCGGATTTTGACAATTGCTGTCGAGACAAGTACGTTGCAATTAAAATCTATTTACTTTGTAACTTTCCTATACTTTCATGTGATATAAGAATATCCACGTATATTCTATATTTTTTTCCCCAATCGCTTTCCGTCTGTTTATGCTCGGAGAGTGAGCTCTCCGGTTTTAAAAAATATATAAAGAACTGTTTTACTTCTAGATGATTGGTTTGACGAAATGAATTCGGATTTGAGCTACTTGAACCGAATCGCGTCCAACATCACCTGGAGGGGTCTTTTGGGCCTGGAAACCGACGGAGTGATTAGTGCTGAAGAGGTGCGTACGAGGTGGAGGAATGCGAAATGCGAAGAAGTCGCCCAGCTGAACAATCTGAGCCGGACACAATCCAGGATGGCCTACCTACTCTGCCGAGGGCCCAAATATACTGTACACCAGTCCAAGTAAGACGTTCCTTGTCTAAATTGTACAAGCTTTTACTCGTTATTAAATTATTTGGGACCGCATTTGCTCGCAGTTTGGTTAAGAATACCAAGGTATATGGCAATGTCTTAAGAGCTTGGTTGATTCATACATATACCACAAATGTTTGGTTATTGCTTGAAGCTTTAATCAAAACGCAAAATTTTGAGAGTACCTACTGAGGCCTGCAGAGTGATGAATTTGTAGTTTGGTCAGTTTTGGTCTGTGTCGTCAGTGTTGAGTATAGAACAAGGGAATGCTGACCAGGATGATCGGAGACGATCAAAGTTTCATCACCCCGCAGACCTCGACAAGAAATCTTATAATTAATAAAATTGTTTAAACAAAAGGAGCTTGACTCTCTCGCTCTCTCTCTCTCTATATATATATATATATATTATGCAGGGTGGGCGACCAAGACCCGAGGGGTTAAATGCCTGGGTAGACTCGTACCCCATCCCTAAAAGGTCCGGGACTTGGTCGGCTCACGTATCCTCCATAAACCTCTTGGACTTGTTCACAAACCCCAAGATTTTGGACCATTTTATCTCGGGGAGTGATTTGGTGATGTCCTCTCCTTCAAAGATTTCATATCTAGACCTAGCATAGCATACCTATCACATTCCGCGAGGTAGTGCTTTGCCGTTTCTTCTTTTATTTCGCAGAAGCGGCAAAAGGGATCTGGTAGGATACCCATTACGAAGAGGTGTCTTCTCAGTGGGCAGTGGCCCGTCAGAATACCTATCAGCCTCCTAATTCCCTTCCTTGAGATAGAGAATAGCCACTTCGATTCAGCTGGTTTGATCGCCTTAACAAACTCTTTCGATTGCCTGTGTCCGGGGGAAGGAGCTTGACTAAGTAAAATAACATACATCATTGAAGTTGGTGAAATCAACCAACTATCAAAACACATCTGTTAGGCCAAAACAGTGAGTAAGGACAGATTAGGGTGATCGTAAACGACTAAACTTTAAGTTCAATACTTCATAGATCTCGTTAAGAAACCTCATAATTTAGTCTAACAAATTGGACTGGACTAGATTGTAGATTTGTTCTTAAAGCGGCTAAAGAATTAACTCTGCATTTATCAGGTAGGACTATTGTTCTATTTCATATATGGGTGAGTGTGATAGCACTCGGGGAGCAAGAGCGCGATATCACACTCACCGTCCTGAAAGGGTTAAAGTGGCAGCACAATCTTAAGCTCTGCGTCTATCACGTAGGGCTATTGCTTTCCTTCACGAAAAGACAATAGTTCATTATCTGAATATGTATATCTTTTGGTTTTTTGGCTGTTTCCGACCATCCTGGTCCGCCTACCCTCGCTGTACCCATGATTGAAGATGTCGAAATACCGAAATGCATTTAACAAGCCTCTTAGCGAACTCAGGTCTCCTGGGTGATCGGAAACAACCAAACCTGAACACCTAGCAAACCTCGACAAGAAGCCATTTGATTAGGTTTGAAAATATGTACTGACTAGATTTTTGATTTGTTCTTAAGGTGGCTAAAGATTCGTAAGCTCTCGTCTATTGGTAGAGCTCCAACCTACGTAGGCTGTAGGCCACTATCTAGCATCAGAATTTTTGGTGTTTGACCGTTTTCGTCCACTCTGGTACGCCAACCCTTGCTGTACCCACGATTGAAGTAGCGAAATACCGAATCGCATTTAACAAGCCACTTAGCGAACCCCGTCACCTGGGTGATCGGAAACAACCAAACTTGAACACCTAGCAGACCTCGAGAAGAAGCCTCATGAGTAGGTTTGAAAATATGTACTGACGAGATTTTTGACTTGTTCTTATGGTGGCTACAGATTCGTAAGCTCTGCGTATATTGGTAGAGCTCCATACATACAGTAGGCATTAGCCCACTATCTTGCATCAGACTTTTTAGCGTTTGACCGTTTTCGTTCACTCTGGTACGCCAACCTTTGCTGTACCCACGATTGAAGTGGCGAAATGCCGAAACCGTGTGACAGTGCAAAACAGTGATGGTATGCAAACTAAACTACAGCAATTTTTGGTTTGCAACAACAAACAACAGCTCTTAAGATGTATATTCTAGCTTGCTCGTTCTCAAGAGCAGCTGAGGGCACTGTTTACGAATAGTGTTCGTAAGAACGTCCAGAAGTGTACCAGGATGATCGGAAACGACCATACTACGAGTTCATCATTTTTATCTCACATATCTTTGCAGGATTGAGCTTTTTTGACCTTCGTAGTTGCATTTATTTTATATATCCTTTTCTTCCTCTTTTTGGTAGAACTAAATACTAAAACTAATCTGGTCCGTCTATCCTCGCTGTACCCACGATAGAAGATGGTAAAATGCCGAAACAGGGCTGGCAGTTTAAAAAAGCGAAGATTTAAGCCAGAATAATCAGTAACAATCTAACTACATCAATTCTGTTTCAGTTCAGTTGAAACTGTTCCGAAACAAGCCATTATAATAACATATAATAATAATATAAATTATAATAAATATGAATTGTCCTGCCCTTGAAAGAGAAAAATACTCAGAGAAAAGAAAAACGACTCACCAGTTAGCCTGAATGCTAATTCTAAGATAATTTGTAGTTTAAAAAATGATAAATCCACAAATCATGGTATAATTTTTCAAGTTTAAGAAATAATAATTATATTAGTTAGAAAAACTGAAGGAAAACAAGTTCATTATTTTTCGCCATGAGATTGAAACGAGTCACTCCCCGGTAAGAGACTATAAAACGTTTCATTTCCATTTTAATTGTCATCTTTCTCCTCTTAAAAATCCAGTTGAAAGATTAAAGCATCTCTCAGTGTCAAAAATTGTTGTAGAAATTATTTTTTTAGTGTGAAAAAGTCTAAGAAAGTAAAGAAACTATCAAAATTGGATCTCTCTAAATCCATAAAGCATAAAAGAAGATGATCGCAGATATCGGATTTTAATCCAGGATTAGCTGATATACTACAATGGATTAAGGCGAGTATAAATAATCGGCATTGTCCAGACTGTTTGCTTTAACTCCCTGGACCTCAATCCCGAACGAGTGAATACCCATAAAGGGAATCAACCCTCTTTTCACAAATAAAGTATAAATACAGCCTTGCTTTACTTTAATTTTTATTATCAGATGACCTGATAAAATTAGAGAATCGAAATCCTTTAGAAGCGTAAATAATTTGTTTTTATTTAAACGAAAAACAAGGCATATAGATAATTTTGAGATTGTTTTTTGAAGTCTATCGGTTGATGAGAATGTGTTTAGTTCGTTTCCGATCATTCTTTCTAAGCTCACTGTTTCAGTCTGTCATGCCCGTTTTGACAGTTTTGCCGTCTTCGGTGGTTATCAGGGATATAAGCAGGGCGAGAAACCCACCACTAAATATGCCGAAATGCCGCTCTTCTCTGAAATAGTTCCGACCGAGCTATTAACCAAATTGAGAGAGATATTGCGCAACTTTGGAAACATACACGATTTCTTGGTTGTTCGCAAAACTAACCGGAGGGCCTCGATTCGGTTTTGAGTTTGTAAAAACGCCCAGAATTGTAGTTTCTTCACTGGTTTGGCCTGTTGGTTGCATTTTGGTAGTTACTGTTTTATTGGCTGTCATTGTCATAAGTGTGATGAAGCACCGAATCAAACCTACAGGGCATAGCAGAGGTAGACCGAAATGATCAAGAAGCAAACTCAAATTTGGGAAAATCGTTCATAAATAATGTTTACAGTCTGAGATTTAGGTGCGACCGGTAGCTCGTTTGTTTTTACAGGCTCTTACTTAACCACTTGGATGGTCTCAGCAACATCTACAGGGATTCGAGAATTTGTCGTAATCGAGACCTTTGCTACGCGATCGAGCCCGACTTGGACGTGATGATGAGAGAGAGCCGTGACCCGGCTGAACTACTCTGGGCCTGGACCGCCTGGAGGGCCGCCGTTGGTCCGCCGAGCCTCCAGATCTACCCGACCCTCATACACATTCAAAACCAAGCGGCGCAGAACAATGGTGAGTTACCTCCAGTTGTTTTATCACAATGTATTATAAACTTAAGAGATCTTTTAGTTTATAGGGTAGATTCATTTTAGAGAAGAGCGAGAAATATGGACGTAAGAATGGGTTTGAATAGAGACTAGGACATTAGGAGTAAAGGGAACTTAGCGCAACTGTGCATGCTGGTTTGATATGTTAGACGCTTTCATCATTTCATCATCTCAAATGCTGGGTCTGGATGATAGGCAGGGCACGGCTGAAGATGATAATAACTAAAACACGTTTAACATGCAAAAATATCAAGAATAGGCAGACCAAATTTGGAACCGACCAACCAAGTTCATCACCTCATCCCTTGACATAAATCTCATAATTAATGAATGTGTTTGAAAAAATAGACTGGTCTAGATTTTGATTGTAGATTTGTTGTCGAGGTGGCTAAACATTCTTAAGCTCTACATCCTCAGTCTACTGCTCCTCCATAGATGGGATGTAGTTCATCGGTATACCTATCCTCTCTGTACCTAAGATTGAAGAAAGCGAAATGTCTAAACATATCTGACTGATTAAAACTGCAAAGAAATACAGGCCAGAATGATTAGAAACTACTTAACTACAGGAATTAGTTTGATGAATACTTTCTTCTTCGAAAGTTATTAAAAACAATAGTAGCCTGATATACCAGATCCGAGTTAAAACGGCATCTGCAAGAGCTCTGGTCCCATATCATAACCGGGCTTTTTCATTCTCTGTTGACGTAGGTTTTGTAATGAAAGTAACATACCAATATAAACTTTTTGCATCAGCAGATAAACACTAAAAAAGTCCTAATCTGAAGCCTCGCATTACATGTTTGCCAAAGTAAAATGATGGACTTAAGGACTAATTTAACATAGCGAATTAATCAAGCAACATGTTATGTTTAATTTTTCCAATAATGTAGTTCATGCATCGAAACGATTATGGTAGTAGTTTGAGATGCGAAGGTGGTATGCAATTGCTGATTGTAGCGGGACAAACCTTAAGAATCCCTGTATGCAGGCTATATAAGGTTCATGTTCTACTAAATCAACTCGAATAAATTTTCCGAAGTTCGGCTGACAAGACAGGCTTTCTGGTAATCGATGTATTTTATTTAAAAAATAATAATAATATGCACTTAAACGCGTTTCCGAATTCGGAAATAACCGAATATTAAATAAAAATCTCCGAAAGCATTAGCATATGAATGTATAAAAGCCATTCTGGTACAATTCAGGCACTCGAAGTCTTCTGAATGAGTCACAATGGCTCATTTGAATTTGGATCCCGCCTCCAGCCTCTACTCTATTCTATTCAAGTATAAAATGGTAGGTAGATTCTAATACTGTTCGTGTTAAAATGACTGTATCGTTGTTGTCACCAAGATCGGCACAAATAAACCGTCAATATGTTTGACAAATCTCACCACTCATTGATTTTTCTAGTGTATATGCGGTATACATCTCATTTACCGGATTTGAATTCAAAAGGAACCGAAGTTGTGACCCTGGAGTAATTACATATATTTATGAATTTTCTGAACACATTTTGCTCTTTCTGCATGTATTCAGTCATGACTCATGGGTCTTTATCTAGTACTGTTGGTACCAACCGATATCGGGCCACTGTACCTCGCAGCACTTAATGGTTTATTTTTTTGTGCATCCAAGGTTTGGTGTGAACTAGGAACTATACTAGTTTATACCAATGTAATAACTTTTATTTATTCCTTGTCTATAACTCAACTGGTCAGTTTTATCATGTCGCTTGTATCGAGTCATGTTCGAAATAAATGCAATGACAATTTTCCCAAAGATTTGGTCATTTTGCAATCTCAATGCTTTTAAACGATCCTTAAAGCTTAAAGATTTTACCTATCATCATCACCCAGTAGAGGTACAACGTGTGACTATTTTTATTAGTCTTCCCTGATTCTTACAGCCCGTTCCAGCATCTAATCTTAAGAATTCCTCTCTCGTCTTGGGCAACTCCGGCATTATCTTTACCGAATCAACAAGTAGAAGAAATTGTTCTTGCTACTGAAATATTGTATTGCACTAACGATGATTACTCGGCACTTGAGGAAGGTGCTAACCTTGACAGCCCACCATTTAAATACAATAAACAGTCAAGTAAAGTCCTGCATGGGCTCTGGTTGGCAGAAGGTTGGAGGAAACATGATGTAGGAATGAAGTGCTGTGAACTTCAAATTGCCGTACGCTGATAATCTTTCTGATAGTCGAGGTTGAAGTCGCTGTGTGGTTGGCTATTGCATAGGAACCCGCGATCAGTCTTAATATACTCTTCTGGAGGATCTGGACTGTTTCATCTGTGAGTATGAAACTGAAGACCATAAATGGCAACCTTAGACAGGCCTGAGGTAGACATTTAGTACCAAGGGTAATGGCTTGATGGTGAATAATTGCTTCAAGCTTTTTATCCTGCGCCTTCATGCTAGGTTTGATATGTGCTCCCTCCAAGTCATTCTTTTATCCAACTTGATGCCCATATACTTGCTCCATGTCCTCAGATTGATGATTTCATTTCATCATTTTGTAGAGTTAATGGAGAAAGCCTTATATTTTTCCTACGACAACTGTTGGTGGGTTTATGTGCAAACAAATGCATTGATTGTGTTTAATGGTTAAAAGGTGTCGACCCATCAAGAGCTACGCACAACGACCAGGGGTCGATTTCTTCTTCAACATATTATCCTCACTAAGCTAGAGGCTTTTTACCAGATTCCAAAGTATTCTTGATAATTCCTGTATGCATCCTTCAGGCCCGGACTTTTCCTATCTCAGGAATAGGAATCTGGGCCTAGCCTCCACACCGAACATGTTTCTCTGTCTCTTCTTCTTCCTTGCAATACCTGCACAGGCTTGTTTCTACTGCTCGTAGATGTGCCCTGGAGTCTGCAGTCTTCAGTAAGCAGTCCAATTATTATTCTAGTCCTAGCATGTTCTAGATTTAGAACTTCGGCTCTTAGTTTCGGCGGTGGGCCTTTGATAAACCACTTCAAATGCCTCTGTCCTGGAATATTACGACATACTGGAATATTACCATTGAACCGAGAACTTATTACCTAGCAGAGGACCTTATTTAATATTAGTCTGTTCAAGGAAATTAGTTTTTAGCTTCTAACATCTAGTTTCCTGCTTCTGCCTTTAATACTAACCGCTTTACATCGCCCATCGTTTTTCCTACAATATCCAATTACCCGAGAGAGCTCGTGCTGGACAGATTTATAACAAATGCTTCTCCCAAAATGGTTCTTTTATTTTCTAATTGGCTAAATTATCGAAGCCACGGATGCCTGCCTTGACAAGAGGATTTAGAGGGTATCTGTGTTCGCACATATTGTCACTGTCATACGTTGCTTTAAATAAGTTATATGTATAATAAATAAGTTATACGTATCTACTAGGGAAGGTCTCTCGAAAAGAACGTTGGACAGGATCCTATAGTCAGGACTCATAAATACATTGGTAATCATCAGTTCAGCCGATCTTTCTTATGAATTGGGCATTTAATATTTATTGGGTAACCATTCTTTTTACCAAATCAGGGAGATAGAGTATTACAATTAATTTTCAATGTATCACTGTGCATTTTTAGGGTACAATGATATCGGAGAATGCTGGAGAGAAGAACTCGAGACGCCGAATTTGGAAGAAGTGGTCGAAAGGCTTTACCAAGAGGTGGCTCCGTTTCACAAATTGCTGCATGGATTCGTTCGCCACAGGCTGATACAGTTTTATGGCCAGACCAACGTCCCGGCCGAGGAACCTATTCCGGCTCACCTCCTCGGTAAGAGACATCGCGAGAATTCTCACCCGCTTCTTTTCTCCGAGTGGATCGATTTACTCTTAAGAAAGAAATGGCAATTAACCGGAAACACCTTTAGCTTGGCAATAAAACAACAATCATCGTAAATCCACTCCACCCCGAGGGAAGATTAGGCTTAATGAAAATAAAACTCCCAATTTGGATCGGACGGAGGATTCCCTTTTATTTAATTTGCCTTCTGCTCAATTCAATTTCTCCGGCCAAGCTTACTTTCAGAACAATCCTCGCAATTCATTTGGTAACAATTTGATACTGTTAAATTAAGCCGATTTATTTTCATTTCTTAGCCACTAGACGTCAGTCCTGTTTGATTGTTTTGAATCGGCTTAATAAAAAAGAATTACAGTCATTTTTAAAAAGGTGGAACAAGATTGTGTGAAATGAACCTTATGCAAATCATTTCCCAAAAGAAATCCTTTTTTGCTCATTTGTTTAATATGTCTCTTGGCTTTTTGGTAATGAATAATTTTCAGTTGTCATGGTGCATACTCTCGTATGTGGTGTAGTTAGTTCTAGTCCATATTCCTCCGTCCATATTCCATCATCCTCACGTCGTCTTCCACTTTTCTAACGGTTCAGCTTCAACATGTTCTTCGGTAGCATCCTGCCGCCGCTGCGTTTGTTCTTTGATGATGACCGTATGACATTAACCGCGCCAAAGGTTCGGTCCTCCAATTTTCGTGCTTGTTTAATTTTTTGAGGACGTTTCTTTCCCAAACCTTCAGTATGATTTCACTTTCCTTGGTCATCATCCATAATTCACTCCGTGCATCACAACAGGTGTTCTTTTCTGCCGCACGAGACTATGTTTGAAGCTTAAGCATCTGATTTGAGATAAAAAGCTATCTACCCGCTCGTATTCTACCCTTGGTCTAGGCGTTTATGTCCTTTTTTATTTCACCAGAGATACTAAATACTGAAAGCTTTCTGCATGATAATTGAGAGCTATTTTAAGTATTTAAGAGTTATTGTATCCGATGTTCTGTACTTTTTGTACGCAGTCCTAAGTCACTAAAGGAATTTCATTGATTGGCCCAGTTGAAATGATACAATTTTATATGTGTACGTTTACACTATATTCTGATAGTAGGAGTGTTGAAGATCGTGTTGGTTGATACAAATTTTGATTTACTAAATCCCAGCCAATTTCAATCACTGGAGTCCTTGACATCATCGTATATTTCTTATATTCATTTGTCACCAAAGCCCCTTGGTTGTCACTGATGCGACAAGCACTTCTACATCTACAAAAGGATGGATGCATGCTGGCCACATCGTCTGCGAACTCATTAGGTCAGTCTATTGTAATATTTCCTGCGTGGTTAATTCGATTTGCTCTTATCACTTTTTCGACGTTCGAGGATTAAAAGATCTTAGAGGAATTGGGTCTTCTTGGCCTGTCAAGTAAACTTATTTATTTGATAGGGTTCAACCAACTTTTACCTGGGACTTTGATTCCATTTTATCTAATCCCACTAACTTCAGTGAAGCTCGCCCGAATATACCTGATATCGCTAGACACCTTTTCCCTATCAACCGTTACATCTGCTTGAAATTTATAAACAATAATTATTTGGAGATCGTGAGACCAGACCGCATCTCACGATCTCCAAATAATCATTGTTTATAAATTTCATTAATTAACGGTCACTAAACACCACATATTTCTGTAAGCAATATATCCAGACACTGTCTTATAGAGGACTCGTGTATCAGGCAATATGTGGGCCCAAAGCTGGGAGAGTCTGATGGACATCTTGTTGCCGGCCTGGACCTTCGACATGGACGAAAAACTTCGAGAGACAGTCCGTAAGCCTGAGGACATGCTCAAGAGGTCAGAAGAGTTTTACGAATCCATAGGTCTCCCACCGATGACGGCCAAGTTCTGGAAATACTCGCAGATCAGCCCCCAGACATCCAACGAGTCGTCCTGCCATGGAACTGCTGCTGACCTCTTCGACGAAAACGACTACCGGTAATTGGGCATTTAATTTAAGCTGAGTATTATAGTTGAAATACGTTAAATGCACCGTTAAGTCCGTAACCATCATAGCCAGACAATCAGTAGACAACTTCATCCCCATTTCCCGTACAAAATAATTTTTAACGATGAACTAGATTTATCGACCTGCTGGATACAAGAAGTCTTTTCAGAGGATCTTCCGAAGAGGTTACCTACCTACACGAAAAAATAATTTTTAATTTATATAGGCACTAACCGTAGAAACACTGTAATAGTACAGTGTCCTACATGGACTGTGCCATTAATGTTCGAAAATTGTTTCCTCCATATAGCTACATAATCAGAAATTCTGACAACCACGGAATGAATGCAACTCAATTTTCTTTCTATCACCCACAAAAAGCAGGTCGATACATTACAGTAGTAAAACCTAATGTAAAGTTCCCAACGTTTAGGGATGGTTAGGGACCCCAAAGCGATAATCCGCGCACTATTGAAGTGAACAGATTACCACCTGGGGAGTGGAGAAGTAGGACTTCTCCCAACTTAGGTCTTACGCCAGTTGATCCACTTGGGACTGTTTCTTCATAGAGATGACGAGATTCTACGTAGCATTTTTCCTATTTTTTCTGCAGAAAAGTCTTAATTTTTTGTTAGCTATAGTCGTCACCTTAGTATTCATTTCGGTTATTTAATTTGAAAGAAAAATTAAAAAATCTTTTCCTGACAGTTGAAATATTCGAGAAATAGACAAGAAAAATCCAACAATTGATTGTGATTGTGCTATTCAGTACTAGATAGCGGTACTAGAGATAATCTGTAGGTACATCATGAAAATGTACCCTATATTATCTGACTTATTACTTTTTGTGATTTTTAAGCTTTATTTGTACACATGTACAGTACTGATATGTAAAAGTTACAGATTAACTCATTATTAGACAAGATAATGACAAGTAAGGAGTGAAAGCACCCACCGGTCAGCTCCACATGAAGAAGTAATTTTTATCACTTCTGGGTTGAGACCTATATTTGCAGCATAAGTTCTTTTCATTTGGCTGTATCAGAATTTTTAGAGGGTGTCTGCCAGTCTTCTGTAATGGGTCAGGATAAGGTGCTTTAGATTTTCTGTAGATATCTGTAATAACTGAGGTCACTTAGGGTTGCCCAGATCTCTGTGGATTGTCTTTACTCTTATCATAATAAGGAGCACTGGTTATAAGCCTTAAAATGAGGTTTTGAGTGGTTTGAAATATTTCAATTTTTGACTGAGTGGCTGAGGGCCATGTTGCATAACCGGGGGTCAAATTGGTCAGAGATTTGTTTCTCTTTTTTAAACATAGGAGTGACATACATTCTCTGATGAACTTTAGTAAAGGAGTTTTTTATGTGATCATCTCACAAAACCTGTTACTGTATCTGTTAAGAAACTAATTTTTTCTCTTGATGATGAAGACATCATGATGGATTTATGTCTGACTACATAACACGTAATGGACCTTCAATTTTTGGTATTAGTTCATTTTTTTAAATAAATTATTGAAGTGCTATGTGAATTATTCGGCTCATTTATTCAATGGAATAGTAGAGCCAAACAAAATTAACTTTTTTATCATTAATTTTTTATTCTTCTGATAAATTATTGATAAAATAACATAAAAATATGGGTTAAAATATTAATCATTCTAAATTTATAAAGGGGTTTGAAAATGGTCTCTACCCAAATTTTAGTACCCTAAAATCTTGTGATTTTGTTATTTCCAATCATTTCATCTTCACCATTTTGGTCTGTAAGACAGGTAGTTTAACAGCAATAATAGGTCATCCAAAATGATTAGAAATGACCAAGGTACAATCTATACATGAAATCTATCATAATTGACGATTGAGTTCTTTATATTGGATATCACACCTACATTCTACGCATCATAAACTTCTTTTTATATACCATTTAATGAATAATATTGATACAGCTTGAATAACGAGCAAGAAGCCTTGATTTTGAGCAGAAGTAAAAAAAGCGATTTGCCTGATATGTTTGATATTTATGTATTTTATACTCTTCAATCACACTGATCCATCCTATTCTCGCTGTGCCAATGATGGATAATGGCAAAAGGCCAAAATATGCCTACATAACAAGAAAGCGAAGATAGGTAGACCAAAATGTTTGGAAACAACAGGTTCATGAAAAGAGAAAATTTATACGATTTTGATTTTTTTACAATGCCTTAGGATGCTTCTATGTGCACAGATAAGATGGGAAGACTTTTATGTTGTACATCATGAAATGGGTCATATTGAGTATTTCATGTCGTACAAAGATCTCCCCACTATATTCAGGGTAAGTTATTATTAATTGCAAAAAAAAGAAATTTTTTTTTAAATAAATCGTAATATTAATTTGTTTTAATTATAAGGATGGAGCAAATTCAGCTATGCAAGAGGCAATAGGTGACACAGTAATGCTTGCTGTCGAATCACCTACAAACTTAGTCCGCATGGGAATTATTCCAAATTTAACTGAAGGTAAAATTTTTTTGCCTTGGTGAAATCGTCTACTATCATCAATCAACTTTATTTTAGAAATCAAACTTTCACTAATGCTTAAGCAAGCACTGAAGAACATCCCTAAGATAGCGTTTGGTCTCGTGGTTGACAAGTGGAGGTGGAATGTCATGATGAACAAGATCCCGTCTCACAAATACAATCAGATGTGGTGGCACTACCGCTGGCAATATGAAGGAATTCAGGCACCGATCCCGAGGGGCAAATACAATTTTGATCCGGCTGCTAAGTACCACATTGCCGACAACACTCCTTTCATAAGGTAAAAGATTCACAACAAATTTTAAATCTTTTTAAAAAGACAGTTCCAACTCATAGTAAATTGTTTTCAACGATCTGGATTTCAAGCTTACAGCTCATCATCAGGTTGAAGTAGACGGTGGGTTGACTTTTACAATTCATGTCGAGAGATGTGGTTGTAGAACTCCTTCAACCTGATGATGAGCTATAAGCTTGAAATCCGTATCATTGAAAACAACTTACTATGAGTAGGAGCTGTCTTTTTAAAAAGATTGAACAACACACTCATTTCTAGAAATTTTAAAATCTTTCATGACTTCTTAAATTTCAATATGTAAAATTTGAAGGTCTGTGGGTGAGAAACTTGCGCCTATCTCGCTGCTTTGATCTGTTAGACACATTTTGACATTTTTCTATCTTCAGTGGTGAGTTTTTGTCTGTGGTCATCCTGCTTATTCACCCTTTAATTGAAAGCACTATCGTCACCAATAATCGCAAAGATAAGCTGACCAAGATGATTGGAAAATGAAACTTGTTTTTTGAACAATTGAAAGTTTACTAAAGGCTATTTCCGTCCTTGGTCAAAGTTTATAGTCAGTGGTGGGTACAGTGAAGATAGGTAAACCAGGATGATCAATAATGACCAGACTACAATTGTTATCTGTTAAAAACAAGATTCGTCTAAATGAAGTAACACACAAGCCTACCACCAAACAGTCGCTAATTAGATCAGAATGATTTTTAATAACCAAACCACATATTATCTCATTATTAATTACTGATATTTCTTTTTGAACAACCCGTTAAACTAGTGACTCAACTAAGTAAAATGTCTACCTATGAAGAATAACTATTGGAAACAACCAATTACTTTTTATCACTAGTGCTTTTAGTCAATCATAAAACTTTATCAGTAATTATCGTCTATTTATTGATTTTAAATCATTATTTACTAGAAATTCAACAAAAACCTTATTGTTTTATAATAAATGCTCTTACCTTTTGTTTGAGCAAGTTGCTTTTACAGCAGAGGGATTTACTGGTTATTCTAACCCGATCAGTCAAGGTTAAGGGTTAAACATAACTAATTATTTTATGTATTAACAATCTACATTTTGGTGATGAGATATTTGTTTTTTTAACTTAAGTGATCAGAATAAATAGACTACTGAATGTCCTCTATTTTTTCAATATTATATATTTTAAAAAATTGACCTCGTAGATTGTTAAAAATAATTTAAAAAGTCAGTCTCCTCACATAACATGTTAGGTGAAATCATTATTTCTGCAAATTCAGGAATACATTTAAACAGATGATGAATCATTTAAACTATCAATTGACTGAAGAAGATTTATGATAATGGTAAGTTTATGAAAACTTACTTTAAATTTACTTTATATTTATTTAAACTGTCAAATAAGGTCAATAAATTTTTGACTATTGCTTTTTTTCGAACTACTCTGCCATAAAGAAATAATTTAAATGTCATATGTTTCAGATATTTCCTTAGTGAATTTCTTCAGTTCCAGATATTTGATGTTTTGTGCGAAGGTCAGAACCGCCGTCTATACCTGTGTGACATATACGGCAATAAACAAGCTGGAAAAAAACTAAGGTAGATGGCTGGCATGTTGATAAACACGAGAAACTGATCGATACTGGTCACCTACTGGGCGTTTGTAAAAATGAGAATATACCCAGTGAAGTGATCACTTTCGATCAGTTCAACATTTATAGACAATATAAAAAAATAAAAAAAATACTGGATATGAGATATTTTGTAAGATCTGTTCATGATGGAAAAGAGGTCAAAATGAAAACCATAGAGGAAAAAAATTCATAAAAAGATTTATTTTCAGTTGTCGTTACATTGTATGCACATTTTTTTTACAGTTTAAACACAAACGTCAATTCTCTTTCCTGTGAAAGTTTGAAAATATTATTGTACAAAAATATTAAATTATTCAACAAAAAAATTTACCAATAAGCGGTAAGATTCAACTTTATAATACACTTTGCAGGTACGATATGTGAGCAAAAATAATTATACTTACATCTATAATTAAAGTTTTAAAAAAAAACCTAAATATAAGTTTCAGCAACTTGTCAACAGCCTGAAAAGTTATATGTTGAACGCAAATAATAAAGAAAAATTCTATAAATGAAAAAACTGTACAATATAAACATGCAAAAACTCTACAAAATTTTACATATTCAGTCAAGATAAACTTCCAAATAAGTTCTTTTTTTACAGGAAATTAATGGGACAAGGATCAAAACAACCCTGGGACGTAACATTCGAGGATTTTTCTAAAGGAAAGTTCAAGACCTACTCAGCTGCACCTCTTCTTGACTATTTCGACCCTTTGATCAAGTGGCTGCAAAAAGAAGTCATGAAGCATAAAATTCCTTTAGGCTGGTGAATGTGAAAAACACTTTCCTGATCCTAGCTAAATTAAATGCATTACATATCTGCAGCATTTGTTTTTCTGTTCATTTACATCACTTGCATGTTGTTAATGAGTTTAGTTTTTAGCTGGGATTGAATGTTTTATTTGTTTGTTAAATCAGGAAAATGTTTTGTTTTCAATAAAGACATAAATTAATTTTCGTCTTCTTCTTTTCCAAGTCCTTCATTCGTAAATAGGTCAAACTCTTTTCTACTGAATAGTGCATTTTTAACATCATTTTCTATTATTTCTTTAGGGGCTCTGAAAAAAAAAAAAAAAAAAAATCAGTAAATAAACAGTGAATTACAATAAACACCTACTCGTTGTTGTGTCTTATCATGCCAGCAGCATATGATCTCCTGATCAGATCCTCAGCGATGGAATTGAAAGCTGACACTAGGACAGCAAGTGCTGCTGGATAAGCGACGCCTTCCGTTATCAACTCCTCTTTTGAAACACTCTTCGAGACATAGTGCGTGCAAGAGCCTGCGATAAATTCTCCGAGGCCTTTCAAATTATTGTCAAGTGGCAGGTGAATTATATTTTCATTATCAGACAAATTTTTGGTATGTTCTACAATTACGATGTGCGATAAATACAAGTTACGAGTTATGTCGGGAAATTTCATTTACCAACCTCTTGAGATAGGATTATCATTAATTATGTCGATATTTTCACATTTGTCGAATGTAGATATGTCAGTCTTCCCTTTCAAGATTGGAGGAGGCGAAAAATTCAAACTTATTGGCTCTTGAACAGCCGTAGTCTCATCTGCTAAATTTACGATGTATTAGTAAATTTAAAAGCTCCTAATCAAGTGCTAAGCATAATTAAATATATCATTGGGCGAAGGCATCCTATTCGTATTTGACCACACAGTCCTGGGTTCAAATCCTGGCAGGCCTCAGAGCCTATGACTTTTTAATTGTTAAATATTTTCTCAATTTGCATAATGATTCTAATTAAATATGTATTTAAAGCTTTGAAAGAACTGCAATAATACAATACGATAATATTGAAACAAAATATTAATTAATGACATGCCTTCACTAATAACATAAACTTGGGTTGTACATGTAAAAGAAAAGAAGGTAAGATACATATTGATACATTCAGTAAAAAAATGAAAGGTCTCTGAACCTACCAATTTTCCCAAAAATATGAGCTACAAATTGCCTATCATATGTCATAGGAACATTATTTTCATAAATTCTATTACTTGTACTGTAGGTTGTTGAAAAATATACTATGACATAAAATTTTTTAATTAACCTTTTCGACATCATGAAATGAGTTCTCTTCAGTTACATTGTATATCCCATAAAAATCTTTGTTTAGATTGTTTTGTAGTATTAAAATATATTATATCAGTAAAATTTACTGTACGTGCCAGTGGCTATCCCAACAATTTTATTCATTTATCTCTCTTAAGGTATCAATCTTACTAACTTTTTCTAACCAGTTTAAACTGCTCATTTTTTTCTTTTAAAAAACATTTCACATTATAAAATTTATATCTGCGGGGCGTCGGTAGCCACAAGGGGCATTGACAAAAAAAATAAATAAATAAAAAATAATTTAAAAAAAAAAAAAAAACACTGGCACCTCGAGTAGTTGAAACTTGCAGCTGAAATACCCTTGTTAAGAAAATGAAATAAATAAATAAAAAATTATTACTATACCATATTTGTTACTATTTATGTCTTGTGAAAGACCTGGTCAATATTATTCTTTTTTAATTCTATTATGATGTTGTTATAACCTATTTTTTAACAATTGAACTGTTTTTCCAACATATGTCTTTTTACAGTTACAAATGAGCAAATATGCAACATTAGAATTACACATTTTATCTTTAATTTTACATAAAGGTGGTAGGCATTTCCATTTTTTATTTTTCATACACTGATATATCATTAAATTATTATCTATTGCTTTTCATCTTGTAAAGGATTTAATATTTTTTCTGTTACACCTTGTACATAAATCATAACAGCATATTTTTGTGTTCATAATTTTTCTTTAAGTTACTATATTAATTTAAGTTTTGTTTTGCAATTATTATTTTTTGTAGTCTTTTGGGATAATTATTTGCCGTAAAGGTTTTTATTAGATTGTTTATATTATCATCATGAAATCTAGCATTACTAATTTTTACAATTTTGTTTAAGAAACTATATAGTTCATTGATTTTTTTTTTATTGAATGTGGTGAATAAAAAATTGATATTCTATTATTGTATTCGGTTTTTATACTAATCTAACATTGTTTAAATTGTACAAATACATTTAGGTAAAAAATGAATTTATACAATGCTAGAAATTTTAGTTTTAATAATAAATAAACAATTTATACAATGCTAAAAAAACTTTTAGATTAAAAAAATGAATTTATACGATGCTAGAAAATTTTAGATTAAAAAAAATGAATTTATACAATGCTAAAAAAATTTAGATTAAAAAAATAAATTTATACGATGCTAGAAAATTCATTTTTTAGCATTATATAAATTCTTTTTTTTTTATCTAAATTTTTTTAGCATTGTATAAATTCATTTTTTTTAATCTAAAATTTTCTAGCATTGTATAAATTCATTTTTTTAATCTAAAATTCTAGCATTGTATAAATTCATTTTTTTACCTAAAATTTCTAGCATCGTATAAATTCATTTTTTAATCTAAAATTTCTAGCATTGTATAAAATCATTTTTTTACCTAAAATTTCTAGCATAGTATAAATTCATTTTTAATCTAAAATTTCTAGCATTGTATAAAATCATTTTTTTACCTAAAATTTCTAGCATTGTATAAATTCATTTTTTTACCTAAAATTTCTACCATTGTATAAATTCATTTTTTTTTATCTAAAATTTGCTAGCATTGTATAAATTCATTTTTTTTATCTAAAATTTGCTAGCATTGTATAAATTCTTTTTTTTAATCTAAAATTTGCTAGCATTGTTTAAATCCATTTTTTTACCTAAAATTTCTAGCATTGTATAAATTCATTTGTTTACCTAAAATTTCTAGCATTGTATAAATTCATTTTTTCACATCCTATATGTATTTGCAAAATTTAAACAATGTTTACAAATCCCAGGCCCTGAAGATGATCTCAATAAAGATCGAAACGTTGGCACGATAAAGAAAACGTTTTTAAAAACCTAGTCACACCAGACCGCACCTCATGATCTCCAAATAATCATTGACTAACAGTCATTAAACACCACACACTATTATCTAGCCTAATTGAATTAGATAAATCAGTCATACAAATAAATTCATTAATGTATTGTTAATTAATTCATAATAATAAAAATTGAAGCTAATACTGGTGATAAACATCCACCTATTGGAAGTCCTAATGTTTGTTTGTATATTTAACAAATACAAAATATAAATTTTCTGCGCATAATTTTAAGATTTCTAGAAATTTTTCTTTATTTATATTAGTGTTTTCTTTCATTATATCCCATTTTTTCATAATCATATTTATCATTTCTGTTATAGGTATTGATGAAAAGCATCAAACAAGATAATTTAAAAATTGACAATAGATCCATTCCTATCTGATGTTTCCTGTGCTCTAAGCTTTCCTCATTCAAGAAAATGGCTATATCTCCAGAGGCTTCTGGGAGACTCCATACACTCCCATTTTAGAATGGTTTAGGCAGGAGAAGGATGTTGCAATCTGGTTGATTGAAAATACATTCTCTGATGCACAATCAGACAGAGGAGAAATGTTTTTCTTATCAGGGGTTTGAGGTGATGAGGATGCTAAAGAACATACATGCTAAAGCTGAAGCATACTTAGAGATACCCCCAAAAGAGAATAATCTATATATCGATATGAATATCATTCCCATTTTTCATACATGAAAGAATTTTTAAATTAATATTTATTTATTTTTAATAGGAGCTTCAACTAGCAGAATTATAAGATAGGCAAGTGCTAGTAAACTTGAAACAAACATGCAATGCAAAGGAACCAAAACCTACCAGAACTCACATCCTTTGGGGTGAATCCCATCAATCTGCACCAGTCCAAGACCTGGACTGTCGACCAAGGCTGACAACTTGGACAAGCCTTTTTGAGCAATCTAGAAATGATTTTCGCTCTCATCCACTGAGTAAAAAAAAAAGAAAATAAATAGAAATTAGCCTGTTTGACTATTTTAAAACCAAATTCTCCTGTTATGGATTAATAATTAAATGGTCATTTTATATAATGGAAAATTGAAAATAAATAAATAAAAACTGACTCCTATCCAAGAGATTTTCATTAAAAACACTTACTTCTGCTGCACGCTGTTTCCCTAAAGGCCAACTCAAGAAAGCTGCTCTGCTTGGAGCGCAATAAGGATGGACAGTCCTAAAACCCTCTTTGGCCGCTCTCGCATCGAACAATGGGTATTTCTTTACCAGCCAATTAATGGAAAATTCTATATTTTCAGACAATTGTGGTGGCACATCACTAGAATGAAACGGCCATTTTAAAATTCACATAACGAACAAGTATGAATTTAGTGTTAGAAGTTTAAAACACAAAATATTGGTTTAACCTTCGAGCGGTCGTGCTGGTTTTTTTTTTTTAAACAACCCTCACCAAAACTGGCTGATGCACGTCTACAGTTAGAGAGGGCTAAACTCAGAGGAATGAGAGAAAAAATTACTGGTCACTGGCATTGAGAAAGTATCTACATAAAATGGGCACATTGAATAATGATCCCATTTGTAGGTTATGCAATGTGGATGAAGAAGCAGCTTTCATCATACATCTTCGTATTCAAAGCAACCGCTCAACACCCTGGGATACAAAGAAAACACAGGTAATGGAATTGTAGCGATGACAGTAGCTAGTACTTCTGCGAATCAGACTACAATAGAAGAGCAAACTCCATTCAGACTCATAAATGTGATGTGGATAATACCATGTGGGGTTCCAGCAGAACCTTAACTACGTTTTTGTGAAAATATTTTATATCAACTTTGAAAATACACACTGAATTCATTTTCATAATGTAATAAATTTTATATAGTCTACAGATATATGTCTGGGAGCCTCATCAAAATAGAAGCAATTTTTGTGAGGTTTATACAAATAATAAAATAATAAAATAAATGGGGTCTTTTTTGGCCCATAACCATCATGTGGTATTTGGAGGGTTAAGAGAAGGATCGAGTCAATTGCACTGAACTAAGAAACTAGGAACACTTGGGAACATAAAAACCCACACTTCCTTTCTCTAAAACCAACATCATCACCACCTGCCAAATACAGTACCAAGATCTTTGCATTAATAAATTCAAAGACCTTCTACACATAGAATACGTAAATATAGATAGTTATTCATCCTTCTAATGGTCCATATCATGGTTCAAATTTACCTCTTGAGTTCTAATCTATACAGAACAACGCTTGGTGACTGATTGAAAATTACAACTAGAACCCAAGTACAGATAATTGGTATACAACCCAAAAAATAGTGTCTTTAATATTTTTTAGATAATATTTTTAAGTATAGTTTATTGTAGAATTAATAGTAAGTTTTCCTAATTTTGTGAAATTATTGCTGGTTTTTGATGTTGCTCAAATGAGTTTTGGCACTGCACCATCTTCATAGAGGAAAGAAAAAGAAAATTTTCCTCACTGGAAATGATGCAATGCCGAACAACAAAGTTCAACAACAACAAAAAACTTGCAAGCACAGGTGAACTCAGTAGGTAACCGAGTGCCGGTTCAAAATGTGTTCACTGACTCGCAGACCAACACCCAACTTCAACCATCCTATTAGTTTGATTAAAAGAAAATGATTGTCTAGCTATCCGTATGGACTGGACAGAAGGGAAATTATAAAACACTGAAATGGACTTCGGTCTAAAGTTCGAAAAAATAATGCAAGATGGTCAAAATGCATGAGAAGCTGGCAATGATCTTAGTAAAAAAATAAAACAAAACTAAACCTTCAGAAATATAAATAATGCAAAGAAAATTTTAAAAATGGGCTTTATATTCCGTACGACCACTTGTGTTTTAATGGGAGGAACAACTGCTCGAAGGTTAACAGAAGGATAGCACAACCACAGTTTGCTGGAAAAGGTTATTTTTGCACATTATGTTAGTGTAAATAGTAATTTGCTGAAATAATTAGTTAACAATAATAAAAAGGCATAACTTTGCTTATACGCTCAAAGACAAAAACCAAAAACTTGTATTTATTTGTTTATTTTCAATAATAACTAGGTGTAAAGATTAATAGTTGACTTAAAACGTAAACCAATATTAATAATTTGATGTTTACCTTTATGGTGTTACTAATCTTTTTATATTCTTTAGATTAAAAATAAAGAAAATCAGTTCAATTTTATCCTTTCCAGAGCCAACTTGTAGAGTGAGTTTATTGGTTTTTTAAATTGTTTTTATTGATGAAACAAAAAATTTGAGTTTTAAAAAAAATTTCTTAAAAGTAGTTTTTAAGTCAAGAAGATCTCGCCCGAGCAGTTGCTTTGGCCAACAGACAAAGAATCCATTACATAGCCAATTCCTGGGTGTGTCACTCTATCGTCCATGGCCCAAGTCCTGGGTGTGCCAACCACGATGGTCTACACCGGTTTAGGGCTACCGAAAGTCTCGATCGAAGATAGGGTCAGCTGCGATGTATGAAGGCTAGAGACAATTGTATTATTGCTCTAAGCGCACTAAGAAACCATCATTTAACTGTTTCCATAGTCAATTGAAATGGACTGTAATGTAAGGGTCTAAATCAGTTATCACGAGGCTTCGCGAGAATAGTCCCACATCAGGTTACTACTGCAGAGGTACCAAGAAGAAAGGTGACTATTCGCAAATCTTGCATAGAGAATGTATATTTGACTATACTAAGAAAAATTGAGAAAGTTCGTTTGGAAGCTGTGGTCCCATTTATTGGGGACAACTTCATGCTAATGCTAGACCGCATTAACCGCTCGACTTGTCACCTATTACTTGGAGGATGTAAGGGTTAGCACAATAAATTGGCCAGCACATTCTCCTGACATGAATCCCATAGAACACTTATGGGATATGATAAAGAGATAGGTTAGACAGCGCTCCTCGACTCCAAACCATTCTTGTTGAAGAATGGGATTCTGTTTCACAAGAAAAATCCGATCACTATTTACTTCATGCTTAATAATATTACAGCCCTCTGTGGGACCAGAGGAGGTAATACAGATAAAGAGCAAAATTAGATAATAAATCGTTAGTTAAATTTTTATCTGTCACTCAATGATTTTCCCATTAAAGTGAATTTTCTTTCAAACCGTTACACTTAAATAACTTATTAAAACTCATGAATTTTGATCTCGTATAATTTAGTTTACATTAAAATAAGTACTATACAATAATAATATATATAGTTTCAAATAAACAATACTAGTATCCGGTTTTTTGTCTTTGAGCATTTAAGCACTAAATTAATTTTCAAAGCTAAAATTTTTTGTCAGTTTTTATGAATAAAAAATAATATGATAAAATTAAAAATTCATGCTAATATTTTTTAAGTTTTTACTTCTGGAAAATGTGCATGAATGGACTGAAATTTATAAAAGCCTACCACCTTAATTCTAAACCACATAAATTTAGAATTAACCACCCTTTTAATAATGTAACAAATTAAAAAAGATAAAATATTTAATAATTCAACAATTTTGTAGTTGACCAAACCAAAGTTAGTTTGAGTTTATACATATTTTCTTTTCTAAACAAGACAAACGATACAAATCGTGACACAGTGATGTAAAAAAGATATTTATATACTTTAAACACTTACCTGCAGTTAGTTTTGTCGTCTAAAACAGGACTATTTTGTGTTTTCTCAACTTTTTTAAGAAGGCTCACTCCTGGTAATACTTTCCGCTGGACAACTAGTGTTTGCTTTTCGCCTAAAGTATTTGTTGTTACAAGGATTGGCTTTGACTGGTGCACCTTTGCTGCTTTTTTATTGGCCTGATTAATGTTTGCTGTTTGGTGAACATTGGATTTAGGATTTGCCGAGCTTTTTAATCCGTTGCCCTTGGGTAGTTTTAACACGGTCTCCGGGTCTAGGATGAATTTGAATAAAGGGGCGCCATTGCCCGATTTAGAAGAGGTCGAATCAAAAAACAACACTTGTTGTTTTATGCCTTCCTTGTCTGAAGAGCTCGTGCTTGAATTAGGTCGAATTATTTTAATCGGACTCCTCTTCAGATTTGGTATTATTTTTAGAGTTTTGCAGTTAGGTTTGGCGGTATAGTTCGGACTGATGATCTTTATCGGAGAACTAGTGCTAACCTTTGGACTTGATGGGTTTAACTGAACTTTTGACCAGTTCTCTACAAATTGTTGAGGCTTCACTAAACTAATTTTTATCGGTTTGAAACAGTTTGATGATACAGTAGATAGTTTTTTTTCAACATTTGTTTCTACCAGTTTTACAGGAGAGACAGTACTATTTACACTATTATCACAGTTGTTTTCATCAATTGTTTCCTCTTTTATATCTAAAATTTCATCATCGTATATGATTTCTTCTACAACTTCACCTGGTTCGCTATAAATAATTTCTTCTTTGATTTTAGTGTCTGATTCTATGACCTTCTGGGTGAAATTGTCTGAATAGGGAACATCTTCTGATTCTATGATGACTTCTTGTGATATTGCCTGATTGAAATCTTCTGGAAAATCAACCACCTCGGGCAGCAATTCTTTTTTAGAAGGTTCTGACTGATTTTCGTTTACAGTAGCCACTTCCCCATTCTGATGTACGCCGTTTTCAGAAGTTTCTATGCATGTCCAAGGTGGTTCATGTACGATTTCTGGAAATTGTTCAGTTTTGATCTCTTCCGTGGCAATCATATCAGGATATGGGCTAAGCGGTTTTATATCGATGTCTTCAATTGGAACGTCGTCACACTCAGTCTTAATATCGATGTCGTCTATAAATGAGTTCTTCGGAACTTCCTCGGGCCCTCCGAAAATTTCAGAAAGAATATCTGTTGAAATGTCATTCGTAAAAGGAAGTGCGCTGACACTTGGAGTTATAGGACTGTTCACATCTTTCAAAGGGGAATTTGTGCTTTTAGTCGAAAGATCAGTTTTTGTATGTACCCAAGTATCAACAATTGTCTCGCCACCTGAAAAAATGCACCACTTTAAAAATACTTCTATTTCAAAGAGTTTGTTTATGTTAACAAATTTGTATGATTCATGTTTAAAGCTACTCAAAATTCTTTTGTAATAATATGTAAATACCAAAGGTATCTAATCCACTATGAGACCTATCCAGCTTGATGTGATGAACAACGTCCAACGATTTGTCCAACTCATTTGCAAAATAAAGTCGAACCCTCAACGGGAATTCTCCCCAGCCTCTTCTGGTCAGTTTGAAAGGTGGGTTGCTTAAACAGACAAAATCTTCAATTTATCCCTCGCATAACAACTTGTGATATTAAATAAATCAAACCGACATACTCTATTCTGATGACATCATTAGGTTTGTAACTCGGATGCAAGAAGAACACTACACTGGAAAAAACGCTTCCGATCTCGACATTGTCTCCATTTTCTTTTTTGCATTTCATGTACACTGTCCATTTGTGTGTTATTTCAGAGTCTTCTTGATCGAGAATCCATTTTGAAATGTTGCCAATAAGTAGTCTATAAGAAAATTACAAATTTCAGACACAAGTTTAAAAAAAATGTTTACAAAAATCTCAACTATACCTGTATTTTTCCTTCCTTTCATTTCCTCTCGGTTCAAACAACTGGATAATGTCTTTTTCTTCATAATTCGGTGGGATGTATCTCGGCTGCTTCTGGTTTGTAGTGGCCGAGTCATCATCTGCCTCTTTCTTTGTCACTAGCTCATTTGTGTTCTCAGTGGCCACTTCTAGAGGATTATCATCGTCACTGGGAATCTCCGTCTTAATCGGAAGGTGCTTTCCTCGAAAAGTGTCCTTCACCGCAGGGTGCGGAGGAGGCTGCAAAACACCCTAGGCGCAGAAATTGTATAAGCATATCATTTTTTTGTATATATTAAGAATGTTACAATAGGTCACAGCAAATATAATAATCGACTTAATATAATAATAAAATAATAATGAAGCGTATTACACATTATACAAGTGATAACCCATTAGATATTTATATGGAGGCTGGAACAGAAACCTCTTTAGGGAACATGGAATTTTCCTTGAATAATAAGACTGAAAATCTGTTCGACTAATAGATTTAAAAAAATTTTTGAAACTCAAGGGACCACAAAAATAATTTGAATTATCAAAATGTTCAAATTATCAAGAGGAAAGAAAAAAAATTTTAAGAGTTGATAAGCATTTGTACAAGTTATTACGCAAATTGTACATATATCAAACATAGTAAAAATAATGAAAAAGTGGAATTAGATCAACTTAAAATTGAACATTGTTATGCATTATTTAAAAAAATCATGAAATGGTTTTTGTTTTAACCGGCCTGGCATCCTTTGTTTAAATGATTTTCCAAAGTGACTAGTGCTGAGAACACACTGACAAAACACTGACTGTCGAACATAACAAACTAGAGCAAATGCGAAGAAATTTTAGACTGTAAGTTAGTAAACAATACATGGAAATTTAGAGAAGAATATTGTTATAAAGAAAAAGTGGAAATTTTAAATATAGGAAGTAGTTCCATTTTGATTAATTGCATGTTTTTTCTCCCCCTGCTACGAAAAATATTTCATCTTATTTTATATATTACCAACTCCATGGTTCCTATTTTCTCTATTGATAGGTTGAAAAAATCCAAGATCTCCGTGGTTGAAAACATTTATTCAATTTAGTAAATTACATGGACTTTCGGGCTCATGGCCCATCATCAGCAACTAAACATAGAGGAATCTCATGGTATAATTCTCTTAGTAATTTCCAATTTTTTAAATAAAAATGTCCAGGTATAAATACTTTTATTTAAAATATTGGAAATTACTGATCAGTGGGCCTTCAGATTGAGAATTATACCATGAGATTTCTCTATGTTTAGTTGCTGATGATGGGCCAGGAGCCCGAACGTCCATGTAATTTACTAAATTGAATAAATGTTTTCAACCACGGAGATCTTGGAATTTTTCAACCTATAAATAAGAGTAAATATTTTGTATTATTATTGTGTATCAAAATGCAATTTTTTCCATTTACTGCAGTGATCTGCTAAGGAGTTCATATCATCAAGAAATTCAAATTAACAAGTGTATCAGGATTTGATAAGATCTATGTAAAATGGGATATGGAAGTTGTAGATCATTTGATATCCTAGACTTATTGACTCTCAAGAAGAGCCGAGTAATTAAAATGATGAAGCTTAGTCATTGGAAATGACCAAACTTCAAGTTTATCACCTCTCAAACTTCAAGAGAGATAAAAAAAACTAATAAAATTGTCATTGACCAGAATAAAACTCATTTAACTTACTAACTTCACTAATACAAACCCACCCGCAATGATGGTAAAAAGTCCAAATCTGATCTGACAAGTCAAACCATTAATGATATGCAGATTTTTTTTTTTTAATGGCTTTACGTACTATACATATTAGCCAATCCCAGACAATATGTTATGCTTATTCGTTTTGGGGGGAAGGTTATCGTGAAAAAAGGGCAAGAGGCGACGGCGGGAATTGAACCCACGTCCGTGGGGTCTACTAGCCGAGAGTCTTTCACGCTAACCACTTGGCTATCGCAGCCCCCTAATATATGCAGATTAAAAAATTGGAAATGACAAAGATACATGTTTATCAACCCACAAACCTAAAGAATGTAAAGTTTGCTAAATAAAATTGTTATTATGATCAAAATCTTTTAACTGAGACCAAAGTCTATTATTATATTAAGATAATTTTACTTGAGGTCAGCACAGTGATAAACCAGTAGCTTTGTCATTGCTTATCATCTTCCTGGTCAGCCTATCATCATTGGTTTGGTCAGTAAGACATATTTTTGACAGCTAACCATCTTCAATAATAAGTCAGAGTATATGCAGGGTGAGCACTACACAAACCCACCACTAATGATAGTCAAAAGGTCAAAAATGGATTTGACAAACAAAAGCTGTAATGTTAGGCGGATTAATATAATGGAAAATGACCAAGCTACATGTTTATTACTCCACATACTCATGAAGAAATTTAACAGTTTCTAAATTGAACTGTATTAATTACCAAAATCATTTAATTAATACTAAAATCGATACACTAAGATGACTACTTGAGTCTGCAGGGTGATGAAAATATAAGCTGTTTTTGATTTTTCTTGCCAGCTTGTTGTAACTGTTGTCAGTCATATGAAGTTTTAGGGTCAGTCAAGCAGGATGAGGATAAACCCAACTAATAATCTCTCCACTTCTGGCCTGTCTATGCCCGCTGGTTTGGTCAGCAACCATGTTCAGCATACCATCTTCAATGGTCGGTCAGGGTTATAAGCAGGTTGAGCACTTATACAAAACAAAGGCCAAAACAGATCTGGCAGACAAGCAGTATGATAAGCAGATTTAAACAGCTGGAAATGACCAAGCTACATGTTTATTACCTCTCAGACCTCAATTTAGAAAGCGTTGCTAAATTAAACTTGTCTTAATGATCAAAACTTTTAATTATGACAAAAACTTGACCCAACAAGATTACTACTTGAAGGCTGTAGGGTGATGAGCCTGTAGCTTGGTTGTTTCCGATATTTCTGGCTACGTATGCTTCCAGTTTTGGTATGTTGGGCACACTTACTGGTTGGTAAGGGTTATAAGCCATGAGAGAACCAACACAAGCCAACCACTATTGATAACAAAAAGCCAAAAGAGGTCTGATAGATCAAAATTGTTGGAAACTACTACATTTTTATCCTCACACGGGGCTCAAGAAAATCAGTTTAACATGTGGGCCTGTCTGGCATGTATCAACCTTATGCAGAATTGACTTAATATTATAAAATAACAACAGCCAAGTCAAAAGACTGACAACGCCAGAAAAGACAACTGCAGTCAATGGTGTAAACTGTTGTAATTTGTTTTTCTTTTTCTTAAACAGGAGGTGGCTTTAGGTGCATTTGATGAGAAAACGTTCGCATATCGTAGTTCCTACTAATCCATATATGTTTAGCGGTCACAATTGACTAATTAATTATTCTTTTTATCTAAGGTCTTGGTTGAGATAAAAAATTAGTGTCAATATGTCACTGCTTTAACTATTTGAGCTATTGTAACTTCAATCCACTAGGACACAAACTCCTCATCTCAACCTACAACCTTTCGAATTTTTTCCGAAGCCGAAGATTGTGGGTTTCAATCTCACTTGTGACACTAACTTTTTCATCTCAACTAAGACCTTAGATAAAAACAATAATTAATATAGTCAATTGTGACCGCTAAACGTATATAAATTAATATAATAATGAAATAAGTAACCACTTCACTTACAGCTCAATAAATGGGAAAAAGAGGGAAAATTCAGAAGGTTGTAGATTGAGATGAGGAGTTGGTGTCCAACAGGACTGAAGTCTTGATAGCTCAAGTGGTTCGAGCAGTGGTGTATTGAGCCGAAGGTCATGGGTTCGAATCCCCCCGTCACACTAACTTTTTCATCAAGACATTAGATAAAAAAAAATAATTAATTGAAATAACTAGTTCCTACTGCTCACTAGTTGGTGATTTAAGCTCAGAAAAAAGTTTTTGTACACAAGCAGACTGGAATGTACAAAATTTAATTCAAATCTGCTCACAAAAGACCGTTCTATTTACCTTATACGACTGGCTGTAAAATTCTGTGACAACAGCCTGTCTGATTTTCTCTATGGCTTTTCTAGTTTCGAAGATCCTGTCTTCGATGCGTTCCAAGTCGAGATTCCTGATGTCTATCTCGTTCTGTATCTCCGTTTTGAGGACGTTGCACAGCCTGTTGTTCCTTTGAGGCGGGTCACGACCGCGGTGGTCCGTCTTGGCTCGCTTTGCGTTGTCGCCGTGGTCCGTCTGTGAATCTGCACGCTTAGTGTTCTGTGACATCTTGCAAAACTGCAAACACCATATCACACACCGGCCCGGCTATCTCGGCTCTACGATTGTCTGATCTGAGTCCCCAACTTTATGAAATAAAACCAGTAGAAGCTTGTTTTCATTTTAACAGAGGTGAACCTGACGAAAGGCATGTTTTATTTGAATAAATCACGACTCGGAGGCGGACTGCGACGGGAAACAGAGATGACAGCACATTTCTAAATTCGCCCGGGTCTCGATCGCCCTCTGACCGATAAAATAATATATTATTTCGACGAATAAAAGATAAATCGTCGTCAAATCCGTTAATAATAATAATTACGATCCTGGATTCTCAAGAACGGCCCTTAGGTTCCGATGAACTCATACGGAAACCGCAAAAAGGTTACAAACTACCCTTGGACACAGGATAGCGGCTGACGCAGCCAAGAGGAGCTTAATCGACAAAATTTCCGAACATGGAAAAATCTTTATTCTAAATACTATACATTAACAACTTCTCTAATGCTTACTGAAGATATTGAACTTGGATGACAGACTAGAATACAAAAATGCAAAAATTACAGCCCAATATTGTATTTTTTTTTTTTTTTTTTTGGCCCCTCAAGATACCAGGAAGGCCATCTCTGCAAGACACGCCCAAAAGAACAAAATAGTATCCCGGTTCATTACCGAATTCAGCAACCTCGAGAAAAAACTTCTTCACATTGTACCTATATATTCGTTAAATTTACATACTTCCTATGTCTGCAGGGTCCTAAACCTTCCTTACCACCGCCTTCCCAGGAATACTGCGCTGGAAATCATAAGGTACAAAATGTCATGGTTTTCTTCACTTTGGCTCAACCATTTCAGCTCAATGACAATTTTTTCCCTGGACAATTATAAAGAGTGGCCACTTTCACGCTCAAAATTGATCAACACTATCCATCAATCAACCTTTGTTGAATATAGCGGAAAGTCCTAAAATTCCATCCATTCCGCTACTCGCTGGTTTTTCAAAGTTAGGTGCGAGTTACTTTATCTTAATTATAATCCCACAAGATCCAACAGTTCCGACAAGTGCTCTTTCTGCAACAGGTGCAGCAAGAAGATTGTTTTTACTTTTTAGCCGAATGCCCAGTTTTGGCTTGCCATATAGGTTTACCCACTTTGAGAAGAGAGCACCTAATCTCTTTATTAAATTACTCCGAGTGCTTAAATTTAGTACAGTTTGCGATGGAAGTCTGGAACTACTGGAAAGAGCTAGTTTTTTATTTCAATCATTAAATGTTTATATATAGAAGAGACACCCTAGTAATTTATGTATGCACAAGTGTATGAAAATATATATAGTTATGTTATCTTATTTTACTTATACATGTGTAGTATTCAGTGACGCTTAATTAATGATTATTTGGAGATCGTGAGATGTATCCTTGTGGGATGTAGGTTTAGAAAAACATTTTCTTTATTTTGCCAACGTTTCGATCTTTATTTAGATCATCTTCAGGGCCTGGGATTTACAAACATTGTTTGAATTATACAGAGAGATGTAAGATGTGAAAATGAATTATACAATGATGGTCGCAATATAGAAATTAGGTTTATTTAAAGTATTTGTACTCATTCAAAGCGTGTTTTCTGTGCAGATGTATCGTGTTGCGAGTGTTAGTAAGATATAAATGTTTTTTGTGTGTATGTTTGATTTTGGAGGAGTGGGGAAGGAAGAAAGGATAGAAATTCATTTTTCTATGAGGAGTGTTATCTTTTCAGGATTATAATAGACGGGGTTTTTGGGGAAAGGAAGGATAAAATTATAAAAATTCCAATAAATAATTTAACGATAAAGCCCGAACGACAAACCATAAAATTTGTCCCCGGGCCCGCGCCGCGTGGCGTCCGACAGTCGGCCGACTTGCGGTGACAGTGACGGATCCGTACCGAGTTGAACAAAACACTCGAGGAAGATGTTAATTGGCGAAGAAATCATCGCAGAAGGAGAACACCCCCTCCTTGGTTCACGACGCATGAAAAAAAAGATATGTTGAAGAGAAATTTTACTCGCTTCTTCTACATCTAAAGTGCGATGAAACGAAGTGTTATAATAAAATTATAATTTATTTTAAATATAAAATTGTAGTAAGATAAAAAAGTACACTAGAGAATGGATTGCTCTCCGTGTGAAGGAAGACAGACGGCCGTAACGCGGTGCGGTCATGACAGCACAGAAGATCGCATCTCACTGTATCCAAATAATCTTTACTTACATAGTTTTTCTCTTTTGTTTATTCCTTGAGAAAAAATTTTTAGTCCTGTTTTGTTTGTTTATTAAAAATGTATAGTCCGGCTGCGGCAGACGGTTGATAACCATTGCCGTTATGTGCTTTTTAGCTATGTGCAATTTTTTTTTCTCTCTTGTTTATCAAATAAAGTATTTTTTTCATTCATTCATTTTTTAATTCCTATATATTCGTGTTTTTTTTGTTTTGTTTTTTTAATTTCAATATCAGTCTTGGGAGGTGCACATTTTGTCTTAATGGACTGACCGTCAGAACCATTGTTTATATTTTTTGATTTGTCCCGTTCCCATGTCAACAGTAGTTCTAATAGGTTTCGTCTTGTTTTGGAGTGAATCGTCGTTGGTGCAGTTTCCCCGCTTCCATTCCGACCGCCGTCGTGCGTCCGCTTCCAACCGAAACGCAAGACGTCAAATGCTTCCGAGACGACGTGAAGGGGCAAAACCGGAACGGGATCTTCCGTCGTCGGTGGCCTCCGTTCGGTAGAGGAGGCGCGTAGACGGCCCACTCCTCGCCTCCTTGTAACGCGCTAGCCACCTCCGGCTCCGTCAGACGGCGATTCTTCAAATTTGACATCCAGACGAAATGGATTTCAGGGTCTTCGTATACGGCACCCTGAAGACTGGAGAGCCGAACCACCACTGGCTCACAAACGCGGAAAACGGCCTGTCGCGATTCCTTGAGAAAGGACGGACGAAAAAGAAGTACCCGCTCGTCATAGGCACCATGTACAACATACCCTTCTTGCTGGACACACCGGGCGTCGGTCACGTGAGTTTAAAAAAAAGAAGAGACATTTTTCCACCTTTCTACTACCATTCCCAGTACCATTTTCTTTGCCAACACTTCCAACTCGAGGAAGACCTCGAATTAGAAATTTAAAAAAAAATTAACTGGAAACTGCCTTAAGAACAAAAAAGTCTTTCAGCAATCCCACCTTTTGCACAAAAAGTTTAACGAAAAATTGTCTCCATAAAACAAAAACTTTTATCAATTTTGGAGATTAAATCGTTTTTTTTTTTTTTTTACTGTGATAAATTAAATCTGTAGAAATTAACAAAATGAAGGGAATTTTAGTTTATTGTTGTAAACATGAATGGAGGGAGATGACAATTGTAGTAAAAACACTTGTAGCAGTAGCAATACACAGTTAAAGAGACCTACAGCATTTTTTTAACTTTCTTGATCCAAGAACATCGCAGATTTGTTAATTTTACAAATACAGTAAAGATCAAAAGTTGTTGAACCATCATGAATGCTACACAGTTCTGTGTCCTGAGTGTAGTAAAGTTTGCTGTTATCGTTCTTCAGCTATTGGACACCCTGACTGAAATGAGTGGTAGGTTTGTGTGTGCCACACCCTACTTATAACCCTGACAACCACGAGACCTTTTTTTTTTTTTCCAAGGTGAGAAAATTGGTGTGTTGTGGATTCAGTTCCATATATTTTGTTAGTATTCCTTTGCTGAAGATGCAGAACCTTATATTTTTATGATATTGCTCGCCAAAATAGAAACACCGGGCAGTGATGTAAAAATTCATACAAAATCTTTTGGGGTGCACATAAACATTTATCGCTGCAGCGTGGTCAGGTTTGTTCTAATCATCTTTTGGTCGTTGGATAGTCAGACCAAAATAGTCGAGAATGTAGAAAAACACAAATGTAACTTGGAGAATAAAAAGATGAAAATATTAATCAGAAATGACAAATCTACACAAATCTATTATTTATCAGAAGGATCTCATTAGATTATCCAATTTTTTCAGTGGTGGGTTTCTATCGGTGCCTCACTCTGCTTTTATCCCTGAGTTTTTTCTTTATTTTTTCCCAGGTAAGAAAATTGTTGTAGAGTTGATACAATTTGGCACAGTTCTGTATTTTATTATTTCCATTGAAAATCGCAACTGTAGTATTGTTGGGCAAAATAGAAACACTGGGTTTATGTTGTAAAATTCATATAAAATCTTTCAGGGTATGCATAAACTGAACATTTTTGGTCTTCAGGATTGACTGGTTTGCTCTAATTGTCCTTTAGTCTTTGGATAACTGACCAAAATGTTAGATGTCAAAATTTAGAGATTGTAGAAAATATTAATTTAGGATTTTTCTATAGTCTTTGGTGATGATATAACCAATGAAAGATTAAAATTAAACTTTTTTTGTTTTTTAATCTCAACCATCCTCTTATCTCCTTTTATGTAATATCATTCAGTTAAAAATATAAATATAAATTGTTTGTATGACAAGTTTATTAAAATGGAAAAAATATTATATACAAGTCGAAGAAAACATATTTAACTGGCACTTGGTCTGTCTACACTAGCAAGTTGTAGATGTATGATGTAATATTCAGTGTGTGCAATATCTTTGCCCCTTGAGAACTATTGTTTCTGCTGTTCTGTACTGATAGCACAATGGTGAGTTCTAGTTGATCAAGAAATTTAATTAGTAGGACTAGTTTCTTCTACAGTTACATGGTACAACCCAAATATTTCCTCCTGAGGGGAAATGTAGCGCCGCAGTTTGTGTCTCCTGTGCTTTAGCATAATCTGCACATGCCATGTTGGATCATACCAATCTTCTTTTAAATGCCCATTTAGTCTGCTGTGTCCTGTTAGGATTCAAAGTTTTTCCCTCCTTCCTTGATGCATTCTGTTGATTCTTTACTTCCAAAATTTCTCAAGGGTTCTTGTAGTTTCATGTCCAATGAGTAAATTTTGCTGTTTACTCTATTTCATTTTGTCCTTTTGGGTAAGGTCTCAGTGATAGTGTGAGGTTGCAGCATCATGATGACCTATCAGCATTATAGCAGTTCCCTTCCTTGCAAGGTTGCCTGCTCTCTCTCGTTTCCCTCTCTTGTACATACTGGTATGGTATGGTAGAAAAGAATACTAGGAAGCGGAGTATGCACTCCCCAGGCACTGCAGCCTTCTGGCTTATTGTACCTTCCTAGTTCCTTAGTTCAGTCAGTAGACTCAATCCTTCTTCTTAGAAGTATCAGGTCATTGACTGTCGCTGCTGCAATTTAATTCCCTAAGTTTTTTCCATACGTTAGGTTAAACCTCCATTGAGCTGTTGCTTCGCATTCGAGGATGATATGAGTGGCTGTTTCCTCCTCCTCATTACATAATCTGCAAATGGGATCATCGCTGTATATACCCATGTTGTGTAGATGTTTTCTCAGATGCCAGTGACTGGTTAATAGTCCTACCACTCCTCTGAGTTTGGCTCCTTGTATATACTGGGAGCAGATAGTAACTTTATTTTGCATACCTTATTTGTTTGTTTAGTTTTGCAAATTAGCACTATCTTTGAGGTAATTATGTTTGAGCTTTGTACTTTGATGACTGGCTATCTAATATGATAGTTATGTTCTTGATTTTTTACCCATTGTTCAAGTTGAACTGAGTACAACTCTCAATCACACGGACTTCAGCCTAAAGATATTTTCTCATTGGTTCTGAGTATTTTGTTCCATGAATGAACTCTCTTGCCTCCGTACCTTCTTGCGTTCTAGATCCATCTCAACAGAGAGGTCTTTCCTTCCTTCCCATTCCTTTTTGGTACTTAGATACATATGTTGGAAATTTTGTTTGAATTCAAACATCTTGTTCATGTCTATCATTAGCATGTTTTGATGTTACTCAAACACATTTGTTTTATGGATTGTGTGAGCAGCTGTTCTATACTGAAGATGGCACAAAGTTTAAATGTGTTTGAGTAAGATCAAAACCGTGATTTTAGACAGACTGAACCCAGTGCTGGTTCGAAAGGTATTTTTTACTTGTGCAATCATTAGGTAGTAAACTTGTAGTAGATAAACTTGCTACCTTTCTATTATCAAATTTTAAATTAATCTTGACAACCATTGCTATGTATATTTTACATTTGTATATGTACTATTTCAGCACGTCGAGGGGGAAATATACGAAGTGGACAAGAAAATGCTCTTGACCCTCGACATTTTGGAGGATCATCCCAATTTCTACAAAAGGAGGAAGGAGCCGGTTATGCTGTTGGAGAGGGAGGAACTCTGCTGGACTTATTTCCTTCATAAGTTCAGACCGGAGATGCTGAAAAAAGAGATGCTCGTATCGTACAATTCAAGGGGAACGCATAATTTGCCCTATATAGAAAGGTATAAGAGGGATCCAAATTTAAACTACAAATCGCAGGTTTGGTAATTATCATTTACCAATTTGACTCGAATATGAGAAAATTCAATTCTATCCCTTTTGTAAATATTGAAAGTGTTTTTGCATATATGTTTTGTGAAATAGATTTTTTTTTTATTCCAGCACCAATGAAGCGAGGACATTAGAGGATCTTTGATGCAGATTTATATATTCACTAGTGTAACCTATTTTTAACATCCAATATAATTGCCATTCCATCAGCTGAAATTGTCAGGAGATAAATGAATAAAACAATATTTTTTTGTTCTACATATCTAATTTATTCCTACATTTTTAAAAAATGCCCTTAAATTATAAAATAGTGATATTTTTGAATTGTAAACATTATATAATAATAGAACAATGTTATAATTTACAATTAGTATGGCACGTATTTGCCCCTCAAAATTCATAAACGAATATATTTTGAATGTTGCCTTATATAATTTTGAGTCGGCAGCATATTTTAACGGAGATTAATCATAATTAAGTAATATTCTTATTGGCAGTGATCTTTTAAATTCTAAAACCTTATCATTTAACTTGTTTTCAAATATTTGATTGGCAAGTGAAAATAAAAATAAATACAGCTTATATTTTCCAGCTTTCCTTTCAAAACGAAAGTCATCAGCCAACGTGAACATTACTTATATTCTAAAAGTTACAGCGCTATTCAGAAAAATGCAAAAACTACCGTCTGATTGCAAAAAATACTTTCATCTAAATATATTTCTAAGGTAATGTATAAATAAGAACAGGAAATCACATTGGTCAACCATTTCATCAATGATCAAATAACATACAAAATAATGTCAATCTTTCAGTTTAAACTTATTTTATATTTATAAAACATTGCCAAAGACAAACAGGGAAAATACACAAAATTGAATACATATTGCTTATTCAATTCATTAAATAATCACTAGGAAAGAGTGATTTTTTTTTTAAATTTTTTAATGATGTCCTTGTGTAATGATGTTTTAAAAATCGAAAATCTGAATCATTTTTATACATTCATTGTTATTGAAAAATCATCTTTTTGTTTTGTTTTTCTGTAATGTGAAAAGACACAGTCTCAACAATAACAACGTAAATACCAAATTCAAAAGTTCGAATGAAGTGAAAAGCAGTGAAAAATTAATATTCGTATACGAAAAGCTTCGTTTTTAAAAAACGTAATTGCAATAATTTTATTTTTTAAATTTTTAAACGTAATAAAATATTTCTAATAAAATAACATTCTTTTCATAACAAAATTTAAATTTTTTTTATCAATTGAAACCATTGATGGAAGAAGGTATACGCATTTTTGATCAAAATTTTTGATTTATCAAAATAGCACATTTTTTAATATTAACTCAGGAACAATGATTGAGTTTAGTTAAAATTGATGGAATGGAAGTAATTAGGAAATAAATTTAAAAAAAAAAGTATGTCTAAAATTATAAAAGTTCCAAACCAATATGCAAAAATTCTTCTGAAATTTATTGCACTTTCTTCCGCCAATGGTTTTAAATTACAGTACTATAGAAAAATAACTTTTTAAATTTTTGGTTTATGTTACGGAGTTTGCAACAGCAGAGTTCTTGTCAACCCCTGGAATTCCAGTGTCAAAGAAAGCCAATTTGCAAGTACATTGGGTTCGAATAGATGTACGAAATTTTTTAGTATTTGAAGAAAAACAGAATGCCGTAGCTGACTGTTATCGGTACTTGCAACATATTTACAGCAGCGTATTCAAGTTATTGTTTGCTTGATACTGGGGATGGAGGTATCTATTCTCTACAGAAAAGATAAAAAAAGAGAACACAGCCGGAATAATCAAAATTATATTTTCCATAATCCCGATGATCTGCTCCTGCGCCTTATCCAAGAGTAGATTAAGGAAATTGAGATGGGACATACTAAGCCTTGGGCAAGATTTAACAACAACCCACTACTGTATGATAGCTACTAAGGGATATCCAGAGATTCGAGTCGATCATGGGGCTCGCTTAGAGGGCATCAGGTGGGTCCCAAACAAGAAAAAATAACTTGAAAACTGAAACATGCCACAGATTTGGGGATTAACGGTAAATTGAAACTAATTTTAAAAAATGGTTTCAAGGAGGGACAAACAATGTGAAATACTTTAATGTACACTTTTTTAAATTCCTTTACAGGAAATGCTTTGTTTTTAATTTAAAAAGAAATACATTCGTTTTTTTAAACTAAAATCAATACCAGATTTGGTCTCCTAAAAATTAATATCACAACATAATTTATATAGAAAAAAAAGAATTCCGTGTTCAAGAGATTGTGAAAGAAGTAAACATGTCACACTGCAACAATAACAAAAAAAAAAAAAAAAAAAAAATCTGATGTCAACAGTTCTAATTTTTAACCGAAAATATTTTACAAGCAGTTCAAAAGGAAACTCCTTGACGGATGTAATTATTATTTATACTTTCACATGATAACACACACAAATTTTAAAGCTCGACAATATGTCAGAATCTCGAGACGAAACAATAATTTAAAACGGACAATACAAATATAATTTTTCAGTTTAACTTTTTTTTCTGACTGGTTACAAACAAATGTGGATGAAAACCTTTCACACCACAAATTCCTTGTTTAAAAATAATTAACATTATTTTTGAAAAGCTCCAAATTAAATGACTTAGATTGGAGATAGAGTTAGGCAAATTGTCAGTACTATAAATCAACATTAGCACCATACTTCCTGTTCCTAGCTGCATTGAGTACGAATTAATAGATTCTAGGGCTGTACAATACTTTTGTTTTTTTAAATTATAATGGACGAAATTAAAGGAACAGTCCTTACTCGTGCTTATCTCTGAGCAGGAAAAACTATTGAAAGTGACGTTAGGAAAAACGTTGCAAAACTTTCTTAATCATAACAAAGGCGTAAGTATCCTTAATTCTCACAGAGGGAAGCTAGGATTTAGAAATATGCGATCCCCTTGAGGTAGAAAATATGAGGTCTTATGATGCCTTAGGTGCATCCTTGTTTTCACAGAATCGGAATTATATTCAATTTTCTTTTTTCATCTTGTGTAGGCTTTTCGAGCACAGCCCTAGGGAAACGCAAACATTAGGAACTATGACATTACTGGTGACAGTGTTCATCAAACATAGTACGAAATGGTGTGCAACAGAAGTTACTCCATTACCTGGAATGAGAAGACTTTTCTTAGTAAACAAAAAAGCTAAAATTATGTCACTGCAGAGGGGAGATGTTTTTATTACTTTTAAAAATTATTGAAAAGCTTTCTATGACTTGCAATCTCATCAATAACAATCAAATTTGTAAATATAATTTATCTAAGCTTAAAAGTTTTATTTACAACCGTCAATTTTTTACAAGAATACTACTTGGTCAAATATGAAATATTTTCTCTTTTCTATGTTCATTTAAAACAATTAAGAATCATATTTTTATGTAGCTTACTTATTAAGACATTGAGCTGCATGGTAGCCTTGGGGAACCCATTTGTGTTAAAACTCTGTCCAACCACTGAAGGGGTCCGTTTAGGTGTAATTCGATCCAACAAGGTGTAGACGTGACAGTTTGCCTCCTATAAAACGTAAAAAAAAAATAATAATAAAAAAATATGAAGACGAGTAATAGATTAAAAATGAAACAAATATGAGACCTGTATTCCGCCCCCCAGCCTTTGACAAAAGACATTCTTATAGTACACATACGAGTCAGTTGGTAAACGGCCTCAAAACCCTGGCCTACAGATTGAGAAAGGAGTGCTGCAAATTCCTGGTTGTTGAAAATTTTCAAGTTGCAACCTTGAAAAATTACAGGTTAGTTTCATTTAAGTATAATACATATTTATATAATAATAATATAATATGGTAAATTTTAAAAAGCGTGTGACCACAATGAAGTTCAAGTGGCTGCTTAGACAGCAAATGTTAAGTACCTAAGACAAGAATAACCATACTCATGAGGAGGTAAAGGTAAATTTTGGATTGTATGGGAATTGTAATCCTCTGTATTGTGACATCGTCAAAAGCTTGGTGAACCCATAAAATTTACTTCATCAGAGACCTTTTTTAGTTAACTCAAAAAATTCTAATTTTTATGATTAGACTGTCTTCTTTTTTTAGAGAAGTTTGGATAAAACTATGCAGATAATATATCTTCAAATCCTCTGTGTTTAAAAGATCCTCGTTGTGGCTAAATTTGTAATACTAAACTTTTTTTTCACTCTAATCCCAGAAGTGTAGCGGATAATATTTTCTCAAAAGTGTTCATTACAGGCAAGTTTCTCTGTAGCTTTATTGCTTCTGATAATCCTGGTATACCTACCCTCGCTGTTTTGTCGGTCAGACATGCTGTCATGGGTTCGGTGGGAACCAACCCAAGTTATGGGTGACGTTAGCTCGGTGGAGAAGTTCATAGGGATGTATTAATAAATAACGGGATCTACACTATTTTTCCCAGGGAATAGTGAACGTATGGATAGCCAGTCTGGTTGGTAATAACAAAATAAGGCTTGAATAAAAATTCGAAAGGCAAAATAAAATAAACAGAAACTTGTATCACTAAAAACAAAAAAATCAATACTCGTTCTCAACTTGGCCTATTGGCCAGCTCACAATAAAAAATAAAAAAAATGATACATATATCTTGCTAAAATAAACAAAACTTCACTTATAAAAAGAACAAAAGAGTTAAACTTATAAAAAGACTTAGCAAAATATTAAAATGTTTGTTTGAAGTCTGAAAGACTTAAATATGTACCACACTGGCTCTTTTTTAAAATAAACTGTTACAAAATATTAATGACTGACAACCACTGTTTTAACCACTGTGTTAACTCACCTGAAGAAGGATTAAAATAAATCCGAAACGTGAATTTTTTTTCTTTTTTTGAGGTGGCCTATTATCCCACCTTCGAGAAGGAAAAATAAGTTATAAAAAGAACTAATAAAATTTTGGCCTTATTTTCATCGTCATACTCAACCCTCTCTCTGGTTTACTTTGGTTTTCTAGATCTTCCTTGAGGACCTCTGGAGTCCCACGCCCCAATGAAAAACTGTACAGAAAACAATACTTTTTATCTCACAAGCCCGCGTCATCTCTGGGTCTGTCCTTGCCGGCCAGCCCCTCTTCCTTGATCGCCCCAGCATCCTTTCCTACACCTCTTTTAATGCCCGGGCATTTTCTAACTTCCACCATTGTTGGATTTATTATGGTGGGCTCCTCCATTTCCAGTAGCCCCTGTTTACTCCCACCATGAAAAAAAATCTTTTTCTTGTCTCATTGTCTTGTTACAATGCTTTTGGCAGCTTTTTATCTTTAGGAGCATAGGAATAGTAGACCCCACTATAAAGCCAAGCACTGAAGAATGGCGAAAACCCAAAACATGTCTGACAAATCTGATCAAAAATGAACAGAAACAACCAACTAAAAAATATATATTTTTTAATATTGATTTTTTTTTTGTGTGATTATCCAGTGAAATTGTTACTTGCTCAAGGATATGCACAGCTGGGCACCAGTTCCTCCCTAACAACCAGGAGACTGGACAACTTGAGTAGCATTTCACAGTCATGGCTAGAGTAGTCCACATTGCTAAATTGCTTGCGGTTTGATTAGAAATGAGTAGGGCCTTGTCGAATCTTCAGACCTTTTATAAGAATTTAGTGAAATTTTTGACTTAGTGTATTGACTCCTATTGTGTAACTGCTAAATTCTATGTCATGTTCTTTAAAAAATAAACCATATTCATTTATTTATTTAATATGCACAAAGAAATACCAGGTGGGATCTTGCAAACCGTAGCTGGATGCCAACCGTACCTCTGGTTGCAATTTGGGCTTTGGACGAAGATTGCAGAGTCCGACAGACATTCGGCAAAAACTTCGCCACCTGAAATAAAATAAATTTAAGTTTGAACATGAAGCAAAACAATTTTTATTAAGAGACTTACCGATATAATACAAACGGACCCCCTTTCCTATGTGTCTTCTAATTTGTTCGACTACGCTGTTTCTATTGACATTAGACAACAGACCGAGGCAGAACCTCTCCGAGTTACTCGGATCTAGACAACATTTGAGAAGTATTTATCAAGAGGGGTGAGTCTTGTCAATTGTTAAAGTAAATAAAATTTACCAGTAAAGCCGTCAACTGAGATTGAAGGTTGGGAGGCATGAAAAGTCTCACCGACTCTTGTATTTAATTCATAATAGCTGATAGAACACCAAAACAATGGTTCGCAGTACATAACTGGCTGCGTGTCTATCGCTGGAGTTGGACTCAAGCCTAGTGTAAAAAAAATATTGTAAAAAGCACAATAACAGTGAAGACTTAAGTGATTTACTTGTGCTATCATTCTGATCCATGTTATCCGCATCTTCAGAGATATATCCAGAGGTTTCGGCTGGGCCTGGGCCCGCCTGCCCCTCGACTACTGCCCCCTCCACCCTTCCGACTACTACACCAACGCCTGTAAAAAAAGCATTTAAGTAGTGGACTTAAATGTTTTTAAAACTACTCGTGTACTAACTCGGATGCTCAATCTTCGTATAGTGGTAAGGGTTGACGCAGACTTCGTCTCTTTTGTGACCAAATCCGTACGTGCAGGATTCAATCGGAGCGATTTCGTGGTGTGAGTGTAAGTTCGGCCACCTCCACAGTCTACAGTAAATTACATGGGGAAGACCTTTTCTCTGTGAAACCACAGCACCTCTAAATTGGCGCAAATATTGTTAAAACAAAAACAAAACAAAACAAAAAAACTTTAAACCAAATGGATAAAAATAGTTTTCAATATATGTACCTGAAATTTGATTTGTCCTGTTTCTCCGGGCGTAAACTGAAATATGGGAATACACAATAAATTTAATTGATTGTAAATTATATCCAGTAAGACAATCATCACAACAGGGGTATTTTTTACTGTATATCAGAATCCTGTTGGTGGCCATCATGTAAATACACTCAGGCATCAAGAAAAAAGAAAAGAAAAAAAACGGACACTCGTATATTGTTGTTTATTTAAATTTATATATATTTTTATTGTTCATTAATTACAAAATACTTATTTTAATGAAAACCAAATTAAACAAAATCGGGAATTCATGAATTTTAATAAAAATTATTTAATTATGATGATCATTTAGTGATAAATTAAAATTTACGCACAAATTTATAACTTAGTTTTGCTCTTAATAATGCATAGTACCTTCTCTGGCCTCGAGGAGGGTCGTAAGTCTCCTAGACATCAAGTAAATAAGGGAATGGATTTTGTATTTTGAAACAGAATCCCATTTTTCAACAAGAGTGGTTCAAAGTTGCTCAATGTTTGATGGAGGTGGTGAATAATGCCTGTCTCCATCATGTCACATAAGTGTTCTATCAGGAATGTGTGGGCCAATTTATTCCCTACTCCTCCAAGTAATGGGTGACAACTCGAGCTAGATGCGGTTGAGCATTATCATGCATTAACACAAAGTTGTCCCAATGATTGGAGCAAATAGGACCACAGCTTCCAGGAGAACTTCCTAAATGTACCTTAATACATTCAAAGATTCATTATATATTATAATCAGTTAAGTATGGGCATGGACATGGATTTCACCCAATACTAAAATTATCTTTGAAAAGACTGAAACTTGAACTGAAAACTGACTTTGAAAAGATTCACACATGGCACATGAGCAAAACACATTATCCACATCTTCATACATGGTTCTGGTCATCTGATTGCCACAAACCAAACTGGTATTTAAGAAGAAAAATAACTTTATTCTGGGACTGGTGTCCCCTAAGAATAATTTACATGAAATAAATAAAGGAAGTTCCTTCTATGAAGTTAAAAGTAAAAAAAAAATGTAGAAATCTTGGCACAATGTAACCAGTAAGGCAGGCCAGAAGAGAAAATTACGAGAATATAAACCAAAAATAACAAATGTTAACGTGAGGTCTCTGCTTGGAGGGAGAGGAGGTGATTATAAGGTGGGATTTAAAGGAGGAAAATGAGGCAACGTGACGAATAGAAAGGGGAAGGGAGTTCCAGAGTTTAGGGGCTCGGATCAGAAAGGATCTTTCGAAGGTATGGGTTCTATGTTGCGGAAGCATAAGGTCAATTGAGGATGAGCGGGTCTTACGAGTAAGATGTGAAGAGTTGAATTGGAGGGATTGGATGATGTAAAGAGGACGACGAGTGTGGAAGGACTGGAAAAGAAAGTAACCTAGGAAATACTGTGCACGGAAGGATGGGAATAGCCAGGAAAGTTGGGAATACAACCCCGACACCCGGGATCCCCGTGGGGTGCCATACACAAATCTTACGCAACAATTCATAATACGCTTCAATCGCGCGTTCTCCCCCTCCAAGAGACCACTGTATGCCAAACAGCTGTAATCGAAGAAGGGAAAGGGAAGATACAAGGAGTTTGCGGGTGGAGAAAAGTAAGAGAAGCCAGGACCGACGAAACAGACTGAGGGAGGCAATGGAATGGCGGGAAATTTGGAAAATGTGAGAATGCCAGGAAAGGTTTTGGTCAAAGACTACTCTTAGAGCAGAAGGGGATGGGATGGTTATTTAGCATGAGAGGTGGGATGCTGGGGAGGGAATCGAGGAGCTGCCTGGACCCGATAATTATGGCAGAGGATTTGGACGGGATTGAGGACTAGGGAATTTTTATGGGCCCATTCGTTGATGGAGTTTAGGTCTTTTTGGATCTTGAGAATGGCTGAATGAAGATCGGAAGAGTGGAAGGATATGTATATTTGGGAGTCATCAGAGAGGGCCTTTCGTCTCGTGAAAAGAATATATTTCCTCAACAAGAGGGGTTCGAAGCTGTTCAAAGTTCACTGGAGGCGGGGAACGATGTCGAACCCTTTCTTTATCATGCCCCATAAGTGTTCTATGGGATTTATGTCAGGAGAATTTGCTGGCCAATTCATTGTGGTAATCCCTACATCTTCCAAGTAATGGGACAACTCGAGCTACATGCAGACGAGCATTATCATGATGTTGTCCCCAATAAATGGAGCGAATTGGACCACAGCTTCCAGAAGAACTTCCTAAATGTACCTTAATACAATCAAAAATCTATTCTATATGATAATCAGTTAGGTATGGGCATGGATGATAACCCTTGCCCATAACATAACTGACTGTCTTTGAAAATGCTTGTCTCATGCATGGTTCATGAAACAAAGTGTTCTCAACATCTTCTCCACACAGGTCTCCGGTCATTTGATTGCCACAAACCAAACTGGCACTTATGTGTGAAGAGAACAGTCAACAAAGAGAGATTGTTCAAGTGTCTAAGTGAGATGCTGATTTGTGAATAGTCGCCTTTCTACTCGATGCTTAGAGAACCTGAAGTGCGATGTCTATAAAGTAGGTTATTCTCATGAAGCCTTCTGATGATTGTTTTAGACTGCAGACCGTTTTGAATTGACTACATATCAATCTGTTAAATTACAATAACATAGTGCGGTAAGAGCAATAAAACGATTGTCTCTAGCTGTTGTATATTGCGGTCGACTACAACCTTTTCTTCAATTCTTCCAATTGACCCTAAACTGCAGTAGACCATTGTGGATAGTAGAGCACGGCACACCCAGGCTATTTAACAGACGCTACGTCTGTCATTAGGCTAAGCATCTATCCGGCGAAATCTTAACTTAAAACCATGCTTTTAAGAAAAAAATTATTAATTTTTTACTCAAATTTGTTTCTCCAAAGAAAACAATTTAAAAAAACATTTAACTCACAAGACAAGATTGCTCTGGAAAAGACGAATTTGAACTGATTTTCTTTATTTTAATTATAAAGTGTAAAAGGGTTAGTAACACTGTATAAAGGTAAACAACAAGTGTCGTGTTTACGTTTTAAGACAACTATTAATGTTTATACTTAGTTATTATGGAGAAAAACAAATAAATAAGTGTCCGTTTTTTTAAAGTGTATTTTGGTAAAAGGATGTTTTTAATTATTTCTTAGTGAAATAAATAAGTTTTATTGTGCAATTATACACTGGTTCTGGTCTTCAAACGTTGCACCCATCATAAACAATAATATAATTATCGGTGTGAAATTAAAATCGACAGATAGAGGATAAAAAAAAATCCGATGGTGTGCATTCGATTGATTCCCAAATTATATTATATAAAAATTAAGAATTATTTTTTTTAATTATTACAAAAGAGTTGGAACTGTAGGATGGGAAGTCTTAGACAGGCAGAAAGTGATAGAGAAAAAGACTAAAAGCATAAGGCAAAATTGAATATAAAACAAGAAGATAAACAATATCAACGGAGCTTATAATTATAAAAAAAAAAAAAAAAAAACAGGACAAGGGAATAAATAAGAAAGGTGATGAATTTCCTCACGTAAAATAAGATAACCTAAAAATAAAATAGTAAAACCAGTGGAAATGGAAGTTATATTTATAGATAAAACTCGGAACAGGGACGGGAACTGGGAAGAAATGAATTTCTGATAAAAACTAGTAGAAAATAGAAGAAAACTTGTGTTCATGGGAAGGAATTGAATATTGGGCGAGGGCATGGACATGAACTGTGGTCGAGATCTGGCTCACCTCGGTATAATAATGCACTTAGTGGCCGGATCTTGTGTCGTGATGGCCTTTTCCAACTCTTCGAGACCGTTTGACTTTTTCAGCTTCTTCACAAGGCTTTTGACGGCCTTTTCACTCCACTTATCTTCGCATTGGCTTTTTTTCCAACCGAGGAGACGTTTGACTATAGGCGGCGTAAAAGGTAGCATAGACGACATTATACGTTTACTTATCTACATTTAGATTTAAATGTAGATTTACCTGAGGCGGGGAACGCGCGGGGGGAGGCTAGTTGGAAATGAGGGAAAACGAATCGGGGGGAAATAACAAGGGAAAAAACAGCATCGAACAGAGAAAGAAGAGAGTTTGTTTCGTTATGTTATATGTTGGACCGTCTGAGTCGGTGGTGACTGGAGGTGGATGAGTCGGAGTGGGATGACCTTCGGTCGTCGTCGGCTCCGCTCGGTCTCCCCTTGTCGCCCGCGAAGACGTTCAAAAATCGAATGAAATCACAACCGTCATGTTCGGGCTGAGGACAAACGATCAAGACAATTTCTGAAGAACTTCTAAATCGGTAAATACCCTTAATGTTTTTAATTATATCTTACACAATCTTACATTCGTTATCTTACAATATTTTATCCGTTTTAAAGAATTAGATGTGTATAATTTAAATTCTCACATCACCCATATCAAAAATACATTCTATGAGGAACTTCACCTGATTAACCAGTGAATTCACTGACTCGAAAACCCTCAAAATTCTTTACTCTTCCTTTTTTAGATCTCATCTTCATTATTCCTGTGTTATCTGGTCCCCTCATTACGATTAAAAAAATCCAACAATGTTCAGAATAAATTTCTAAAATATGTAGCTTACAAACTTACAATTCCCCGGGCTGCATGGCTTTTCAGAATTTATCTTGACCTCATCTTCCTTTATGAACTTATGAATAGTCAGATCGAGTCTCCTTATTTACTTTCCAAATTTAATGTTCCCAGCTCTCATCCCGAAAGCATAAAATATTCTTCATTTCCGCCCATAAAACTAATTATATAAAAGAAAGTCCCATCAACAGCTAATGCTTATCCACACCTCTCATACCAAGAAAATATTAGTATTTTTAAAAAATCTATGCTAACTGCATATATTTGCAGTTACGTTGTATTTAATAATTCCTACTTCCAATTATTTGTTATTGTATTGTAATTCTAATTCAGTTGGTTCTTTAATTAACTATTTATGTTTTGTAATGACTCTCTGTATTAGCTCTCCTAAGTATATTTGCAACTATTGTATAATTTTATTAATAGGCTTTGCCTGTAAAATAAATAAACATACATAACATAACCTAGTTGTCTTTACAATTGGATTTTGTAAGTAAATCATTGAATAGTCCACCTCTTCTTTGTTTGTTTTTCTGTAAAGCTTCTTTCTAAAGTTCTGGTGGTTTGATTTTTTGAAGTTGTACCATTTTAAAGTTTCAAATTTGTTTGAGTAACAGTTTTAAGGGATACGGATTCGGCTAGAATTGTTGGAAGATGTAGATGTAATTTTCAGGGTATAGTATACTGCACCCTTTAAGAGCTATTAAATCAAAATAAATAGAGTGCTGTATAAGCACATGTGGGATTTGTACAACCACCCAGTTCGTGCGGAAACAGCGAATATTCGCCAAGTGCCTTGTGAGTTTTCCAATCATGATGGACAACAGTGAAACTTGCTGCAGCTGCAGTTACAAACTCAGTTACAAATCTGTAAAGAGTACTGTTGCCCATCTTACTTTCGATCTGTTTTCAATATCAAAAATTTTGTTCTGATTTGTGTGATTCAGAAAAGAAGCATTACAAATTATTGGTTCAGCTTGGTACAAATCTAGGAATTCCATGACAGGTTGGGCCAATCCATTCATAACCAACAGAATCAACGCTAGGTTGTTCATTAATACATATATACTAGTTAGGAATCATTTATTCAAAAAATAATTAGTCAATTGATGATTACGGTTGATATATGTACAGTACAGTTCTTGAATATGTGGATGCTTTGAGTACAGTTACTATTTTGTGCACTTTGAAGTGGACAAGAAAGCTGACAATTAGCTAGACTAGTATTAATAACTGACCTAGCACATAATAAAGCCCTGAGTTAAGCATAGTAAACGCTGAAAGCTTGGCAGTAGTGCAATAATTGTCGTTCTTGGATCACATCCCTGATCCCAAAACATCAATAGCTTTCTGACAAATTTTGACGTTATGCTGTTTAGCTTTTGACTTAATTACACTTACGAAGCCACATTTGCCAATGCACAATTTAGCATGGAAAAGAAAACAATATACATTTCAAACTTTCATATTTTCTGTATGTTTTTTATGTTAATTTCGTTGAAACTCAAAAACGAAGACAAATACCTCAAAATAAATCAGAAAAATTGTAAGCATATTACAATTAATTAAGGTTTTTAGTTGAGATAGAAAAGTCAATGGCACAAGCGGGATTCGAACCCACGATCTTCGGCTAGATACGCCGCTGCTCTACCACTTGAGCTATCGTGACTTCGATCCACTCAGACACCAACCCCATCTCAACCCCACCTTTTGAATTTTCCCTCCTTTTTGCCATTTTTTATCTCAACTAAAAACCTTAATTAATTGTAATATATTAATTGGTCAAGCGGACCACAAAATTAGTGAATGTAAGCATATTTTGGACATGCAGTGTGATAGGGGAGGGTAGTCCCTGGTATAATATGAAAAAACCTGGTGAGTACTCAATTGTGTGAATGTGTATAATTTGTATGAACAGTTCTGTGTATATAACATGTATAATACTGATCAGTTATGATAATACTACATCAGTTAGGTTAGTTATTATATATGGGTGTAAAGGGTGATGGAGGAATATTGAGTCCTCCACTACCCAAAGGAAAATTGACTTCTCCACTACCCTAACTAAATGAATGGTATATAAATAAGAAATAATGTATTTAACAGTAAGTGAGAGAGTGAATGTTAGCTAGCTGTTGGTGCCCTTGGAATCCAAATCGATGATCCAAGAAGCTACTGTATGCTAGAGTTAAATTTTATAAGTGTTATGCTGTGCGAACTAATTTAAAAAAAATGAAATCCCATTAATTTCAATATTAAATTCAAATGATTATTTGGAGATTGTGAGATGCAGTTTCGTATGACGTAGGTTTTAGAAAACATTTTCTTTATTGTGCCAACGTTTCGATCTTTATTGAGATCCGTCTTCAGGGCCTGAAGAATAAAGATCAAAATATTGGCAAAGAAAATTTTTTCTAAAACCTACGTCACACCAGACGCATCTCACTATCTCCAAATACTCATTAACTAACGGTTACTAAACACCATACATTAAATTCAAATTTAAGTTAACTACATAGAAAACTTCATGGAGTTAGAAGTTGACTAGAGTTGGTGTTAAGGCTGATCATTGAGGTGTTCTAATTCTATCTGCTGGGCGTAGAATACTGGATAGTTTGATAAGGAAGGCATCATAGCTTGCCTTTAAAAAGTCAAATGCAAATTGAGATGCTTTCAAGATCCAATATGGTACAATTATATGCTGTTATAAATATAAATGAAGTATGCTATTTTTCACCTATAATAGAATTACACAGGGCAATAAATTGTATAGGCGAAGTACAAATTTACTGTGAACATAATTTAATACAAAAACATTCACTATAAATTTTCTCTACACACTAAAATTTAAGCTTTACGACAGCACTACATTATTGACATTTTGAAACAATCACATACATTCCTAGAGAAATTTGGAACAAATTATCAATAAAAAAAAGAAAAAAAAAGTTAACAATGTTTAATGGGAAAAAAATAAATCTTCAATGACTGGAGTGATCACTCCACCGAGACAGCAGTCCACCTTCGTCCTTGTACAATCATCATTTCCTGAAACAAAATTGGGTGACTAGGCATAACTCGGCTTTCGATTGAGGCTTTAGAATCTTGACGCTTTTGTTGCGAGCATCTGCATGACGCTGAACGTGGAAAGTGTGATCCCACAAATCGCCATGAGGAGGGCAGACTTGCCCACTATTTTTTCACCTTCCTGTTTGGCCACCCTGCTCTGTGAAGGAAAAAGAATAGAAAAAGCATTATTTTTCAGTCAAAACCATGCTTTGTAAATAAAAATATTATTTAATTTTAAAAACATTACAAGCATTTGTAAACAGTAAAAAATCAAATTAAAAATAACTCATTGAATGTGAAAGTGTAATTTTTAAAGAGATAACAACTTGAGATATAATTATACATGTACAGTACATATTTTTTCCATTATTTTCATTGCCAACCTCATTAAAACTAAGTTTATACATTTTATTTTAACATATTGCTGATTAAAAACAAATTTATTCAGAATTATAACACAAAAACTGTTAAAATTTTATCCTTTTTCTTTCCTGTTTCTAAATTGAGTTGTTTATTCTCAAAAGCTTGTTCAAGATAACACATTAAAGATAAGATGTCTGAACAGAATGATAATCTTGATGTAAAAATATATTCAAAAATAAACAACCAGACACTTGCATTTTTAATCATTTAGTGATAGATTAAAATTTAAGTAACAATTACATTACCTAGTTTTGCTCTTAATAACATGCCCCCTACTACGGTAGAGGGTCTTAAGTCTCCTAGGCCTCGAGTAAATAAACAGTTGGAGTTTGTCTTGTGTAATAGAATCCAATTTTTCAACAAGAGTGGTTTGAAGCTGTTCAATGCATATCAGGAGAAGGTGCTGGCCAATTCATTGTGGTAATCCCTACATAATGGGCGTCAGTTCGATACCATGCCATAACTGACTGTATTTGAAAATGCTTTGACTTAGCATGCACATTCCACGTCTTCTCCACATATGGTCCCGGTCATCTGATTTCCATAAATCAAACCGGCACTCATCTGTGAAGAGAATAGCCTCCCCCATTGTTCAAGTGTCCAAGCGAGATTCTGACTTGCGAATAGTCATCTTTCTACTCGATGCGTAGAGAACCTGATGCGGAATGACTAGAGACTAGGCTATTCCCACAAAGCCTTATGTTGGTTTTAGAGCCCGCCTTAGACAGAGATCTAAGAATGTCGGCTCAAGTGAGGTAAGAGCAATAAAATGATTGTCTCTAGTCATTGAACATTGCAGTTGACCCCTACCTTCTCTTCGATCGAGACTTGTTGGCCCTATAGACCACCATGGATGGTAGAGCATTGCATACCCAAGGCTTAGTAACATAATGGTTGCTACATTGTCAGCATCATTATCAGATAATTTCATTTGCCCAGGTGTGATCTCGTCTTAAAACCACGCTTTTAAGGATTTTTAAAAACTCAAATTTATTGTTTCATCAAAGAAAACAATTTTAAAAACCAATTAACTCATTTGACCGTCAGCTCTGGAAAAAATAAAATTGAACTAATTTTTCCTTATTTGTAATGTAAAGAGAGTAAAAGGATTAGTAACAGCTATAAAGGTAAACAACACATTATTAATGTTGTGTTTATGTTATGACAAAAAAAAATTCATAAAACTATATAATTAAAGACCGGATTCCCATGCAATTGCATGTTTTTATTACTCACTCCGATTGTAATGAAACCACGACAGAAATTTGAATCACGGAAAGCACGTCTTTTGACACTATTCCTATTTTACATGAAATTATTAATTACCTTGGTGTTATTACACAAAATTATACATTTTACGATTTACTGCACAATTTTTATTTTAAGGTATAATTTTTTGTGCATAAAAACAACTGGAAAATATTTCATTTTTAAGGGTTTACTGTATTTAGTAAACAAATTGAGGGTAAAATCTGTTTTATAATGCACTTTGTCAAAGTTTTCAACTTCCGATTCCTAAATCTAACAAAAAAAAAAAATTATGTTCGACATCCACCGATCCGCTCTGTTCCATCAATTGTGTATTTCTTAAACTTTCTTTGACTTGGGAGCAAAGCAGTGAAAATGTGTAGTGAGTACCTATTCTCCCTTGTTTTCTGTATGGTCTGGCAAATAGTTTGTACATGGATTTTAAGAGATTAAATTCCTGTTTGTTCAAAATAAAATAATTTGATTGCTTGTTTTAAAATTTAAACATGAAAAAGGAGATTTATTGTCTAGTTGAATTAATAAATTTGTTTTGAAATTTTGATCAATTCATATTATGAAAAGGCCATTTGTATTCAGGTCCGATCAAGAACTTAGGGGCACTGCTTTCCAATAATTGGGATAAAGGTAGGGCACATCTTGGGTCAAAAAAAAAAAAAACGTAACACAAGGATGATCACCATCAGCGTGTCTTTGGGTAACTAGGTGCCATGTGAGACCTTCAAAGGTATCATTTAGGGTATATAATATACTGCGCCCTTTGTATTATCTGTTCTGTGCTTATAGCACACTGGTGAGAACTGGTCCATCAAGGAACTTGATTAGTAGGCCCGATTTTAGTGGTTGAATTTCTACAACAGTTATGCTGTACATCCCAAAACGGTTCTTCCTGTGAGTAAATGTGGCACCACAGTTTGTTATGTTTGCTGGTGTCTCCCCAGCTTCTTTGCAGAATATGCAGTGTCATGTTGTGTTATACCAATTTACTTCAGATGCCCACGTTAAGAATCTTCTTTGGATTTGAAGTGTTTTTCTCCTTCCTTTGATGCATTCTGTTGTTTATTTCCTTCCAAAATTTGCCAGAAGGTTCTTGGATTATTTATGAGCAATGACGTATTCCACTGTTTCATTTTTATTTTGTCTTTTTGTCTAAAATACTCATTAATAATGTGAATCCCTATGGCTCAGGACCTATCAGTGGTTTCCTTGCAAGGATGTCCGCTCTCTCGTTCCCCTCTATTCCCACATGTCCTGAGACCCAGCAGATGGTGACTTTATTTCGCATGCCTAATCTATATAGTTTAGTTTCACAATTCACATCTTTTTGAGGTAATGATATTTGAACTTAGTGCCTTGGCAGATGCAAGATAGTTATTTTATTGTTTTTGTACCCTTTGTTCAGATTGAATGGGTGACCTTAGCCTAAGAAACATGCTTGATTCTTTTCTCTGAATGTGAGGAGTCATTATTTAACTCTTTACATATATAACTTTATACATCCTGAAAAATCTTTTGGATTTTGATTTAGATTTATATAGGCTCAAATCTGCCTGCCTATCCGTTTCTCGAAGTCCACAGGCAATCCCAGCTTTTGCTATTTACAGTAAGTTGCTGGTAGACTTAAGAATCATCCACCCTGGGTGTTGGCAGTCTGGGGGCAGACCCAGTCTAATCCATCCAGTCATCATCTAAGGGGGGGGGATGGGATGCTTTCAACAGCTAGGTCAATTCAGCACCCAGACATGCAATTCCAAACCCATTCGTACTCATGTTCATTCATAAATACATTCAATCAATTAAGGTGTGATATTCCTCCATCACCCTTTACACATATTAAACAACTAGCCTAACTGAGGGCCGATGAGGGGACTCGATATTCCACGTTGACCCTCTCACATCACAATCTCACTTGAATACACTCACTCTCAACACAACTATTATTACTATGTACAATAAAACAACTCTGTGCTTAAGCACAATTCTCCAATCTGGTGGCATTCCTGCGTGCTTTCCGTATGGATAAATATCATCTTTTAAAACATAAATTTGCAAATTGATTTCAAGATTTATAAACTAAAACATGACGAGAAGCTGAAATGTGTCAGACGAGACCTATAAAGCAAGAATAGGCAGGCCAAATGATTATATTAAATGCAAATAAAGGTTAATAATGAATAATGAAATTGGTATTTTGTTTTTATAACGATGATGATTCAAGGCATTGAAAACAAAAGGTCCCAACCCCTCCGCCCGCAAACTGCTGTAATAAGGCTGAACTCATACCTGCGTATAAGAAAGCCTCAAAGCATAGTTGGTTGCTCTTGTCAGTTGCATCTCAAGTCAGATGGTGGTTCTCAAACAGCCTGAAATCAAACGAAGTGATCTATATTTAAAACCTGGCAGTTTGAAGGACAAAACTAAAATAGTGACTATTTACATGTGCAACCTTTTCAAAATGTGAAAGTAAGACAGGTCCTGATAAAAGAAGTACAAAACCTTGGTTGTACGATTAAACATAAGTATTTATGTGAGTTGTTAGTAAGGTTTTTTTTAATGGAAGAGTTTTGAGAGTTGGCTCTCGCTTTGCCAAACGAGTATTGAAAAAATTGAATTCCTTATCAATTTCTGAGTGTTAAAAAGAAATAATACCGATAAGAACAATTTTAAATATACTTACAGCTATAAGAGATCAAAGAAGATAGGAAACTAAGATTTTTCAGACGTCTCGAAATGGTCGATTAGATATAACTGAGGTCCCAACCGCCAGGGAGGCACACTTTTATCGGGCTGCACTTGTTTTCGAAATTCCGACCGAACTATAAAAATTTTCCTCCTATGAGAAAATTTTAGAACGAGAGAAATACTAAATAAATAGTTCAAAAATAAAAAAAGATTTTTACAGTGAAATTATCAGTTTTTCGTTTTCGCGTACGGCCCGAAGGCGTTCCTACAAAGCTAGGACGTTCAAGGCTATTTTTCACCAAATAACGATTTCCTGCTGTTTTTTAATCTTTTAAGTACAGTACAGTACATTTAGCATTAGAACAAAAAAAAAAAAAAAAATTGATGGTTAAAAAAACAACAGGATAAATGAATAATAATGCCTGGTAAATTATTTATTTTATTAATTGAATTAAAAGTACAAATAGGGCTTTAAGCCCCTTTGCAATTAAAAATAATCAATGATCTGGGAATTCACTTGGACCAATTTCTCTCTTTTAATCACCATATCAACCTACTTGCCAATCGAGTAAACAAATTAGTATTATTCATACGTCGCTACTTCTACCCTCCTGTATACTTGTCCGTTCTCTATTAGTATATTGCTAGTTCCTACACTACAGAACCTATATTAAATTATCAGAACAAATTAGCACAAATTTCTTAGATAGATATAATACAGCAAAATAGGTATAGATTAATTAGGCTTGAATCGCGACGTACACAACACTATTCTTGCATAAACTTCGTAACAACAAGATATATTCTCATGGGTTACTACTACAAACCCTCAGCCTTGATTACTATACCGCTGCTCTAACCACTTGAGCCGGAGATAAAAAGTATAATTAATTTAACAAAAAAATAATATGATCAATTATGACTACTAAATAAATGTATGGATTATTAATAATAATATTGACTACTTTAATGACTCTCTTGACCAATTCAGAACTTCCTTAAAACCTATCCTCTAGTCACTCACTACCTTTCCTTCATATCCCTAGTTATATTCAAGTATTTTATTGTATTAATGTGATATTAATTTATTTGCAATTTGAACTTTCACCCTGAAGGGTTGTCGCTCTGACCCTAGTGTCTGTATATCGGGAGTTCACCCACTCCGTTATGTTACCGGGTCGCTAATATGCCCCTTAAGCCAGATGCCTAGGTGATCATCGCTTCCCTACCAACAGGGTGATTTCAGCCCCAACCCATGCAAACTATAATCTAGTCTAATAATAATTAAATTAGATAAGTCAGTCGCACAAATAAATACATTCATGCATTGCATTCTGAGTTGGTAGAGTACTGGATATTCCTCCACCGACCTACACACAATATTAATAATCTAACCTAAATTAGGGTTGATGAGGTGCTTTTATAAATATTCCGCCATCGACCCGAAACTCACACACTGTTGAAGGGGCAATGGTGATACTGATATCACCAACACCCTTCACCAATCACACTAATAAATACACTCATTCAAACAAAACAAAATAGAATAAATTTATATACAGTAAAATGTCCCCATCTCCTCTAAAAAACGAAACAGAAACCTACTGCTTTGGTGAGAACCATTCATAAATCCGGCGGCATCCTACAGACTCTGCACAGAGCCAAGGTATGACACGCTTCTATTACATGGGACACATTGAGCAACCTTTCTCTGCTTTGGGGCACTTGCACAGATTTTGGCCTGAAAGCAAGTGCCCTGTGTCAACAGTATATGGCCAATCCTTAATCAGGTGAGAACGATCCCTCTTCTCTGGCTCAAGTTCTCGGAGGCCTGTATGCGATTTGGTACATGCTTGAGGTGATTCGAGTCAATGGTGGTTCTACTTAATCGGTCTGCTCTGACTGGGTTACTATCTATGGAACTCCATTGACCCTCTTCTTGTCCACCCGCACTCATGTTTTTTTTTTAATACTAGACAGGGGGAAATTTGCCCCCACATGGTCTCTCCAAGAGCATAATGGTTGATTGAGGACCTGTCATAGTCAGCACTAGCTGCACTGCGGGAGATATATCTTTTATATGACATTTTTATTACATTTTAATATAATTATTGCTTATAGTGTCAAATTCTTTATTAATCTGTTATATTTTCCTATTGTTTATCCCTTCTCTTTTCTGCTCCTTTCATTATTTCCTGTGTTCATTTGTGGTCTGGGAAAAAGATAAATCATAGCAAAAGTCCAGCTTTAGTAGAAAAGAAATAAAACATACATTTTTAAACAAAAACAAAAGTTGCATATGTAGGTAAACCAAGAATTATCAGAGTTATCCTATGTGCTCAACAATAGCAAATTGATAACCAAACTCCGAGAATCTTATCGTGATCCGTCTGGCATTGCCGCACTGAAAATATTGCACAACAACATCCTTGGTTATTACATTTCTTTTGGTGATATACGCAATAAATCATTATCTAGGGCTTTCAAATTCATTAAAGTGTGAAAGAATTTTCCCGTTGATAGCTCAAGCCAGCCAATAGCATACTCTCCATATTGTTCGATATGTTTTGATGTGATTGATATCAGCCTTAATATTGTAATTATATATACAAAAGATCAGGGTTAAGACAAATTGAAAGAAAGAAAAACAAACGGTTCCCTTATGATTTTATTAAAACTTTGAAACTATTTCTCATGATTTAAATATTTAGCAAATATAAACATATACTTAATACTGGAAATTATGGCTTCAATCATAATAAGTTTATGAGTTTAGTTTTGAACTCAGTTCATCAAAAGGTAGATGAAGGACCTGAGTGTTTTTCTTTCTTTCAAATTTGCCTTAAACTTGATCGTTTTTATATACCATGACCTGCCATTCTCTCTTCTTGCATTTAAATAAATTAATGTAAGTAAAGTAATATAATAGTTTAATATTAGTAAGATTGTTTAAGGGATTAAAAATAGACAAAACTAACAGAAATAGTGTTTGTATTTCTGTAATTACAAATAAAGTAAAGTATACAGCAAATAATTTATCTCTCAGTTTATATTCAGACTAAATTAATAACAGCACAATATATAATATTTAACCATTTCTCTACATTTCAGCTTGTAACAATAATTAATCTAAGTGTGGTTTTATAATTATAATAACGCACCTATTCGCTTACTTATCTAAATATATATTCTCTATACCGAAGAAAAGTGAAAAATAAACTCAAAAAGTGAATAATTATAAATATATTTTCAACTATATATTTTTATTTACACGTAAAAAATTGATTTTTCATCATATAAATTAACTGTTTTTCTATTATAAGAGAAATTTTCAACAAAAATATATTGCAAATATATTTTAAGGATAAAATGCAATGCTAAGCTTGAAAACACATTTTTAAGAGATTTTTCTATCCGTTTTTAATATAAAAGATAATGTATTTAAATATCACATTACACTTCGGTACAGGGAATAACCTTTAATTGTAAGGCAATATATATAATATTTCTTATAGATAATATAAACCACTTAACCATTTACCAAAAACAAAATATCGCTGTCTTACTCAATGGGTTTCAAATTTTTTTAAACAACAATTAATTAGAATTAAGTAAGTTTTAAAAAATTTCTATATAGTTTTAGGTTTAAAAAGTTTAAGGCAAAATCTTCCACAAGATTATATAGTATAAAAAGGAGAGGATATTAAAAAACACAAATCTTCAAATTTTGAAATGTTAAAAAAATGCTTGTATAATATTGGCAGTTCATTTTTGGTAAATTTGGTCTCAAAGTGATTTATATTGCATGCTTCACAATTTTTATTTATTTTTTATTTATTTATTTATTTTTTTTGAAATTAGAGATCAGTTATGTGTACAAGATATCTCAAATTAATATAAGGCAGTATATATTCTCGTACTTAAGATGTTTTACAATTTTTCTAGTTCTTATAATACAAATTTGTTTTATTTGGAAATTTAGAATATGCGGCCTACAAGAAATAGCTCTTATCCGTCCATACATTCTAAAACTAAAAGTTTTCCCTTTACACTGCAGGATCATTTCCTAAATTTCCAAAATAGATGTGCAATTTTTAATTGTTTTTTATTTTTTATTATTATATTTTTTAATTTAATTGAATAGGCAATAATTTAGCTATCCAATTTAATGTGTCTGTCGCTTTATGAGAGAAGTCAAATAAAATTTGTATAAAAGAATTAATCTCTCGGCACTCGTATTATCACATCCATCAGCAATCTAAGCACTTTAACCGTTGGAGGAAAAAGTTTTGCTAGTTATATACTACATGAATTGATCACCTAAATTGACCTAAAATTTATTTCCCTATAAAATAACGGCTATTTTTTGAAAATAAACTATTTTATAATTGTAAATTTTTCTTAGCTATTTATTTTTTCAATTCATTACATATGTACTTGTAGTATATAATCTAACATAACAATAGAACAAGTAAAATTTATTTTTGAGGTACTTACCTGTTTTAACTTATTAAAAACTAAGTGTCTTGTTAATTTCTTATTTGAAAAATTTATTTCATACCATTTGACAATATTCATTTATAAAATAATAAATAATTGATTTCAGAGTTACAAATCAGTCTGGTGAATGCATTATGATTAATTAATAGCTGCACAAAGCCATTATCACATGCATCTTTAACAAATAAAAAAAAGTTTGTAATGATTCAACCCGTCTTTATAAATTTGACAAAATCATAGATGGGCTGTTACCTCAAAGATAATTCCAGTTGTCTATATCCCCCTGACTTAACTCTACAATTACACATAATAGTGAATAGTTTGTTAGCAAACTATATTATGTATATTCATATAAATTTTTTTGTGAGTAATTTTTATTTCGGAATGAAGTCATTTCGACTTCCAAATTCTAAAAGGGTAAACAACCAAACAGGAAAATAAATTTACAACAATTCAATCATTAAACTTATATTTCATTTTTACATAGCACCCTCGATCATTAACACAATGCCTCTCCTGCGTATTTCGGTTATTTCCCTTTCGATAACAATTCATACTACTTATATTTATGTAATAAAATATAATAATCTTCCCAAATGTTAACCACAGTTTCTTATCACAACATGAAACTGAAAGGACAGCTCGTGAAATTTGACTTCTCATTTTTAACATCTTGTTTACCCTTTTAAAGTTCCATAATTCCGAATAAAAGAAGTGTGTAACATATTTTTGTTATATATTTTTCTAATTCTAATTTTTCTCCACTCTTGGAATGGATAATTATTTATTTATTTATTTTCAGACTGTGTCTATGAAACAGAAAATTCTCAATTTTTCAATATTTTTAAATATTTTTGTTCACTTTATAACAGACATAAATCTTTAAAATATATGCACACTTTAAAAAATTTGAGAATTTTCATTAGAAAAATAAAAAATCAATCTACGTTAGCTTTACATTTACAAACTTAACTTCTATGTAGACATACGTCAACATATTGTTAGTACATATCCCAGTCCCATCTCCTGTGTTAAAATTAAATATTATTAATAACAATAATTAAATTAATTTATAATTATAATGTGTGTATCACTTATATATAGATTGTACATTTTTTTGTTATAATGCACAATTATTAAAATAAAAACAATGTTTGTACATATAATTACATTTCAGAAATCTTGCTCTCTACATTTTTCATCAATCGTTCTTCTGGTAGAGCCCATAATTAAACTTTAAAATTATATATTTGAGTTTTTGTCAAGCAGACATCACCTTCACATTTATATTGTAATTCACCAGAGTCCTAGTTTTTAGGTGTTAAATATACAACCCAAGTATAAGAGACACTTCAGTAGCCTTGGCTATAACTTATTTTAAAATATCTTAAAAAATAAACAAGTTTCAATAAATTTGTCATGAATTTGTTCCACAAAAATTACAACTCCCCTCAAGAGAAATATATGCAAAAACTATAGTAAATAACAATGTTAAGTATGTACAAATGTTTGTGTCAATACTAATTGTTACAGTTTAATAAAAAGTAATTTACAAAAATCCCTAATAATATTCTATTTAAAGCTTAAGTTTCATTAAAGAAATAAGAGGTGAGGTGATACATCTGATTTATAATAAGATAGAGCTACAAAAGATAATCAATACTTAGAACATAACAATAAAAAAGCAAACATAACATCAATAAATTAAACTATATAATACAATAATGTCGATGAACTTTGATTATTTATAATGTACATACATAACAACATTATTTACAAGTTGTTAATGAACACAATCAGCCACTTGAGGGATTTTCAAATATTAATATATATTTATATATTAAATTTCTTCATAGGGTTGGTATATGCAGTCAAGTGCTTGTTTTATCATTGGCTGGGAACTATCCTGTATGGTGTCTGTCATCAATGATTGCAAGGTGATAAGCCTGAAACAAAAGTGTTTCTACTTTTAAGATAGTACCATAGAAAACATCCTCATAAGTATGATTCTGAACATGTTTATAGCAGAAAATTATTGTTTTTACTGTTTTTGAAATTATGCAGTTTTTTAATATACTTTTTAGTTTTGATTGACGAGCAGTTAGTTAAATTTGAATTGTAATAATTTTAAATCTAACATCTAAAAGATTAAATTCATTTAATAATGTGTGATGTTTAGTGCCCGTTAGTTAATGATGATTTGGAAATCGTGTGACCGCATCTTACGATTTCCAAATAATCATTTAACAATAGTTTTTTCCTTATAGTCTATTGTCTTAATAAAGTTGTCCAATTTAATTGTAAGGGGTGGATTTTCGGGTCTATCATACTTTACCACTTTTGTTTTAAATATTAGTAGTTATCAAATGAAACACTGGATCTTTTAACTATTTTTAATATTAGAAGACCACATTTTTCACTCTTGAACACTTTGGATCATGATACGGTCTTGAAGAATAAAGCGAATTCGGTTGTTACTGCCAAGCTTTATATATTATAGCTTTATATTTATAGGTATTTTATGGTCATCATCAGGCCCTATTAATTTCAATTGATTGTTTTAACAATCAATATAACTATATAGAACTTATAAAACAATCTTAAATATGTGAACAGATTAACATAATTAAGTTTTTAATAGATGGTTTCTAATTTCCTTGGAGAAGAATGAAGAATCTTTGGATAAAAAAATATTTTTATTCTTCTTCTGAGTAATTGAGACTCGGTCAATTATTTAAACATTTGAAAAGTCAAATTTATGCCTACTTGATATTGAATGTTTTGATAGTCCGGTACCAGTTCTAGACTTATTTAAGATTGTTTTGTAAGTTCTATATGGTTATTTGTTGTTAAATCAATTGTACAAATATATTTTTCATAATGTGAAATGAATATAGGCTCTGATGATGACCTTAAAATAGGTCAAAAGCTTGGCAAGCTTGGTAGTAACAACTGAATTTGCTTTATTCTTCAAGACCATACATTATTCCAGTGTTCGTGAGTCTTTTATAATAGCTGCACAAATTGAAATTAATTTTATTATAAGCATGTGCAAAAATGTGTAATATTTAGTGACTGTTAATTACAGATTATTTAGATTAGAAAAACATTTTCTTTATCGTGCCAACATTTCGATCTGTATTAAGATCATCTTCAGGGCCTGGGATTTATAAACATTGTTTTAATTGTAATTGTTAAAATACATTTGTATAATTTGAAATTTGAAGATAGAAACGTTGGCACAATAAAGAAAATGTTTTTCAAACCTACATCACATCAGACCACATCTCACAATAGATTTATAGATTTAATCATTTATTATAAGCTTAGAGATTTGTTCTAATAGTTTATGCTGGGTGTGGTCTGCAAGTCGGTGGACTCATGTTGAACTAGCACTGAGTCACTTATTGGGCTCGTCTTCACTGGCAGGTCTGTTGAATAACTCAAGCGTATTTCAGCATTGCCGTCTTTGAAGAAACCCGTGAGTGAAGATGGACCCAATAAGTGATCCTATGTTGGTTCAGAATTTATTCAAATACATTAACTTTTTTTAAAATTAGACTACATCATCATTGTAGGTAGATAGGTAGAATTTTTTTTGTAAAACTTTAACATGAATTGAGTTTGAAAATAACAATTTAATTTAAAATAATACAAGCACAATGTTTCAAATTTAATGAGATTGAATGAATTTTTAGTTATATTAAAAAAAAAAATCTTTGAAATGTGATACCTACGTAGTTCAGCTATCTACAGAGAAGAGCTCTTTGTGAAGGGCAGGGAATTCTAGATGTGGTGTTGATCTTTTGAATTTCCCAAGTGCTTCCATATGTAACATGCTTAACTCCCTAAAAAATTATTGAAAATTAATAAAATTTAAAGAGATAAATGCTCAATATTTTTTCAGTATTGCGTCTCACCTAAGAGTTGGAATTTTTGCGAGCAAGGCATCACAGACAGTGACATCACCTTTAATAGGTGTTGTATGATTCCTTTCCAGTTCGATTCTTAATGCTCGTAAAACTGCTTGCCCAAGCCTTCCGATTTCTGCTAAACCTTTTAACCCAGGGCGGTCTAGAAAAAGTTTTATATTAAATTTCTGTCAAAAACTGGTTTTGTACATGTGAATTTACCTGCTGACAATAGCACACATGCTGAGTATAAGGCAAGTTCAGTCTCGGTGAGTTTGAGCTCTGCAACACCACTTGAAACTTCAAAAGCGAGTGTAACAAGTTTCATTTCTGCTGTGTCTGTTGTATAAAATGCATCCTGAGGTAGCATCGTATCTCCATACAGTACCCAACCGGAACTCAAGTCAAAATACCGGGACATTCTTAAAATTGCTAGTTCGAAGCTCCCTGGAATGGAGACAGTTGTTATTTATCTGGGGTATATATCGTTTTGTGTTTTTCTCTTATACAAACCAGCTTTTAATAGGACAATTTGATCATCTTGGGAGAGCTTCATAAAGCCTGGGACCATTTTTGCAAACTCTATTATTTGTTGGATCACAGTTGTAAGCTTTTGTGCACACTCCAGCCACAATTCCTCATGTGCCTTAAATATAATTAAAAATTAAGTTTTTGACAATAAAATGATTGTTAAAAATTAAACTACGATTTATGGCTATTAATTGAACAAAATGAAACGAAACAAAATAGTAACAAAATAATAACAATTATACTGTAAATCTCATATAATTATAAATATTTCAAAGAAAAAAAATGTTTAAAAATTACCATGTTCTTATAGAAAATTAATTTCGAGAGGTCCTGTGGTTTCCTGAACATGTTATGAATATGCTCAATGGAATAGAGGCAAGTGCGTGCATGTGCATCTGCGATGGTTTTAGACAGAAGTTCTGATATTTGCGCAGGGTCTGTAAAAAGAAAGGGTCAATATTTCAAACTTCCATCGTTTGAGAAAGCGATATCTGAAAGTCACAGTAGCTTCACTATTCTCGAACTTTTGGAACAGACATACTTACTGTACTTTGTTACGGAATATACAGACTCCCTTGAAAACTGCCCGCTTTCAACTAACATGTGAACCATTATTCCAAATGTGTTAAATATTGCACCTGTGTTATTAAGTTAAGTAAAAGAAGAAGTATAGAAGGTCTATGAGTTAGAGGAGCCAAGCGTTAATAAGCCATGCTATAGTGCGCAATTAAATGTTATTGCTTCTTATTGTGTTAGTATTTACAAAAAACAAAATTGAAATAAATAAAAATAACTGTTTGGAAAAATTTATGCTTTATACAAATTGAAATCAATTCATTACAAAATATTCAGTAAGGATAAATAATTAAAAAATTTTTTTTTAATAAATGCTTACTAAACACATAAAACCCTCCCTCAACATGGACATAACTAATGTAATTAATCGTAATGCAAAATCATTTATGCCATGAAAAACTAGGACTTTTCCATTAAAAAAATAGATAGACAAAAAATAAATATAAAGCAGTTATAGAGACGATAATAAAAAGTGATTTAAATGGAAAAAAAATTGTATGAAAGATTCTGCACTACCTATGAGAGAGGATGTGTAAGAATTTGAGTTTGATTCCGACTCCTTCGGTGAAACATCTTCCGATTGTCTTGAAGTCGTCGAGTCTACGAAAGTGTTGACTATGCTATCACTGATCGGCTCCGACTCCAGCTTAATTGCCAACCTCTGTTGCCCCTGCACAACTTTCCCAACACCACCTCCTTCCCCCACACATATGTTTGTTAAAGCTTTTAATATTTTGCATAAAACATTTTTTTAGACAAAAAAAATATAGTCGACACACCACTTGTTTGACGGGCTTTCATTGTTAATAGTTTCGGTACTCTTTTTGCTTAAATAAAATGATGAAAGCCCACCAAATGTTTTAGTTTACAAGTGCTTAACTATATTAGCCATGCAGAGCAATATTTTAGATGTTTATTGAAAAGCCACCCAGATATGCAAGGATTATAAACATAACATTGCACATTAAATAAAACATTAATTAACAGGAAATAAAATAATAAGCTTGTATTTATAGCTTTCAAATATAGAGTACAAAATAAATTTTTTAAGAAATTAATTTGTGGTCGTATACTTTTGAATATGTCAAATCTGGAAATTAAACAAAACAAAACAAAATAACATATTATTCTGAATATAAAACAGAACAACAATGACCAGCGAATAGTCTTAGTAGAATTGAGCGTATAGTCTTTAAAAAAATATATGAAAGGAAAAATTGAAAAATACCTGTTGATACGTTATTGGCGCTCATCATACTGCTTTCTGACATTTGGTCTATGCTCGGCCTTGGATCATAAGCAGTTGTCGTACTGTCAACAAAGTCAGCAGAAATGTCATATTGCATTGTTGCGGTCACTTGGCCGGTATAGTTGTATGAATAAGACCCAACATCACTCCCATACGCAGAGTACCTTTAAGCAAATCAGAAGAAATGTCACTGTCTTATTTTTGCAATTATCTCTGAAAAGTTTTAATGTCAGCATTAGAATATAGTGGAGCTTAAGATTATCTTGTTTTTTGTGATAATCTAATATGTTTAAGTTGTGTTTTTATTTGACAGTTCTGATTTTTCTTTTTGCTTAACTTCATAATCTCCAGCTTCCAGTAATTTGTTTTTCGAAATGCATTCTGTAATTACGAAATTTTCGATTTAAAAAAAAACAAAAAAAAAACACAATTTAGTTGAAGTTTAAGGCACAATTCCGTTTTCCATTTTAAAAACGTGGCACACGCTTTTTCACAGCCCTGTGGGGAGAAGTGTTAAATCAGCAGAAGAGGAATTATTTTTATTTTTTTGAAGCAGCAGTACGAAGTGATTAAATGTAAATGTCAGGATTGAGGAAAAAAAAGCGAATGTTTGCAAATAACTTTTGAAGGACGGTTTCACGTTCGTTTTTAAATCGAATTTCAATATAATACGAAATCTCTGCCAAAATCTACAAAAAGGCGGGAGAAAAGAACACCGGAGGAACCCTGGAATGTATCAAGTAATTATTATTGAATATAAATATATAAAGGATTTAAATATTGCTCGTTTGAAGCTGAATTTTTGATGATTTAAACAAAGAATTTTAAACTGTCCATTTAAAAAAAATTTATTAAACAATTTATATTAATGAGATAAAAGCTAAAAATGATTGATTAATAACGAAATAACGGCCGTTTCCGATTTGACAGACAAAAAGTCAGACGTGTTTCAGCATATAGACAGTCATTAGTCGATATCCACACCCTTCTTATAACCCTGACAACCATTAAATTATGCAATCTGGAAAGATCGAAAAAGACCAAATTACCACCTCATTATTATTTAATATTTAGTTCTGCAGACAAGAAGAGTCAATTAACGAAATATTGTGGGTTTATTTCTAGAGATTTCTAAAGGCTAAAGTTTATTAAATAAATAAATACTTTAAAAGAAAAATGAATAAGGTTCTTTTGACATGTAAAAAAATTTATATACAGATTAAAAATCTTATGATTCAAAGTTTTGATTAAATGCAACTCCTTCTAATCCTTATAAAATTTTATAATTTCACATTAGCGTTTTGTAAAAATTATCAGAAAAATTTTAAAACACTGCGAATTTTTAAAAATAAGGAAGTCTAACAACTTAGCGGCGTTTGCTCAGTTTCAACTGTAGAAATGGAGGTTAAAAATGTAATTTCAACGTCCTACTTTTCTAGAAAACATCCCCAGGAAAAGCCCCTCAAACTTTCAAAATTAGTACGAAAATTTAATTTAAATGGCAAACATGGTGTCGTTTTACCCAGTGTAATTGTGAAGCTGGTCTGTCGAAGAAGGTGTCTGGGCCTGGTCGAAGACGGAGCTGTCCGGCGTTTGTTCGACCTGAGCTCGAAGCTGGGCCCTGTGGTATCTTACTTCGTCCTCGACCTTCTCTCTTTGCTTTTTGGACATCCTGCCGAATTTGACGGCTGCAAAAAAAAAACAACAAATTAAATACACACGTAAAAAATATTTAAATGTTTCAACTAATTAGACAAGTCACAACAATATGTTGTTTGGTCGTTTCTGGTTATTTTGGTATGCCTATACTAGCAATTTTTGTCTGATTCGCCATTTTCAGAAGTAGTTTTTTACGGTTCCTCGCCCTGTTTAATCGAAAATGACCAAACTGCAGGCCACCTCTCAGACCTCATGAGAAAGTCTCACAAACTTATTTTTCATTTAATGAAAATTCCTTGAGTTATATTAATATTCTTAAGTCCTTAGAGCCGTTTTCTTCGAATTTTCTCCAAGTCACTTTTTATCTAAATCGAATGCAAAACTTTTGATTATACAGAAGGCCTCGTAGCAGTTTCGCACGTTCGGTTTTTTTATTGTAAAAATCCGTGTTTTGACTTCACATTTCGCCACTTTTGACTCCCCCCAGCACAACGTACGAAGAATATTGATAAAAAAATATGCAAATACGGACATGTACAGATTGATGCGCCGATAAAACGTTGAGCCTGTTTTTTTTTTTTTTTTTTTTTTTTGCGTTTCACCTGTGTAGTAATTTTTCAGAGAAATTTCGTAATGTGCAAAACCAGTCGGGTGGTGAAGAAGAGAACAACCTTTTTTTTCTTATTATGATTTATATTGAAGACCGCGGTGGAGGAGTGGTTAAGGCATCGGGGCCCAGTAGCGATTCTGGGTTCGAGTCCCGGGCCATCCCAAGGCTTTTTGATTGATCACAATATGAAAAAGCAATTGTAAAGTCGATTAACCCTCCTCCGCGTACCCAACGGGTCGTTAAGCCCTCCTTTATGGCAGGAATAATTTTATTTTTTTAATTAAAATTTATAAACGCTTCTGCTAAGGACATTAAGAAACTCGTTTCTAAAGAATCGCAGTTCAAAAATAAGAAATTAAAGGGTTTTAAATCATGTACAAATGTCTTTTTTCCTAATTATTTTTTTTACAAATTAAACTTATAAGGTTTAATTAGATGAAGCCGCTCGTCAGCACAGGCGAAACCTTTAAAGTCTTCAAAATTCCACTGATTGAGTAGACTTTTTACCAATTGTGGTATGAGCAATTGTGTTTAAATAATGATACAATTCCATTGAGAACTCCTTTTCCGCAATAACAATATTGAATTATTCTGTCTGATAGAATTTTCTATTGGAATTGAAACTCTCATATCGAGTTATTTTATTATTTCTATCCTCAATTTTTATGTTTGACAGATGTGGTTCCTTTTCGTCATCTTCATTGTTGGGTCTGACCGTGTATCATTATCGATTTGTATTGAAAATAGTTAAAATTTTGTTGGCAGGAAGGTAAAATTAGCGATAATAGGCGGACGAGGATGATTCAAGTTCGAATTTTAACTCAAAAGTTACACACAATTTAATTTTGTAACTTTTTTGGAATTAAATCGGACAGATGCGTTGTTCCAATAGTTAATAGTTTTACAGGTTAATAGTTTTATTTGTTTTTATTTTATTTTTATGCCAGGATTTTTGTACCTCAGTTTCTGATTAACTTGGATGGCTGTACTAACCACGGAAGATGGCGAAAAGCCACCTGACAGATCAAAACACGGTTGGGCGATAGGAAAACCAAAAATGGTGTTAAATTAACGTCCTAGAGTTTTTATGGTGATATGGATAATCGCTGGGTAATCGAAGATAGTGACTGGTGAGGAATTTATAAAAGCAGTTTGTTGGATTATTTTAAAGCGAGTTTTGACCATTATGGACCCGACTTTTTATCCTTGCTATTTATTTTTTTGATTTTAGAAAAAAAGTTTCCCTATTTTGTAATTATTATTCCAGTATGGTAAATAGGTCGAGGTCATTGAGTTGCCTAATTTTTAATTGAATTATTTATGTCTTATGACATTCAATAATTGTTTCGTATTTTGATTCCGTCTACCAGTCAAACAAGTAAGTTATTTTGATTGAAAAATTATTTTTTATACGAAATTATTTAAATTTTGTTAATAATTTTTATTATGTAACATGGATTTTTTAAAGAGTTATTGTCTTTTTTATATGTATAATTTATCTTTAAAAAAACATTTCCTCGTAAGTTTTTTTTAATGTAAATGTTTTTACTTTATTTTTATATAAAACTTTTTTTGACATTTCGGGATTATTCTGGGTTAAATAGTTTTTTTAATAAAACTAGGATCAACTAAAATTTCAGTGATTATATAAAAAATCTTTTGGGCACAAGATGTCTGTCTATACAGCATTTATCTAGTAGCAATAAGAATATTATTCCTATTGTGGGATTTCTTAAGGTCTGTGGGGGTCCTGCCTGAAACTATCTTCTGTAGTGGGTTTGTGTTCGTGCCTCACCCTGCTTATAACTCTGACAATGGAAGATGGCAAAAACCGCAACCAGAACGCAAACCCAAAATAAAAAATATAATAAATGCGATGATCCAGAATATGAACTTCGTAAGATATGAGATTTCTTCTTGAGGTTTCCTAAATGATGAGCCAATGATTTGATCGTTTTCGATAATTTTGGTTTCTTCGTTTTTTTTTTCTTTTCCTGTCGTTGCTGTTTTTGTCAATGGCTTCGACAGTTAACTAACTTTCGTAGAGGGTTTGTAAATATGCCTCACTCCGCTTATAACCCTGAACACTGAGGATGGCGAAAGGCCGAAGCGCGTCTGACAGATTATAACCGTGAGGATGACAGGGAAATGTGATGAGAAAATTATAATAAATGCGATGGTTCAAAAAATGAACTTTGAGATTTCCTCTTGAGATCTACGAAGTGATGAACCTGTAGTTTGGTCGTTTCCTATCAATTTTGGCCTGCTTATCCCCGCTGTTTTGGTTGGTCAAGGTAGGTCATACACGTACTGAAAATCTTCAAATCGGGATGAAGAGTATTTTCTTCAAGGAAATCAAGGTCTAGTTCTGGGTCGGTTGTTCTCATGGTTTTGGCCTTAAGGCGGAAAATTTTTTTATTTTTGTTCGGGATTTCCCTACTACCGCGGCCTGAAGCACGCAGCCACACACACACTAAGGAATTCCTCAAGGCTTGGACTTGAGGACGTGCGTTGGTCGTCGTTTCTTTTTCCTTTTTTAATTAGTGTATTGTTTTAAACATGTTTTTGATTCGTGTGTTCTTAAGTTTTATTTGGCTGAATGTGTTGTTTGTATTAGTTTCTAGGGTTTTTCGTCCTTGAGTAAATTTAAGCTTGTGTATATTGTTGAGGGTTCTTGGCGGTTTTGAGCTTCTCGCCATCACCAGCGGTGGGTTGATCGAGAACACGCGATAGTATGTTCAAAAACGGCCCAACTACAAGTTCATCACTGCAATAAATCTTTTAAATAAAATAAATCTGTTCAAAAAATGACCCGGTGAAAATAGGCAAACCAAAACTGGTAGAAACCGACAAAACTACCTACATATCGTTCATAAAGGGGATGATGAAATTTTTGAACAAAAAACCCCAAATATTGTTCTGAACTTGCCAAATTGGCATTTCTTTGTTTGTAGTTTAGATCGGGCTCCCCAAACTGTCGAACCCACTTGGGGCTCCGCCTAACCTAACTAGAGGGTTCGCGGTGAACTTAGAGAAAAAGTAATAATTACAAAAATAAACGGAGAATGAATAAATAAAATTATAAAAACTAATAACAATGAGTACTGAAAAAGGCAGTTTTTATTTTGTAGCAGCCGTCGTGTTCTCAACAAACATGTTTTACCTATGAAACAAATGCCAGCCTCTTTTGAAAAAGTTTTGGATGAGTCTGTTCAAATTATTAATTATAACAAGTCGTTGCCATTGAAGTCAAGGCTTTTCACAATACTATGTGTCGATATGAAAAGCCTTCATCATTCCCAGCTACATCATAATTAGGTGGCTGTCTTGTGCGAAAGCACTTTCACGATTATAGGAATTACGTTTTGAAGTCTTATCTCTGTTGATGGACCACAATGTCAAATTGGCCATCGTTTTCAATGATGAGAAATGACAATGTACTGTCGTATTTATAAAATATTTTCATTAAAATCAATGATATGTGCCTGCCTTTCCGTGGGAAGGGTATCACAACTTTTGATGCTAATGACAAAGTTGACGCTTTCAGAAGAAAAATTCATTTGGTTTGAATCTGTTGAGAAGGAAGAGGTTGAGTGTTTTCCCGTGTTAAACGATTTTTTAAAAGAAAACAAACTGCAGCTTGCGAACGTTGATTGATGAAATATGTAAACACCTTCTTAGTTGGGAGATGCCCTTTGATCATTATTTCCCAACCTCTTGAGATACAACTTTGCAAAACCATGGGTGTTCAAACCGTTTTCGTTCGTTCGTTAGAAACGCGTTCTTCTATATGCGAATCAGGATTTTCTATCTGTACAGCCACCTAAAATGAATACTGAAGCTGAGTAGATGCTGAACCCGACATCCATCTCCAGCTATCAAAAGTTAAACCCAAAATATCCAAATTGTGCAGGCTAAAAGAACCTAACTCATCCCATTAATTCATTAATCATTAATGTTCAAATTATTACTTTTGAATTTGGCCCGTTTTACATACCTATTGATTTCGTTTTGTCCAATTTTATTTTTGTGTTCTAGATTTTGTAAATAAAGAGAAGCCAATCTAATATTTGATTTCATAGTGATATCCTTCTCCATCACCTAATTAGGGACGGATTGGCTAATGCTAATTTATAAAACTTTAATTTACTACATATACTATAAATATCTAATTTTAAATAATTGAATGTGGGGGGGTCCGCCCTAGATTTTGTTCTGTGAAAAGGGTCCGCTGGCTAAAAAGTTTAGGAACCACTGGTTTAGGTGTTTGGGTACTTCGTATCTGCATCCCGAGGATATCGAATTTTTCGAAATCGGCCTGTTTTCGAACTTAAAACAATTTTTTTGCCCGTAAAAAAATCGGGTGTCCCTGACGGCATGCGTTAACGCCTTTAACATATTTTAGTGCGTCGGACTCGTTGGCAAGGACGTACAGTCACTACGGTGGAAAATAGGCCATTGTAACAACCTTGGCGGGTTGTTGCCCCCTTTGCCGGCGTACATTCAACCACAACATCTGAATCCTTCGCCACAGGCCGACTGTACAATAACAATACAATCCCTCCTAGGTTAAAAATGCCAAATTTGATATTTTAAAATAGACGCGGTCCGAATTCAAATTATTGACATGCTGAGACATCAGAAGAGTGTAACAGAATTTTTGTTTTAAAAAAACTTTATTTTACGAAGGAGAATATATTATGTCCCTTTCAAAAACGATCTGGGCAATTATTCTTGTCTCATTTCATACAGAGTAGAAAACCTCAGGTAAATCCTGTTTTACTGCAATAATGATATTATTTTTTTTTTAAACACATAATTTGTATATTGCAAGTCCGTTTTCTTTGTTTTTATATCTCTATTCCTTATGAAATTTTCAAAATTAGTATTTGATTTTTTCTTTATCTGAAGAAAATACAGGCGTGACGACAGCAATTTTACTGTTTTTTTTTTTTTTTTTTAATAAATTATTTTGTGAAAGGCAGGCAGGCCTCTTTTATAAACTTTCAATTCAAAATTGAGCAAATTTATCATACGAAATTATGAATTTTTGATTTCTAGCATTCTAAATATAATTACTTGGAACGTACATCGAATATAGTAAAAACATGTTTTTATAAAACAATACCTAAATAAAGTACGGTAAAAGTTTATCTTAATGAAAAATAGTCAAAAGTTGGACGCTTTTTGCAATTTTCAGAGGTGGGTGATGAACGTGAGCTGATGAATGACAAAGGGCTGTTGGTTGTATTGTTTTTAAATTCAAAATGGACAAATTCGTCGTTTAAAATTACGAATTTTTGGTATCTATCCCTCTACATATGCTTAGTGGGAACGTACGCCGAATATATTATAAATTTTTTAAAAAATAATCCTTAAATTATCACAATAAAACGTTATCATAATGACAAATAGTAAGAAACTTGGTTGCTTTTTGCTATTTTCAGAAATCTGTGTTTCAAGGTGCCTCTCCTTGTTTATAACCCTGACGACAGAGTGACAGCAATTTTAATGCAGCTTTGTTTGAATAAAAAATATTTTACCGTTAACAGATAGGCTTGCTGTTTACATTTTTACGTTCAAAATGGGCAAATTATCGTTCAAAATTTTGAATTTTTTATATCTAGCTCTCGGGATATAGTTACTTGTAATCTACGCCGAATATAGTGAAATACCTGTTTCATAAAATAATACTTAAATACGATAAAATTTTATCGTAATGCAAAATAGTAACAAACTTGGGTACCAAATTCTAATTTCAAAAGTCGAAAATGCTGATAGGTTTAGTTCCGTTGTATTTCCATCATCTTGGTTTGTCTGGCATGTTTCGGCTTTTTGCCATCTCAAGAGGTGGGTGTTTGTTGGTGTCTCGCCCTACTTATAACCGACAGCAATTGAGCATCAGCAATTTTAATGTCGAGTTGTTTGAATAGAAACTATTTTATGAGAGGCCGGCAGGCATTTTTAAGTTCAAAATGGACAAATTTGTCGTACAAATTCAGAATTTTTTATATCTAGCCCTATAAATCTGTTTGCTGAGAATGTACTCCGAATATATTAAAAAACTGTTGTTTACACAATAATTTTAAAATTAATATGATAAAACAGTTTAGTAAGGAAAATGTAATACTGAAACTAGAAAGAGCTGATGGTTTTAGTTTGCGTTGTATTTCACTTCATCTTGGCCTGTCTGTCGCGTTTAGGCTTTTTGCCATCTAAAGTGGTGGGTGTTGGTTGGTGCCTTATACACTGACAACCACTGCGCGAGAACAAGCGGACCAAAATGATTGGAAACGACTCGGCTAACGTATCGATGGTTTGATTAATGGTCCAGCAGGTCGATTTGGAAATGAAATTTTTCATCATGAATAACACAATTGATTAAATTTTACTTCCGAACTACAGAGGTAAGGATGCGGGAAGTAGAAAAAATTGTTGTCCTCCAAAATCAAAATTTCCAATCGCATTTTGCGTTTCCGACCTTTTTGAGCAAATTTGATTCCGTATCTGTCTGTCTATGGTCAATTCCTTGTAACTGGCAAAACTCTGAAACCATGGGACCAATGTGTGGTGATTAGTGACCGTTAATCGATAATTATTCAGAAATCGTGAGATGGGTCCAGACCGCATCTCACGATTTCTGAATAATCATGGGACCAATTTTTATGAAATTTTCATAGATTATGTGGGTTGGTTTCTAAATGGTCCCCTATGGATTTCATCACAATCCGATCCACTCTATTAATCCACTCTACTCCACAGACGGAGACAACCAAAAACACACATTGATAAAAAGTAGCCTTCATTTTTTTTAACAAGTATCGATTTCAGGGTGCTGCCAAGTTTCATAGAGTGGAATAGAGAGGATCAAGATAAAAATTAAATTTTGATAACCATAATTGAATTAAAAAAACAACAATATTATCAATAAACTCATTTTTGTTATTTCTTTTTGAGGTCTGAGGAACGAACTTGTACTTTGGTTATTGGCCTGACTTCTCTCTGATGATAGCACAGCGTAAAACAACGAGGATTGGCGGACCAGGATGATCAGAAACGAATAAGAAGTTCACCACCCCATAAACCTCAAGAAGAAATCTCGTCTCCTCAATTTGAACTGCAAGGTACGTGTAAAATTTTCATAAAATGTACAAACAATCGTTGAAAAATCTCACCATCAAATGGCCAAACTTCACGACGTCTGGTTGTCTAATAAAATATTTTTGAACATGAATAAATCTAGGATAAAAGATAAATTTAACGAAAGTCTAATTGTTATAATAAGCCCAACAGAAAAACAGGCGCAAACTAACTGAATTTCGTTGTAAAACTGTCCTATAGTAGGAAAAGGATCCGGTAGAAAATCGGATTGGCTACAAGTTGTTTGATGTCGAGCAGAACGCTAACGGTGAGGTGGGCCGCGGAAGAAACGGTTCCGTTAACGTTACCGCTAAGGACCTACTAACGCATACTGACGCTCGTGAAATCAAGTCCCAGGCTTTAAACTTCACCTGAGCCCAAGTACATAAAACTCCCGTACCAGCCACAATACGAAAACACATTAAACTTTTTTAAGCACGGTGAAAAAATCGTCAAATTAAAAACGTAAAATTTTGTAAAAAGTATATGAATTGTTCGTTGCTTCAATGTTTTGGGTTATGCAAAATAAATGATTAATAATCGTTTTATCTTGCTACGCAAAAGAAATAGTCCCTGCCTGGGAGTGAAGTCAGACTGGTTTGGATTTCAACACACGAAGAACATTAATAAGTTCAAGATTTCTTCCTGAGCCTGTATTTGTGCAAATAATTTTGAAGTGCCAATGGAAAATAATTTATTTAAACGAATAATCATGGAAAAATTTGAAACGACAAAAAAATTAATACATATAATAAAATTTCTGAAGAAGAGTAGAAATTCCCAAATGGCAAGACTGACAAAATAAAAGTAGATCAGCATAAAATAAAATATCAATTGAAAAAAAAGTTTTAAGTTAACAATAATTTCTGAATCATTAAATTTAATAGGTTTTTCATTTTTTTTTATCGTCAGTTTGGAAAGTGAAGGCAAAAAAAAACGTAATCCTCTTTCAATTTGATGTTGATATTGCTCAGAGACAATTGTTTAAATTCGCTCTCTCCATATATATTTTATATATATTATTATTTTATTGTTTATATTATTTTACTATATAGATATATATTTCATCAATTACAAACAGCTTTTCCAAAGATAGGAGTCAGAAAAATGCAAAAACCCATCAGATATCAGTCAGGAACTCCCCTCTTTTTTTTAAGGAGAATCTTAAGCCGAAAATTACACGGTGATTCCGATTCGTTAGCAACGGGAAGAAGGAAAAAAATGGCAATTAAAGATCGTATGTGAAGTGCGTGCGTAGGAAACGTTGCACAAGCTGTTACGTATACTTTGGAGAAAGTTAAGAGACAGAGCTGTCCCCTCCAAAGTCCTCCCCCCATCGAAAACTTTGCACCTCGTGCTTGCGCCTTGGCTATTTATTTTCTCGCCAAATATTTGCCACTGTGCCTTTTATGCGATACGCACGAACTTAACCCTCGTCGGAATACAATATTTGTTTTAGATCTTTAGAATCGTCTCGTAATGTTGATTGAGGATGATAGTCGTTGAAGCAGTGGGGCTTCATAGCTAAAACGATCATCTAAGTAGTAGTTTTACAATCTTCAATAACTGTTAGTGAATCTTCATTATGTTTTCATGAAACCAAGTTGCCCAGGATGTATATGACCATAGGCAGATTAGATGGTATAACCCAATGGAGGTTAATCACAGGCCATTTTTTAAAATTTCGATTACTTTCTCAATAGATCCTTTATAATTTGAACAGCTTTTATCACTAATGCATAGACCAACTGTCAGCTTTGATCATACTGACAGATTGATATTTTGGAAAAAAATTTACAAGCTGATGGGTAAGGAATGCCCCTTCAATCTCTCAGACATAATTCCTCGAGATTCAATTAATACATTTACGCAAGGAACCACAGAAGAGATGTTCCGAGACATTTTTTGTTGATTACGTCAGGCCTGAGGATGACAGATTCCGTCGAAATACGTCAACTTCGATAATAACAATAAGTTCTTGAGGTGGGTGTTGAACATTAAGTTTGGTACTTTACGATAAATTTCTTCTCTGCAATTTAACTAAACAATTTTTATATAGTTTTGCTCTTAATAACGCGAATTACCTCCTCTGACCTTGCGGAGGGAGGGCCTTAAGACTCCTAGGCATGTAGTAAATAAGTGACCGGATTTCTTCTTGTGAAACAGAATCACATTCTTCAACAAGAACTGTAGCTGCTGTTCAACGTTCTTTGGAGGCGGAACGATGTCGAATCCCTTTATCATGTCCCGTAAGTATTCTATGAGATTCATGACAGGAGAACGTGCTGGTCAATAACTTGTTGTAATCCCTTCACCCTCCCAGTAAAGGTCGAGCATTATCATGCATTAGATGTTGCCCCCCCCCAACAATATATGGAGGGAATGGGACCCCAGCTTCCAGAAGAACTTCCTAAATGTACGTTAGTGCAGTCAATGATCCATTCTCCATGATAATCAGTTAGGCATGGGCATGGACCCCATACCATGGATATTTCACCCCATACCATAACAGACTCTCTTTGAAAATGCAGTAACTTACGCATAGCACATGAAGCAAAGCGTTCTCAACATCTCCACACAGGATTTGATTGCCCCTAACCAAACCGGTACTCATCTGTTAAGAGAACAGCTTGTTCAAATGTCTGAGCACAATGCTGATTTGCGAATAGTCGCCTTTATACTTGATGCCTCTCTAGTAGTACCTGGTACGGAATAACTTGAGACTAAGCTCTTCTCCCTGATGACTGTTTTAGAGCTCACCCTTTCATTAAGGACCGTTCGGAGTTGACTATCTATCAAAGAAGCTGTTAAATGACGGTTCCGTAGTGGGTAAAAGCAATAGAACAATCGTCTCTAGCCGAAGTACATCGCGGTCGACCACTACCTCCTCATCGAGATTTCCGGTAGGCCCCAACCGCAGTAGTCCATCGCGGACAGTAGAGCGCGGCATACTCAGGACCTTGGCCAAATTAATAATTTATTTTTCACTCAAATAATTTCATAAAAAAAAACAATTGGAAAAGCCAATTACTCACTCGACAAGTTGGCTCTGGAAAGGATGAAATTGAACTGATTTTCTTTATTTTTAATTTAAGAGTGTAAAACCGTTAGTAACACTATAAAGGTAAACAACAAGTTGTTGATGTTTTGTTTATGTTTTAAGTCAACTATTAACTGGATGCCTAGTTATTATGGAAAATAAGTGTCAGGCTTTTTTTGTCTTTGAGTGTATAAATTTGAATCAGAGGGTTTTTGTAATAAAAAACCATTTATAATTTGGCAATTTTTCATAAAGAAAGGGTTATTTTTGAACTATGACGTACAAAAAAGATTTGTCACGGTTTGTTATACTTGAAAAATACTGGTAAAAACTTTGATAGTATAAAATAAACGAAACCCTGTTGATTATTTCCATTGTTTTAGTAACGTATATCTTTAATGACCGAAAAAAGCATATAAGCGTAGGTAAACAAATATGAAAAAGGTTCCATTTATCAATATCTATAAAGATATGCTCGTTAGGTTTTCTACCGACGGGGATATCACATGCTGGAAAAGTCAATAGGCTGTAGAAAGAATTGTGAAATTAACCTTTAACCGGCGAATGTCTGTATCTTGTAATTCCAATCGGCAATCTAAAATGCAGAATAGAATTGAAATCCTCTTGCGCTATTTTTATATTTTGCATTGTTTCGGCATCAAAAGGATTGGGCAACCCGCGGTTACATTATAATGGTCCGGCGCTCTCCTTGAGCTTTCGCTACGGCCGTTCTTCTCGAGAGCCGAGCTGGACATCTTCGTGTTTCCTTCAAAAATCCTCCTCTGAAGAATCCCAGCTTTTGTACAAAAACACCGAGTCGTAAACACCTCTAGGTTGGTTCATTAGAGTACAAAAAAATTGTTAGCATATGAGCAATGCAAAATATAAACATAGCGCAGGAAGGTTTCAATTGTATTCTGCATTTTAGATTGCCGATGTATAACTAACAAAGCAGCATATATGTTGTAAAAAAATCAAAATGTTCCGTTTTTTTAACAACCTACCTCGCCGTTTCTCATTTAAATGAACGTCTTTTTCTCGCATTACACATTCCACTCAAATGTTCAGCTTCTTAATTGGTTTTGACGAAGCATTGCCGTGTTTATCCATAATAAATAACAATTTTCTTAAAACCAGCTTATACTTTGTCAGCGGTTAAACGTTCTCCGGCATGCTTTATAGTCCTGTTTTTTAGTGTGTAATAATAGAGACCAATTAGTAGCCAACTGGCAACTGGAACCTGTACAATGATGGGCATTCAGTATCTAGGATGCAATTGGCAAAATGAGGAGATATCAGGCTAAAACGTCTTTCTGATAAAGTTCCAGTATCTTAAAATATTTAATAATTGTTACCGAATCTTCAATTATATTTTTAAGGAAATAACGAATACAAAACTGCAGGATATGTCTGACCATTACATTCATCGTCTTTTTCGAGAATTTGCTCAACATTCAATCAGCCGTTTATATAATTTTAATATATTATTATAATTTTAAAAGCTTTAGAGGTAAAGAATTCATTACTTGTCAGATCATCGGCTATAAAAGTGATAGGATATCGACCTACGCAGATTTTAAGTATTGCTATAATATCTGAAGTGTAGACCAAACTACAGGTTCACTTTGCAGACCTCAAGAGGAATTCTCACCAAAAATTCGCGTATTCTAAACCGAGCATTTATTATACGCTTTTTACACATCGGTCTGCTCTCCTCATGGTTATGGTGGGTCAGACTGTTTAATTGACGGAGTTATAATTCGGGTGAGGCACTGACACAAACCAACAACTGAATGGGTGAAATGCGAAACCCGTTGGAATAGCCAAAACAGCAAGGATTAGCGGACCAAAATGATGGGAAACGACCGAACTATTAGTTCATTACTTCACAGGCCTCAAGGTGGAATATTACATCTTAAGAAGTTCGTAGTTTGTACCATCACA